TCTTTTACATTGTAATCCTTTACTATAGTAAAGATATATACGTTTGACAAGTTTTGTACTTTACACAGCTGTTTCTTAAATTGTATCAAAATTGCTTCGAAGTTAAATATTGTACGTACAATTAGGTAATGCTGTTATACTCTTGACGCATTAACTCGAGTACCCACCTAAAATTAGTTTAAATGAGAGTTGTATTGCTTATTGACGTTGATATCACGTTGAATGCAAACTTGGTTAACTATAATTTGATGCAACGTTCACAGAGATAGTAAAGTAATATTAGAGATCACAATGTGTAGTAAAGCATAATATAGTACTGTAACATTTTAACAAGTACATAATCTGATACTAGCTTTATCTATATAGTAAAGTTCTTACAATCGACCTTTACTAACAATCAGTGATCTTATAGGCTCTTGTTCTTTATAATGTTATCTATAATAACATAATATATTTATAACAGCTTTAGTTAGCTAGATTAGTATAATAGGTCTACTTATCTATAACAATATAACAGGTTTAGCTTTATTACCTCTCAATATTCTTTTTTAATTAAAACAACAAAGCCGGTTTTACAGTCTAATCTTACCTTGCTTTAAGGCCGCCAACTCCGTTTACAATTAGTTTTGGCAGGTTAAAAACTAACGATTTCCGTTCAGACAGGACCTAACCTACTATAATATAATCTTATGGTATGTTACCTAAATGTTAAGCCTATTAGCATTCAGGTAACATATTATAACTTTTGTTGTTTTGGCTGGCCCAACATACGATTTCCTAACATGACATTACAATTTGTAAATAACTACAGTTATTCCAAATGGCAGAAGGTGGTTAGCAAGAGTTAAAAGGAGTCTGTCAACATAGTTAGGCGCATTTGCAAGTTTTTGTGACATTTAATGACATTTTAATAGTTTTGGATATTAATGGCATATTGTTTATGACATTTGGTGACATTTATGTAAATTTGATGACTTAGTTTACTTAAGCTTGTTCATTGGGTTAAGATATGTGTTAAAGAACGCCATTTAGTTTATCATATTAGGTTGTTAAAATAATTCTGTGCCCACTAACAGGAAAAATTTGCTTTGGAAAGAGGCACAGAATTATTTGAACGACCCGATATACTTAAATTAAAGGCAGGGCAGCACAAACATTACTTTAATTTTCGCCAAATATGATTCATTACCTTGTTCTACCTCAACATAACCTTGTTCTTCCTTGTGCTATCATAACATAACCTTGTTTATTGACCTTACTATAACCTGTTTATAGCCTGTTCCTTTACTCTTTTAATTGTTTTTTGATCCAATTGACGTTAAAGATACTATCTTGACCAAACAGGTGCAAATTAATAGTTTCGGCGACATTTAGTTACGTTCGAAAATGTCATTCTTAATATTGTTATGGCAAACCTTCATTCCTATTGCACTTTTTTGGTCAATTTTAAAGTTCTTGGAGGTTTGCAAGATATAGTTTTGTCATAGCACCAAGCAATGAAACTGTTAGGTTGTTCAAATAATTCTGAGCTACTCTCAAAGCAAACTTTAAGGGTTAGGAGACTCATAATTAATTGAACAATTTAATAATTAAGACTATAACAAAGTAATACATTTTTTGATAGACCCATTGTAAATAAAAGGTTTTTTGCGGTTAGTATGATAAGTTACTGTACAGTAAGTTAAGTTACTACTAGCGCAGGATTATTTGAACCTTAATCTTATATAAAATTAAAAAATTGGTTTAAAGTTTAAAAACCATTTTAAAATTTGCAAAACAAAACAAAATGACATTTCAATTTGAAATTTAAAGCACTCAAAATATTGTCCAAACATTAGTAAAGGTTAAAGCAGAAACACCTAGTATATGATCTACTATAATATGTTAATAACCAGTTTTTTATGGTATCTTGCTATATATAACAATTGCCATGAGACTTTCCTAATCCTCCTACATACAAACATCATTTTTGAAAACTTTTAAGATGTAGATACATACGAAGACTTACTGTGTTTGTGTTTAAAATAAAATGGCAATAAATGATGACATTTCTCGAAATTACCGGACTGTAACTGCTTTTACTGTACTGTAAATAGTTTTTACTGAATTGTTAACATAAGATATGACTGTAACTACCTTTATTGTATTGTAACTACTTTTACAGTAATGTAACTGTTTTTACAATACTGTATTTACTTTTATTATACTGTAACTACCTTTACTATAACGTAATTACCTTTTTTTAGGCTATGACTAACTTTACTTTACCGTTTTACTTTTACTGTTTTGTAACTATCTTTACTAGACTGTAACTACTTTTACTGAACATTAATTACTTTCACTGTACCGTAAACACGATATATGCTATTTTACATGCTTGCTATGTCATATTTTTACATTTTTGTAAAATTTTACTTAATTCCAACTTCTTCGTACTGTAACTTTACTAACCTTCAAAAATTGCCATAGTACTGTAACTTCCCCAAAAGTTCTCATACAAAACCTAAATTATTTCAAATGCCACCTCAGTGCCAGTAAACAGCTACAGTAATTGCAGCTTTTGTTTTGTCATCGTTCAACACTACCGTAATCGATTAATTAGTTTTTCCCAAAAGTGGGCGGAGCCTAGCTGCCAATGTCTGTGAATTACAATATTTGAAGTGACTTTTTGTTGAAAATCCTCAACATGTTGTATTCTTTTTGCATTTTCAATAAGCTTATGGGTTTGCGGAGGGAATAAAAAGATAAATACAGTAAGACAATACGGGTTATGGTAAAGAATGATGCCATTTTTGTGAGTACGAGAACTTTTGTGTTAAATTTTTGAAATTTTTGGGATATTTATAATATTTTTTGTTATACAGTGAAACTGCTGTATAATGAATCGATCAGGGATTGGAAATTTGTTCGTTATGAAGGAGTTTTGTTATGCAGGAGTTTTGAATGCACTGTGTAGTAGTAGACAGGGATTAAAAAGTTGTTTGTTATACGGGGTTTTTGTTGTAGAGGCGTTCAACTGTATTTAAAGCTATTATACTTTAAATTTTTTAATGTTCGTTATATAGGAGTTTACTGTATTTATGTATTTAAAACTTTAGTATAATATTACTGTTACCAAAACCAAAGACTAAGAATGGGAATACAGGTAGCTTAGTAGCTTTAAGAGCTTAATCTTCCTAAAATGTATCTTTTGTATAGTATTTCTAAAATATTTTTAACCCTGTCATTTTTTGTTTCCACATACCCGCTATTGTTGATGCTGCTACAACAATTTCATTTTCTTAATTTTCCTGTATCTCATAGCTCTGTTTAGTCATAATTAGCCAGTTCAATGTAAAGTTAAGTCGTTAAAACTACAGTCTCTTTACACAAAATAAAATGTTTTTAAAAAACTGTTCAAAGACAGTTTTTACTAAGCTGTTTCTTGTAAGAACTTCTGTTATCAAGCTGTAAGTATATATTTTAGGATTTCTATTGGCCGAAACTTGTATTACCAAAACCTGTATTATTCGACAACGATTTTTTTACGTTTATAAAGTTTGAGGTTACGTAGCAGAATAATATTGATAATTTTAAATAAATATTTTTAAAAAAATTTAATTTTTTTTAGTTTGAAAAATCTAAAAAACTAAGTTTAGCTACATAAGTTTTTTTGCATTATATATTTTTAACCAATATCATTGAGAAACGTGATTTTTCCAACTTTTATTTTCACAGAGAACAACCTTCAGGCCAAAACACAAACCACAATCAAAGGTTTACTGTAGCTATATAAAGCCTTTTTGAAATTAATAAGATTTGAGTACTCTTTTCACCTCATTTATCTTAATGTAGATACGTCCACTGCTTATTTTACCTCAATTTAGATATTTATAATGCTATTTTTTACGTTTATTTAGGTAATTCCACTGCTTATTTACCTCAACTTGAGTACTTTTATTGCATTTTTTACCTTAATGATGACATAAAGATATACATTCTGCTGCTTAGCTACCTCAATTTAGGTACTCTTGCTTCTATTTCCAGTTATAATGACGTGAAAAGTTCAGAAAACACTCTTCTGATGCTATTACAGCACGATTAAGCTGTGTTTTATAGCGTTTTTATAGTACGACATAGGTAGATATGACGCATAAAGATACTATAAAGGATGGGGATGCTAATAGAAGTGGAAGTTGTGAGGAGCAAGGTCCTGCAAGGCTTAAAATTTTCCAAATTTGAGGAAAATGGGCTTTTAAATTTCAAAATTTTAATTTTTTAATTTTAAAAAAATTTTAAAATTTGAAATTTTGGTTTTTTTTATTTTTTACGATACCACTTTACCAATTCTAATTTTAAGCTACTATTGTGAACACCCCTACTATACCCTTCATATAGTAGAGGTATTTACTTATGTATAGTACCTATAACCTTAAGCAACGATGACGTACGTTGCTGCAGAACCTACTACAATATGTTCGAAAGTAACTTCCTGAAACCAATATTGTTAGTCTAATCAATTTTTAATCATCGCATCTTGGCCCGTTTACAATGTGTATTTACAACTGGGATTGTAATTTGCATAAACAAACGCAATGTGATGTTAGACTAGGTGTTTACTTGTTGGCGGTGGGACAGAATCTAAAATAAGGTCTGTGTAGAGGGAGACTGTAGTCATTGTAGCCGTGTGTACATAGCACATGTGTTTTGTGTCAGTTTTGTGTTAATGAGAAGATTTGAAGTTAAAGCTTTACCTGATGATGACATTAAGGTTTATATTGCACTTGATGACATTGAAATGCTATGTTATACTAATGGCTTTAAATTGTACTTTATACTACTCCCATTAATATTAAAATTAAAGCTAAAATTACAAAACTTTTTGTATTAAGGGGCACATAATTAAGTGAACACTATAAACCAATGATAATATCGAGCTATACGTTTCATTTGCCATGTCTATATAAAAATTTAAAAAATAAAAAATAATTTTTAAAATTTCAGTGATGCGCAGGAAAAATATGGGACTAGTGGTACTGGTCCTAGCCAGTGTTGCCGTCCACGTGTGTAGATCAGCCCAAGCCAAAGGAAGTATGTCCATGACGCCCATGGATAATGCTAGAAGTGAGTCATCTAAGTTTTTTCAAAATTAAAAATTTTTTTGGTTTTCTTGTTTTTTAAATAAGTCAAAATGGCCTGTAAAAGTTTGGTTGTGGAAATGTATTAGCCTTTTAAAAGATTTTTCAAGTTTTAACGTGCCCTAAAGGGCTGATAGAAAAGCTGAAAAGAGGGGAAGGTATACCTGTAAAGAAGCCATACCGAGCTTAATTTTGTAACCGGTCCTCTTCAAACTCGACAATTTCTCCCGGCCCGGCCCCTTTACAGGTCTAGTTCAGTTTACAAGAAGCCAAATTGGGATAGTGTTCAAGCTTTACAACTTTTTTCTTTTTTGGTCATATACTACAATATTATAGTAGAAAACTTTTAAAAAATAATTTAAATGTAATTATTTTTTTATTTGTAAGGTGATTATATATAGAACATGAAAAAAAGAGCTTGCAACATAATGCCAAATTTACCAAATTGGCAAGAATTTCCAATATTTTGTCTTTAAAACTCAAAACCGCAAGCTAAAATTTACTATGAGTCATATGTATTAACAAAGAAGTTGCGTAAATAACTGTAGACGATGTTGAGAAGCGTAGGTGGAATACTATTCTTTATTTATCAGTTCAATAGTATTAAACTTATTACCTAATAACCTATATAACCCTTCTTCAGTTGACGACTCAGCCTTTGTGAAACAGTCCATCCAACGGTTGTGGGACGAGCGGAAGAGGATGGGATACACGCCTTTAGTCCAGATGAGGATCCCAGGCTCTCCGGAGATGGACTTCTACTTTAAGGACGAGTCGAGGGCGCGAACTGGCAATCTGAAGCACAGGTTCGCTTGGTGCTTGTTCATGTGGGCACTGATCGAGGGTCACATCAGTAGGAATACCACCATCTACGAAGCTTCTTCTGGGAATACGGCTACTTGTGAAGCCTACTTCTCGAAACTTTTGGGGATTCCATTCGTGGCTGTGGTAAGTTTGGAGAGACAATATGGAGAGCCTGTAAACAAAGTTCCTTCGCTATTTAAAATTTTGTAAAAAAATAAAATGAAATTTTAGATACCAAAAAGTACGGATCAGCAGAAGATCGACAAGATCGAGCATTACGGTGGCGCTGTAAAGAAAGTTCCTTCCGAGCAGATGTTCAATGAAGCCGCCAAAGAAGCCCAGAAGAACGGTGGATTCTACATGAATCAGTTCCAGAACGCTCATCACGCTGAGGAATATCACGAAAGTAAGTAGTTGTAGTACGGGTTACTGTAAATTCATATGCATGGTGGGTACTGTAGTGTTAATATTAAGTGTTTTTTAGGTTACTGTAAGTTTGTACGCATATTGGATATTTTAACGTTATTATAAGGTTATTGGGGTTACTGTAACATCAAAATCATATTATAAGGTTTCTCGGGTTTACTGTATAATTTAAGCTTAAAATACAGTATAAAAAGTAAAATATTACTCAATTGGACCTAAGGATTCAAAATTGTCATACTACAGTACACTTTATTATATTACCATAACCATTATCATACTCTTCTTCAGGTGCCAACAACGGTCTAGAGTCCGTGAACGTCTTCCACGAAGTCATTCAACAGTTAAAAACCGTAGATCGAAGTGCCCGACCAGTATATCCCGACTTCTTCGTACACTCAGCTGGTACTGGTGGTACTCTGTCATCGGTCGGTCGATATGTACGAAAGTATGGAGCCAAAACAAAGGTAGTCATGTCGGACACGGAGTATTCCATCTACTTTGACTATGTCATCTTCGACAAGTTCACGAATGAAAGTGGCAAGTCGTACTGGAAGACGCCGGGTATGGCTGGTACTGGCTTTGGGTACTCTGGTCCTGCCATCTTGGGAAAGACTACCAGGTAAGAATGTCATATCTTATGTTATACTACCGTACCATATTCTACCCTACCCTACCCTACCTTATCCTATAGTAACCTATTCTAACATCACCACCTTTTCCAGTTTACTGCCCTCAGTAATCGACCGCGCCTTCAAAGTGCCCGACCTAGCTTCGACCGCGGCCATGCACGTACTCAAGAAGCTGGGTGTGAATGGTGGTACCTCGACCGGCCTCAACTTTGTCACGACCTTGTCATTGGCGGCACGACAACGCAAAAAGAACGCCAACACCAGATTCCGCGTGGTAGCCATCCTGGCGGACTCGTCGGCTCTATATGAAGATACCTACTTCAACAAAGACTGGATCGCCAAAAGCTTTAAAGAGCACGGTGGACTGCCCGTCTTCAAGTGCTGGACTAAGGTTGTGGAGCGAGCCTATCGTATGGGAATCGACCCTCTTGTGGTGGGACAACAGAAGTGCAATCCTGACAACTTTGAGCCTAACAAGCTTGTCTATGTCTAAGTGACATTGGATATTGTACATGAGGTTGTACAATGTAAATGTCATTAGATATTGTATATGACGTTGTACGTCTCTTTGTGATATAGTAGATTGCAAAAGCTTCTACCTCCAATATAACTGCATAACAGGGGGTTTAGTACTAACTATAGCACAAAAGTTGATTTAGTACTATCAGTACTTGTTTTAGTACTATCAAAACTTGTTTTAGAACTATAAGTACTTGTTCTAGTGCTATTAGTACTATAGAATTTAGTACGAAACTTAGTATGATAGTACTGAAACTACGCAGTATATAGTACCGTGTACCATTCTGGTATCATAAAAGACATTAGGTTCTAATGTATGTTAGTTTAAATATTAAAATTATTATATATTGTAGATGCTATTTTGTAAACTTTTTCAATTTTAATTGGCACATACCGTATTATCTGATAAAATACGGTGAGTTCTGAGCCATTTACTGACATAAAGCATGGTACAATTTTTACTTCCTTAAAACAATTAACATCTATGTATTGCATTAAAAATGTCACTAAAACTACACTTTTTGCTTTTTAACTTATAATTTTTGTGGTATAATTATTTTTACTATAGGTTACCGTAGGAATCTTATTACTCTGTAAATTATAATTTTTTAATATTTTTAAATACTATTTTAACTATTTTTTACTACTCCTACTTCCTATCTTTTCAAAAAAGACCAGATACTATTATTTATTCTCCACGCTGCGCCCTAGAGTTGCGCAGCCTGCAGCTCTCAATAATCCAATTTAAAAGTTATTTTTTGCAATTTTAAATTTATTGATTCTTTCAATTATAATATTGTATGACACTGTCTTCTTGTATCGTTTATATTGTTATTATCTTGTACAGTTATTGCAATTACTATTATATTACTATGCATATTGTCTTACCCACGCCATATTATTCTATTGTAAAGGTTTTTTACTTTGAAATAAAATTGAATTACTGTAATTGAAAACTGTATACTACCCTACGTATAAAAATAACCCTACTTCATATTTTTTATGTAAATAAAGCTTTATCACAGCAAAACATAGGTTTAGCCACCAAAAGCAACTTTAAAGAACAGACCTAAAGTAATATAATGCCGCTGAGTGATCAATGACGACGTTTTATCAATGAAAACGTGATCAAAGTACACTTATTCCCAACTTTTTATACCTTTTGTTACCGGTCGGTTGCCAATGTTTAAGTTTACTGCCAAAGTAAGTTGATCCGCAAGAACTTTCTTTACAAAAATTCAAAAAATGATAAAGTTATCAATAATTGTCATATCATTAATATTTCTTTAAATAATGCCATTTTACAACGATCAAAGCTCCTTTTTAAGTTTTAAAAAGTAAACCATTAGATTGGCAAGAACTTTGTTTCCAAAAACGTGCATTTTCAGCTGTTTACAACAATAAATGTCATACAAACAAGGTCGGCTATCTTATCTATAATTATATTGATAAAAGAACAAAAACCTTTAAAGTTATGTTAATTTAGCTCCACATTACTGCATTTCATTCTTTAAGCCTTATTATTCTAGCGTATTTTACTTTTTTAAAGTTTATATAGTGTTTAATGTCAAAAATTGAGACTATGACATTTTTAATAAAACAAAATATTAAAATACAATTAAAACTTACCTATTTTTCCATTTTAATTTTGTAAACAACTTTTTGTCGATTTTTGTCGAAAAAATTATTTTATTTCCAGTTGTGACGAAATGTCACAAAATTATTGGAAATTGTAAAGAAGTGTCAAAATACTATTGGAAAATGTTACAATTGCCTAGAAATTCTAAAAAAAATGTTTAAAAGCGTAAATTTCAAAATTTAAGCTCAATGTCTTTTAGAGAATGTCACAATTGTCGCGTTTCGTAAGTGTAGATGAAGTAGAAAGACATGCAGTAAAGGTGCTACCACAGTCAGTACGAGATTACTACCAAAGTGGTGCTGATAATGAACAGACACTGGCTCGAAACTCAAGAATGTTTGCCAAGTAAGTTAGAAAATGACATTTAAATTTATTTTGATTTGTACTATTTGTTTGTACAATTGTTTATTATAGTAGGGTCAAAAAGGGTGGATGAGAGAAAAAAGGGGTGTCTTCTCCCCTCCTTATAAGCTCTACCTTAAATCCTTTCTTGTGCAGTAATACTATGGTTTTAATGATACTGTGGAAAATATAAACCTGCTTCCTAGTCTTTGTAAACAAAGTTTCTTACATTCCAGATACCTCATCCGACCAGTCGCCCTAAGAGACGTCTCCCAACTAGATACCACAACTAAAATAGTATTAAAAGGCATGTCCGGAGCCCTAAAATACGAACATACCTTCGATTTCCCAATAGCTATAGCTCCAACCGCATTTCAAAGAATGGCACATTCTGAAGGCGAATCGGCGACGGCTACAGCAGCAGGCCAGACTAACACTCTGATGGTGAACAGCACGATATCTACTACAAGGTTGGAGGACGTGGCCAAAGCTGGAAAAGAGTATGATACTCAACTGTTCTTTCAGTTATATGTGTACAAAGATCGTGCTGTGACTGAGAGTTTAGTACGACGTGCTGAAGAGGCTGGCTTTAAGGCTTTGGTACTCACGGTGGATGCTCCAACGTTCGGAAGGCGACGTGCTGATGAGAGGAATGGATTTGAACTGCCAAAGCATTTGGAGTGAGGTTTTTTAGAGGTTTTGTTACCTAATTTTAGATTTTTTAGCTTAAAATTTTTTTCTAATTTTAAATTTGCTATATTTGACTACCTAATACCTACTACAATATCAACCAATATCTTGCAGAATGGCCAACTTTGCTGATTTTATTCACTCCAAAACCAAGAGTGGAGAAGCTGGTGCTTCTGGTCTAGCTGCTTATACCAACTCTTTATTCGACCAGTCGTTAAATTGGGAAGACTTGGCTTGGCTGGTTAAAAACAGCCGGCTGCCTATAATTGTCAAAGGTGTCATGAGAGCTGACGATGCCCAGAAAGCGATTGAGTACGGTGCTTCTGCTATTATTGTCTCGAATCATGGTGGACGACAGTTGGATCATGCTCCTGCTACGGTAAGGGGTTTGGGTTACTGTGATTTTGGTTACTATAGTGATACTGAATTTTTACTGTATTCTTTATTAGTATACTTTTGCTTACTGTAGCTTTTAGTTTCTGCGTCTTTTTACTTTTTGATTACTGTAGGTTTTCGTCACGGTATTTTAGATAGAAGCCCTGCCAGAAGTAGTGAAAGCCGTGAACCGACAAGTGCCAGTCTTTATCGATGGTGGCTTCAGATGTGGAACTGATGTGTTTAAAGCTCTTGCCTTAGGCGCGGACCTGTGCTTTGTCGGCCGGCCAATCATTCATGGTCTAGCTGTTGGGGTAAGGTATCATCTTGCTTGTATTAGGTTGTTTAAATAATTATGTGCTCCTACTGGAATCAGGTTTTTGAAGTTGGAGGGCACAGAGTTATTTGAACAACCTAATATGAAATTTTTGCCATTTTAAAATTTTTTTAACTTTAGGGTGTAGATGGAGTAAAGCACGTGCTGAACATATTAAGGACTGAGTTCAAGTACGCCCTGTTGCTATCTGGCTGTCCATCAATCAAAGCCATCAGAGAGACCAAGGATATTGTTGTACATGAAAATTATTACGCCAAGTTGTAAATAAATATTGATTAGGATATTGTGATTGCTTATTTATAAAATATTAGACAAGGAATATTTTACAGTCAAAATTTTTTATAAGATTGCAAGCCCTACGGTTTTGGATGGGAGAGGAAGAAGGCAGGGGACCTATTCGCAAGGGGACCTATTCGTTCAGGATTTGAGGCGAATAGGTCCCCTTGCCAGAATAGGTCCCCCTGGAGAATAGGTCCCCCTGTAGAATAGGTCCGGTCCCCTGGAGAATAGGTCCGGTCCCCTGGAGAATAGGTCCCCTGGAGAATAGGTCCCCCTGGAGAATAGGTCCCCCTGGAGAATAGGTCCCCTGGAGAATAGGTCCCCCTGGAGAATAGGTCCCCTGGAGAATAGGTCCCCCTGGAGAATAGGTCCCCTGGAGAATAGGTCCTATGGGTCCTGGTACAACTTGATCAACAAATTCTATTTTTATGTAAATTTGATAATTTAGTTATTAAAAAGCAAAAATGATTTTGATGTTTTATGTAAAACAACATGATTTTTTTCACAGTAAATCGTTATAAACTTACTGATTGTTACCTAAAATATTTTTTTATAAGTTTTGATTTAAATTTGATTCTTAAAAAAATTTTTTAAATTTAAAGAAAAGTGCAAATAAGTGGTTTGCCAATTTGTTAGATTGAAATCTATTGATCGAAAGCTATAAAACTTGTGTTTTCTTCTTTTTTCTCTCGAATTTGACGTTCTTGGAACGTTTTAAAATCTCTTCCGTATGTTAATATTGTGATTACAGTCTAGTCAGGCTATTCTATTCGCTTTTACATTATTTTGCTTTCCTATTATCTACAAACCCATTTATTTTTTCTTTTAATTTACTTCTTTTTGTAAAAAATTTAAAATTTCATAATTTAAAACTGAGAAATTGGCAGATTTTCTAAATTTTAATACCTAAAAAGCAATGAAATCTGTAGAAGAACAAGTCGAGTTTTTAAAACAAAGATTCAGTCGTATTTTACTGGGGAAGGCAGAGTATACAGCCCCAGGGCCAACCGTTAAAGGCTGTAATAAAGAAGCTTCTATTCTGATATTACTCAAGTGGAAAGGTAAAATGCGATATACAGTAAAGTAAATTATAAAACAAACTTTTTTAAATATAATTAAGCCTTTTTATCTTTTTAAGTTTAAACTTTTATTTTAAAAAATTGGTATTTAAAAATAATTATTAGGTTGTTCAAATAAGTATGAGCCCTTTTCAAAGCAAATTTTGAGAGGTTGGCGGCTCAGAATTATTTGAACAATCTACTAATCAAACCTACAACAGGGTAATTCAATTTTTCATAAGCTCATTGTACGTAAAAAAATTATTGCTTTTAGTATAATATGTTACTGTATAGTAAAGGAAAGTTATTACCTTTTCAGACAATGATTGGCATGTGTTCCTGACATTACGTTCCGAACAGATGAGATCGCACGCTGGTGAGGTTTGTTTTGCTGGTGGTCAACGAGAAGATCGAGACAAAACATACGTGGAGACCGCGTTGAGGGAGGCTCATGAGGTAATAGCCATGAAAAAGTTGTTTATAGGAAATCCGAGAAAATCAGGATCAAAAAATTATGTTTTGAATTTCCCGCTAAATTGGCATTGTGTTTCAAGCTTATAACTTTGTCATTTGTTGACTTTTAATCATTTTTCTTTGATATACTGGTACAAAACCTTTAAATAGACCTACGTTTCCGAAATTGTAAATGTAGCTTGTCCGGAACATCCAAAAAAGTACTTGCAACACAATGCCAAATTTGCTAAATTGGCGGGAACTTTAAACAGGGGACCTGAAGTACTTTCTTTGTAAATTTCGGCTATTTTCAGTTAAATTCTCACATTTAAAACACAATTTTTCTCCTTTTCAGGAAGCCGGCGTACCATCAGAGAACCTGCAAGTAGTCGGAGCTTTGTGCCATTTCATAACGAGGTTTGGCATCCAAGTACATCCTGTAGTAGCTGTGCTGAAAGAAGAGTTTACTCCCGTATTAAACGAAGAGGTTTCACGATGTTTTTGGATGCCATTTAGCACGTTTCTGTCTTCAGAACATCACACATCGTTACACTTCCCTGAAGTCAATTTGAGATCTCATAAGATTAGTGTGAGTCAAAGTTTTAAAGCTATATATACTTATAACAGGCCGTTGTGTATATAGGTTTTTGTCTTCATCAGTAACATATTTTTCACTTTATAGTCAGGAGCTACTGTGATAGTTTTGAGAATATGTTATAGTAATTACTATTAGGTCGTTCATTTAATTCTGAGCCTTTCTTAAAGCAAATTTTTGGTGTCTAGAGGCACAGAATTATTTGAATAACCTAGTGATATAATACAACTTTTTCAAACTATAACAATGCCATTTCAGTACAAAGACGAGTATGTATTTGGATTTACATCGTATGTAGCCATTGTCGCCGCTGTAACCATTTATGATAGATATCCAGAGTTTGAGGTGTTCTCAATGGATACTACCAAGGCTCCAGCTGATAGTGTAGCAGATCAGTTTGTGGAATATAACACTTTACCTCGGTTAATGAAGCTGTCCGAGTACAATAATGTCACCAAGAGCAAAATTTAATTTACTGTACAGTATTTGTCATAATATGACTGTAATAATTAAGTTGTTCAAACAATTCTGCGCTCTCTAATATTGAAAATTTGCATTGAGAGATGGCGCATAATTATTTGGACAACTAAAATTATACTGTAAATTTATAACTAGCTCTATACTGTAGATATCTAATCTATTGCTATACTGTAGATATGTATTGTAGCTACTACAAGGTAAATACGAATAAAGGCCAAAGTTACTGCAAGATCGTTTATTGACATAAAACTCTTAATATACATGACAGCTGATCCGATTTTGTAGTCGATATGTACATAATAATATACTGTAGGCTTTAGTTGTCAGGTATCTTGTACTTCTCCAGCAGATCGTCCATAGGTTCATCTACAGTGTCAGCAAATCTTTTTCGTCTACCGTATACTGGCTGGGCTCCCGGAGGAGGTAGACAGGCCTAAAATTTAAAAGTTAGACATAGATTTACTGTAATTGGTGTACTGTAACAAAATGTTGTGTTTGCTTAGTATATATAAGCATACTGTAACAAAAAGTTTTTGACTATATAGTATTAACATACTGTAACAATATTTAGGGTTTACTTAGTATATATAAGCATACTGTAACAAAAGTGCCAAACTCAAAAGTTTGTACGACATCTAGACTTACATTGACAACTTCAGCTACTATGACGAGTAGTACAACCAAAAACAGCTGTAGCTTCATGGTTTCCTTCAAATAAAGTTTGCCGTGCCCAACATACGATTATATACTATGCTCATGCTTATGTAAATCCAGTTTTTTGTAAAAACCTGTTGACCACGCCCTCATGAACACCTATCGGATGTCATCGTATGTTGTCATCCGATCAAAGTAGTTTTTGTCGTATGTTCAGTGATCAGGTTCTCTGTTGTATTGTGTGCTCTGTCATGATATCTTTCTTCATGGTAGTCTGCTTTATTTTATGTTCTGACATGACATATTCATTCATCGTACGCTCTCTCATCGTATCTTCGTCCTATGTCATCATAGTTTTTATTGAGTCGTATGTTCTGTCACATCCTTTTATTCTGCGCTCTCTGTCTCATCGTATCTTCGTCCCATGTCGTCCCGCCCTTATCGTATCGTACGTTCGTGCGATTGTTTTTTGCCGGATTTACCTTGAGGAAGATACGACGACCGACTGGTTTAGGTATCCGATTTGTTGCGCAAAAGCCGGATGACCAACACCCGGATTAATGGTACAATACCACGATAAACAGCGGCTTACAGAAGCTGTTTATTGTCGGAAGTTAACAAAGCAGATACGAATGACCTTTGTAGTACGATTTTACACTGTAAAAACGTGTTTTTTGTCATCACAAGGTTGAACTTGTTTGGATAGAGACAATAACATCATGTATACATAAGCATATTTACGCAGTAATAGCATTTTCATAAAGATAGATGGACAAAAAGGTGATATATACTACAAAAATCAATATATTAACCACGTCAATCATAACAAAGTATTATTTTTTAAATTTTTGTTAATTTCACTAGTTACTGAGCCAGTTACAGTGAAAGTTGACTTGTTTTTAACTCACTCATAAGTGATGCGCAAAGTTTATCCAAACGCAAGTGAATTCGATTTCAATGCAAATTCTTCCGGAACGAAAATTTCGAAAAACAATTCAAAATTATTTTGCAATTAGGAAATTCACTTTTAAACCTAGACATAAGGATTAAGCCAAATTCCATGTCTTCCAAACGTTCCCCATTTTTCACATTGATCAAGCTAGACTCGGCTCGATTAAAACAAAATTAAATTTATTTTTTTAAGTGTAAATTAATTTACAAATCAATAATAAATAAAACTCAATTCAAACAGAAAGTATTAAAACTTTTTAGCCAAAAGCTTAGCCCGCTAGCCAGTCAATTTGATTTATGCTGATTTTGAGATAAAAATTCAGTCAGGCTTTGTCTCAATAAATAATATATTTAATTTCAAACTGTCTTCATAACCAAGGTGCCAAACCACTCAAGTACTTTTTGGTAGGAGATCTATCACAGAGCACGCTCAAAAAGTTCTCATTATAAGATTAATTTAAAATTTAAACTTTAAAGTAAACTCAAGGAGATCTTAGTGTTCATTTATAAGGTTTAATTTACTGCCATTTATAACAACAAGTTTTTTAATCTAGTGGCACTAACAAATTTACGTTTGCTTTTACTTTGGTAATTTTTAAGTACTCTCAAACACGAATTTGTTTACAATGAAGCCTTTATTGCTTTAAATTTATTTTTTTTTTAAGATTTATTTTAAATTACAATAAAACAAGTATTATTCTACAATATATATAAGTCAAATACTATAAAATTCAAGTTATGTAGCGTGTTAACAGTAAAAGTAATATTAGAGTGTCGCTTTATTTTTCGTTCATCAAAAAACTATCAGATATTGTTAGTTTTTCGAAGAATTTGTTTTTCAATTTTTTCAAATTCTTAGCTGGTTTTTGGTTTTTTAAATAGTTGTGCAGTCTTTGATTAGACAGTTAATATATTTTTTAGTTGAAAAATTTAAAAATCTAGAGTAATTGTCTTAATAAAACTAGTAGCTTTAACTGAGTTTTATAGTAATATCTTTCCATAAATTTTTGTTATTTAGTTGTTATTCATAACAATTCTAAAAAGACTAATGCAAACAACAATAAAATAAAAATTTTTAAAAGTTATATGCAATCCAATTTCTTTAGTATGACACTCAAAGAACTGGACCAAATCTATCGTTCTAACCAAGATGTCACACTATCCAAGTACTTTTTGATAGGAGTTCTATTGTAAAAAAGGTCAAAAAGCTGTTATTATAAAGATAGTGTCAAATGCCTGTTAACGTTGAATTTAACATGATTAGTCAAAATTAATGGTTCCCCCTCACGACCTAAAAAAATTTTTTCGATATATTTGAACATGATACCCAGGGCCGGGCGGGGACTTTTGGTCTGGGGGCAGGGGTCCAAAAAATCGGCAACGGTACCTGTGCCGATTTTTTGCGAAATTTTTTTTTCCGAAAATCCACAGGGGAGACCACGTTCAACTTTTTTCAAAATTTTTTTTCTGGAGGGGAGGGGGGAGGGGGGTACCCCCTCCGTCTCCCCCTCCCCTCGCGCCCGGTCCTGATGAGATACCTTTCCCTTTCATTCTTTTGAAAAAAAAATGAAAAAATTTGGAGGTAATCGTAATCTGAAAGAATTTTCATATCAGTGTTTTGCCGGACCGGATCCGGTCCGGATTTTCAAAAATTGCAAAAATTGAAAACAACTTTTGAGCTTATGAGTTGAACTTTTAAAAAAATAAATAACTTTTGTGAAGGTTCGTCTCATACAAGTTCCTCGCTAAGCAAGACCTTTACAAAAAGTTATTTATTTTTTAAAACTTCAAACCATAAGCTAAAAAGTTATTTTCAAGTTTGCAATTTTTTGAAAATCCGGACCGGACCGGTCCGGCAAAACACTGTTTCATATCTCCTTCCACCTACATCAAAAGCACTCGTCCGGCTATGCCGGCAAACATCAAATTTTTTAAAATTTTAAACTGTATCTGTAAGTGATGAGTAATATAATCTTTTCTAAACCAATTTTGTTCAAATGTTTTTAATTTGCTGTCTTTGCTTACTTAATTTTAAGTTTTGGCTGTTATAAAGAGTGGACACGTTTTAGTTCATGTATATTTTACTTACGCATATGTAGTCTTCGTATGTTACCTTTAGACAACGCTTGCTGTTCTTAAACGAGTTAAGTTCTTCGTCGTTGTTTTCGTAGCTGTAAATTTAGATTTTTTCTTTAAAATTGTAATTTTTTGCTAACTTATGTATAAAATTTTACTATCGTAATGTAATAGAGGCGTCGATTGACAAAGTTGCAAAGTTGCAATGTGCAATAATGCAACTTTTTATATCGCTATTTTTGTGTTATGCGATAGGCTTTTTCCTTCTAAAATTCGCTTTTACCATCAAAATAACGTTATTGTAAAAGAATGACATTACATTCTTAAATTGTCATACCTTGGTATGTGTGTCTGAATGTCCCTCCCCGTTATGCATAATGTTTTTGTGGAAAGCGCGACAGAGAATTGAAAGGATCTCTGCGCCTCTCCTGTTCCCACGTTCCCTCCCCTCCCTAGACTTTTTCAGCGAGCAAAAGCAGAAAAAAGGGCGAGGGGGGGGGGACGATTTCCGTGGGGCGATTTTTCCCTCCATTTTTTGCTTTTTTCCTTCAATTATGGGACCCATTTAGAGCCGGCATTTCGACTGATTTTCACGTAAATTAAGGTAATGAGTTGGTCGATGAAAGGGCTTCATCATATCGACTGTTCGATGGAGATAACTATGTTTAGAGGGGTAGAAAGAGCGATGGTGTGCAATATAATGTTGTTCTTTTGCTTACTTTAAAGACGTACGCACGAATTGAAAGTAGAATACGCGATATTGATGTCGATGTTACTATATGTCACACAGAGTAAAATTGACGATATTATAAAAATTTTAAAGTTCCAATGATTTATAATTCCGTTCAGTGTATGTCATCGTTTTTTGCTCAAATGTCATCATAGGTACCAACTGCTTTAAGTTTATACCATTTTTATCAGTATTTCCTAGTACAATTGGTGCAAAATAGTACTACCTATAATAAACACTCTGTATTCAATCTTATTTTAACTTTTCGCTTCTATTTACCGTACGATTTTACCACAATATCACGATTACATACATTGTAACCACCTCGTCTTGATCACGGCCTTACCTTCAATTTTCGTGACTTAAAATACGATATTTTTAACCATAGTTAACGAATTCACATAAAATGAACGTTTTCAGCTTGAAAAACATTGTAACTTATAACATTGTAAATACATAACAGTATAGAGGAGTAAATGGCTTCAGAAGAGGTGATCTTCACGGTAGAGAAGCTGGTCGGTGTTAAAGTTGTTAAAGGAAAACGATTGTACGAAGTTAAATGGAGCGGATTTGATAACAAAGACAACACATGGGAACCAGAAGAGAGCTTTATTGTAAGGATATTAGGGTTTGTAACAAAACATTGTCCTCATTTGAACATGATCTCTGTATATTATACGTAAGACACTACAAACGGTACCAGAAGGACTAATAGCTAACATAAGATTAGTTCCTTCCAAATCAAATCAAATCTCAATATAATATACCATATTATCCTTAATATCGCTCCTTTCCTTCCTTTCAACCTCAAGTTATACCTAATTACAGGATCGAACTCCAGTCGAAAAGTTCGAACGAGGTCGAGCAGCAGCAGTTCTACGAAAACAACGTGCCAATAAAAGTCGATTCACCGATGGACCGGTCAAAAAGAAGCCCAAGAAGTCCAAAGTGCCAAAGAAATCTGAAAAATTACCTAAAATTCCAAAGAAAAAGGAAAAAGATGTGAAAGTAGAGGTAAAAGCAGAAGAAACTCCAGAAAATGTTGAGGAACTCCCAGAAGAAAAGGTTGAAAAAGCTCCTGAAGAGAAGGTTGAAGATGCTCCAGAAGTTTCAAGCACAGGCCGGCTTATCACAGTTTGTTTTTTATCTTTTTCCTCTGTTTTTTGCCTGATTTGGCATTTTTTCCTTCGTTTTCCTCACGTTTTACAACTTTTTAGGTATTAATTTTACGATTGCTGCACGTAAAGATGTAATTCGTATCCGCACACATTTTCGGCTCTAGAAAGATATTACCTGATCATTTTATCAAGTTTTAAGCTCAGCTTTCGCTTGTTTTCACTGTCTTTCCTCAAGTTTAATATTGTACTTTCTCAATAGCCGTTTTTAACCATAGCTTTTACAAAAATGGTCAAAATTCGTAAATTTCAGCCGTCACTAAAGAATCGGCAACCTCCTGAACTCAAAATGACACAGAAAACCAGGAAAATGACGGTAAAAGAGGAGCCGAAGGAGGAATCGTATGTTGTGGATGCTGCTATTCCCAATAGCCAAGAGAAGAGAATAACTAGACGACTGATCAAGGAAGCGATGAGGCCAGAAGCCGAGAAGAGGCGGAAAGAGATGATTGTGAGTTTTATTAGTGATTTACAGGTTGATTTTCCATTTACTTTTATAGTTATGACCCATTTTCTGGAATATTTTAAATTTACGACATATTTTCTGGAATTTTCCGGTTTACCACGAAAATTTTAATTAGAGAGGCGAAAAGTGCAATTATAAAGTGAAATTATTTGAAAAATTAGTAGAATATCTCATACCAGCCATAGCTTTCCATTAATTGATCAACATCTTGCAGGAACTGATGGCCAAACGGGTAACGGAGATGGAACGACAATATGTCTACAATTTCCCCAAAACGTGCTATCTCGGGAAGGCTGTCAAACCCGAGGATGTGGCCGACTTTAGCCCAACGGATCTGATAATTTATGAACGGGTTTGTGAACAACAAGAACAGCAGGAGCTGAAGAAGAAGGCCTTCGAACTGGAGAAGCAGCGACGAGAAGAGGCCAAGAAGAAGCAGCAAGAAATCTGTCAGCAGCTGATTCTGGGTCATGAACAGAAGACGAAGGAGTACGTTCAGGAAATTGTAAGTTTAGGCAAGATACGCTGTGTTACGAATATATTTAAAATGGTTATTATCAAGTAAGAGCAAAGTTGACACAAAAATTAAGGGAAAAACTTGACTCGAAAGATAAATGCTAAAATTATCTCAAATCTGTAAAACGCCAATATATACTACCATTTAACGTTTACTATGACGTTTTCTATTAGAAAAAAAAGGAAAATTCATTAAATTTACCTTAAAGTTGTGTTTCATCTACTACAATATCAAAAAACCCATTATTAATCTATATTGTTTTAGGTTGAACGAACTAGCCGATCATTTAAAAAGCTCAAAGATGAATACATATTTTCTAACCCTACCACTCAGTGCCTTGAAGTGATGTTGGTATTGAATACAGAAGAAGGTGGAGCTGCTGTTCTAAAACTAAAGCAAGGTTTTTCGTGTTTATTCGAAACTGTTCCATTGGAAATGGCAGCTGAGAAAGCTCCAACACTTTTGGGAGAGTACATGAAAGACTTGGCTGAAAACAAAAAACGACGAGAAATGTTGGAAAAGCTGATGAATGAGGTAGATGGTGAAAATAATGGTGCTGAAGTTAGTTTCGAGGAAAGGTCGGTTGACAAAGATGTGGAAGAGAAACTTGAAAAGAACCAGACGTCCATGGATGATTCTCAAAGCTCAGTGGCTGATGAGGAAGTCGTTGTTGATAAGAGATTGAGGCGAAAACGAGAGAATTTACCAGTAAGGATCAGAGGAAAGTTTGTGTCTGCCAAGAAGTTGGAGTACATGAGGAAAAGAGATGCCAATCTAAAGTTGGCTCAGGCTACAAGCGGTCAGAAAACTTGTGAACATGTAGCTGAAGCCAGCAATCACCAACACAACACGGAAACTTCTGAATTCTTTGAAGAAGAACAAGCTTCTTTGAATGATTCTACTTTTTATGAAGGCAATACCTCTCAAGACTATGATAACATGACTTTGGATGAATCTATGGCTTCGCAAGGCCCTTCGTCTAACCATCTAGATGACGAAGAAGATATGGAGCTGGATGAAGTCAGGAACACTGCTGAATCCATGGAGAACGATGAGAATGCTCAAACTTCAGCTCAGAATCAGAGTTTTCATCGACGACTCGACGAACAGTTGGATAAGATGGTCGAGGAAGTCGACAAACTTGTTGATCAGGCCGCGGATAAAAGAGAAGAGGGTGATGCGACGGCCGATGTTGATGAACTTCTGAATATCAATGACAGCGGGAATCAACTATCACCGACCAAGGTCTCAGACGGGCAGAATGATTGATGTTTAATTAGTACACTTTTATGGATATTCACCTTGTTTTGTAATATCTTTGTTGTTTTTGAGTAAACCTTATTAATCGAATTGGAATTTTGGATGTTTTAATGTAATCGTTTTGTTTTTTATTTTATAAACGGCGTTGCAAGATCAGTTATTTAATAGTTAAATTAAATGTTATAATAACATTATATAGAATGTAACGGTAGTTTTAATATGATTTATTGTATTTTTGTTTTTGACACAAAATAATGAGTAGACATTGCAAAATGACACAATATATTAAACGTCAATATAAATTTAATTGCTTACCATATTAATGTTGGCATGTCTTTTTGCATGTTGCACATGAGGTATTTCTTTATATACTGTAAATAAAGCAGGATTGCAATCAAATATAGGCTTGTTATTTGTGTTTCAGTAAGTTTTAATTATGTTGCATGTAATATTATACGTACTTCTTGATGCTTTTTAGTGTTTTAAGTAACGTAAATATATATATTTTTAAAATTTTAAGTAAAATTGTAGTACATTGAAGCAATAATGCCATCAGTAAAATAAATTTTTTTACTATTGTATGGCCTATAAAAAGGATGTTGCTATTTAGGTAACAACAACACTTCAGAGGTCTGAAATGCCTTCAGAAAAGTTGTGTGAAATGAGTATGAAGTTGACAAACAATGTTTTTCTACGCTGTAGTGAGCTTACATCTATCACAATATCTACATTTGGTTTGATTTACATGTACAAGGTTAGGAGAAAACACAAAAGCTTGACCGTACATCGAAACTTCAAGGTAATTTACTGTGCTATTTAAATTTACTTTGACTTTTTTTAACCACTAGGAGTACGGTAGGATTTACACGTTTTTTGCAACTATTGTACTAAATGTCAGAATGGAATGGGATTTTTTAAATTGTTTGTTACTATAAGACAATCATTTTATCTGTTGACAACTTTTTTTATTATGCCCGGAAGGCATTGAAAAAAATAAAATTTGCAAAAAAATCAACAGAATTTTAAAAAATTTAAAATTTCTCAAAAAAAAGCCATGGTGTAACAAACTTTTGACAACGAATAATGAAACTACATACTGTTGCGGTTCTAATGACACTAAGTTTGGGTCATCCCACCGGGGCCTGCGGTAGCTACGAATTTTTAATGTTGACACTCTAAGTTAATTTAGCATAGGATTTGGATGTAATTTTTTTCAAAACGGTTAAAAGAATATGCATGGCACATAGCGCAAGTTTTATAAGTGTTTACAAACAATTTTCTTTATAGTGCTTTTAAAATTTAAATTTTAAAAAAGTTATTTTTTTTTAAATTACAAATTCCTTGAGGCAATACAAAGGAAATTGTTTTTAAACACTTATAAAACTTTCAATATGTGCCGAGCATCTTTTTTAACCTTTTTGAGCCGAATTACATCTAAATCCTATGCCAAAAGTTTGTTACATAGTGACTTTTTTTCGAGAAATTTTAAATTTTTTAAAATTTTGATGATTTTTTGCAAACTTTAATTTTTTTCAGTGCCTTCCGGGCATAATAAAAAAAAGTTGTCAACAGATAAAATGATTGTCTTATAACAACAAAAAATTTAAAAAAGTCCCATTCCATTTTTATATTTAGTACCATAGTTACAAAAAAAATGTAAATCCTACCGTACTCCAACCGTAACCTGAATTTCGAAAATTTTTTTGTATTTTTGCGTTTCTATGCCCAAGTACTACCTTTTGTTAAAAAATGAATGTTTTTAAAATAGTTTGAGCTTTTTTGAACACCCCATTTCTGATTCTTGGGCGAACCTTGTTTTAAAATATTATAATTCTGTGCTCCTTAACTCTGAGAATTTGGTTTGAGTGGGGGCACTGAATTATTTGAACAACTTAATATAGTAAAGCTTTTAGATACTGATGCGGAACATATCATCATGTATCTTCATCGTATTTCTCTGTAGCGTCCTTCTGAATTCGTACGTCTTCATACGAAGTTATGTATATGTCGCTTACTGTGAGAATGTTTACATTCTGTGGCATAACGCGATTCTGAAGTGGCCTGCACGGTGGATGCCTGTAGCCATATCACTGTTTCATGTAGCCATAACTTGGGAACGATGTATTGCTAGCTACTACAAGGAAGTATACGAGAGGAAGAGCGGTTATTACGGTTATGTGGCTTCTGCTGTTGTGGTATGTTATCTTGTTTATGTTGTGATACGTTTTATTATAATTATTGTTGTGATATATTGTTTTAGATAGTTGTAATTGACTTTGGCGACTTAAAATGACATAATTTTAGGTTGTTTAAATAATTCTGATCTTCATTTAAGCAGGTTGTCGTTATTAGGGGGCATATAATTATTTGAAAAATCCAATAATTTAGGTCTTTGTTATCTTACTATGAACAGTAGACGGAAACTGTATTTTAAAATTTTTAAAATTTGCAAAAACTTTGTTTCCAGTGGTCTCTGACAGTTTATTTGAACTTTCGTTTGTTCGATGTTCCTGATTATACGATAGTGGTACCGTACTGTGTAATATCTACATATGGTAATGGTAGAGCATTGCTTTACTCAGCTATATCTGCTTTAATATTGGAGCTGATGACAACTGGCGTTGACTTTTTGTTGAAATACATTAATATCAGTCGGAGAAGGGCTATGTAAGTTTACATTACTGTATGATGTGTTACTTTGGCTATTGTAGGATGAATTGGGGCTTTATTTTTACAGTTTACTTTACGTTATACGTTAAAGTGCTGTATGATATAGTAAGTCCTTATTGTTATATGTACAAAAATACAGTAGCGGTCAATATAGGTTTACTTTTAGCTTATAAATGTTACAGTAAACCAAAAATTGTAAACATTTTCAGAGTAGTAGGACACTATTCACTGACGACCAGTTACCAAAAGCGGGAAAACTATTGTACCAGTAAAATATGTTTTCCTGTCGCTTTAACTCACTCCTTCTTCTTCTCGCTATACCTATTTGTATGTAGCGTGACAAGAGCTTTGTATATTTACTGTGAAGACAATGTTACCTCGCTTACGCTTACTGTGGCTTCTAATAATGTAAGTTGTTTCACTTTTTCTAGAATCTTATTATCATTTTTTATCTTTTTAGTACTATGACAGTCTGCACGGTTGGGAATATATATTAAGTATTTTTTAATAATTGCATCATGAAGATTAATTTTTTAAAGTTTTTAAAAAATCTTATTTTTAAAGTTATTTTTTAGTTATTTCAATTAGGGCTCCTGTTGGCGATTGTAAAATACTATAGAAAGCTGGTGGAAATGGAAACTTGCAAAATGATTGATGAACTTGGCTTTGCGCGACAACAAACTACTAATATTTACTTTATAACTTTTCAAAAACAATTGAAATAAAGCTACAGTGGAACCTCTTTAGTATGACCTTCTATAGTATGACACCCTCTTTATGATGACAGCTTCTGCTCTCGCTTTTTGTAATAGAACTCTCATCAAAAAGTACCTGGATAGTGTGGCACTCTGGTTATAATGACAGGTTTAGACCAGTGCCTTGAGTGTCATACTAAAGAGGTCTGCTGTATTTCAAAATACCATCAAAATTTTTAAAAAAATAAGGCTTACAATAAGCATTTACTTTATCTATTTTTATTATATAAAGAAATGGACTATCTACTGGTTGGCGTAAGATAAAGTTAGGCTGTTATTATCCTCATTTTTTTAAGATTAGTAAAACAAACTAGAGGTTTTATGGTCATTATCTTAAAATGATCCATTTGACTACTAAGTATCTTCTTGTAATTTGAGATACTTGACTCTTTTGAACATATAATTAAGCTTTACAATTATGTTATTGTACTTGAACACTTACCTCAACTTTTTTGAAATGAGAAACATGTTAAAAGCCACGAGGATATACTACAATATACCATATTGTGTTACTGATAATTGGAAAGATGTGTATTTTAAGTGATGTTTTGTAGTTAAAGAGATGTTTCTTACGTATTATGTTATAGTATGAAGCTGCAACAACTGTGCACATATCATGTGGTACAATAACATTGACTAAAAAGAGTATTAATTGTCTTTACTGAGTAATATTACTGCAGTAAATGCTGGTGTAGATTAGACTAAAGTAACTTATTTGCACTGTTTGGACTAATATTCTTGTTGACGTGGCTATTTTTTAAGGTATGGCACTAAGACAAACCTTTTCTATTATAAAACTCGTTACAGTATATTATTCTTAGTAAAGGTATTTTATAATATCGATGATTAGTACTGTCTATCGCTAGCTAAATATTGATAAAATGGGTATATTACTAAGCGAGGACGAACTGCCATCTGATGAGTTATTGTACTTTTATAAGCAATACGAACTGGTGGTGTTGATAGTGTCAGTAGTGTTGGTGGTTACTACGGTAGCCGTGATGATAAACTGTAAGATACGATTTATAGGTAATATATAGTAAATTATAGCTTCTACCAGGAGTTTGAACAAGTACAAATGGTTCTTATTGCACGAGTTGGTGTGGTAAGAATTTTCTGTGACTATATACTTGTACATATGTATATAGTTCTGCATAGCTTAGTTGTATATGATCGTATATTAATTAATGTAATATACTGCTTTGATACTACAACATTTTTTAACTTCAACGTGCTGTAGGTACTGTACTAACTTCTCAATGCATTTCCAGGTCAGCTTTATTTGACATAGCCTGTGGCTGCATTGGCGCAGTAACTTTGTTTCCAATACCGTGCTACTATGGCACCAGTTATGCCAGTTCTCTCTCACTACAACATCTTATCGTCTACTTTTTTGTAGCAGCTGTGGCAACATTAGGAAAGGTCGTAGGTACGTTATTTCAATTCGAATATCGATATATGCAAACGATTACTGCGGACAGTTGGATACGAGTCAGATACTACGATAAGATTGGGGGAAAGTACGAACTTATGATTAGAGGAATCATGATGATCGTGGCATCGATTGTTGTCTATGCAAGTGGTTTTTAATCTGACTTTGTATTTTTATTTTATATTTAAAATTTAAAATTTATAACATTGGCTAGTTCCTGACTATAACTAAACTTTCAGTCAATGTCAATATATTTTTTCTTATTTCAGTTGCCATTTGTAGCCAATTTTCCAAACCAAGCCGACCAACGACAGTATCTGTCAAACCTCGACCCAGTACTGTCTCGAGTATTTGATACTCATCCAGTACTATGCTTCTCAAATGAAATTAATGTAACACGCCTTCTGATCGTATGTGTCACTCTGATTGGTGTCCAGCCCTTCCTCTTCTTCTTTGCCTTATATTTCATGTTCAAATCGATTAAAAGTGCAAATTTGTCGCCGAAGTCGCAGAAACTTCAGTATATGTTGTTCTGGTCGCTGGTGGCCCAGATTTCAGCATTAGTTGTGTTTATGATAGTACCAGCTTTGTTCTTCTTTCTAGGACCAATCCTCGGTCTTCGTAATAACCCTATCATATCATTGTTTTGCTTCTGTGTCTTCATTCTACACACTCCAGCTGATTGTATCATGATCATGTACTATATCAAACCTTATAGATCGTATGTTTTGAACCGAGTGCCACTTCTTTCTAGTCTGAGTAAGAAGTGGAAGGCTTCTGAACAGAGGGTTAACGTTTTCAGTTCCAATTTCTCTGCCCAACGGTCTTGAACTAGGTGTTGAATTAATTATTCAGCATATAGGTTGGCGGGTTTATAATATAACAAAGTTATTATATTGTGGCATTACTTAAGGAATCCTTGTTAAAGTAAACGGTGTAACATAAAGAATAAACTAATATTTTGTTTTAAAGTTAAGGTTTTTCCACATAAAATGATTTTTGAAAAAAGGCGGACCAAAAATCGCTCATCTGCCACTGTTTAAAGTAAAATACAGTGGAACTCCTGTATAACGAATCGCCCGGGGACTTGAAATTTGTTCGTTATACAGGGGTTTTGTTATATAGAGGTTCTTTATACGGTTCCACTGTATTAGATTGCTCAAATAATTCAGTACCTTCTAACCCCGCAAAATTTAATTGAAAGAGGGCACATAATTTTTTGAATAACATAATAAATCTAATTTTTTATTCAAAAAGCTAAATTTTAATTTAAAATATTGTTTTTGGAAAGGCAAATTTCTATTTATTATATTATAGTACCCCCCCCCCTCAAAATTTTTATAAATATTATTTTGGTCGTTCATCCTTCCTTTTAACAAATATTTTTCTTTACTTTTCCTAAAACCCACGCCATCCTAAATTAAAGGACTAAAAATAATCTAGAAGCTTCAAAACGTATGTTTTTATACGTATGTTAATCATGCTTCTTTGTACAAAAACTAAACCTATAATGATGTTACCAGGAAATTAATTAAAAAAAAGTTTTAAACTCTGCATAACTTAATTTTATATATAAAACTAGCTTTTCACCTGGACAAACATAAAATATGCTCAAAGTCAGTATGAAGCCCGTCTGGCAATGGGAGTCCTACTCAATACTACCGACCTGCCATCTTCTGAAACAGTTCTTTTGTACAAACTCTACAATTATGTGCTCTACTGGTTCACTATTTTAATTGTCGCTTTAACTGTCGCTGTTATTTTAAAAAGTAAGTTTGTTTTTATAATATTTGGCGAAGCTTCTAAAAATTTATTTAAAAAAAATTTTTTTTATTTAAAATTGTAAATAATTGAGAAACTATTGTAGTGAAACCATATTTTAGCCTCACCACAAAACATCTCAAAGTATCGTTGGTACATTTTACACAGTTTAATATGGTAAGTCCTCTCTTTTCTACCCTACCCTACCCTACCCTACCCTACCCTACCCTACCCTACCCTACCCTACCCTACCCTACCCTACCCTACCCTACCTTACCCTACCCTACCCTACCCTACCCAACCCTACCTACCCTATTTTACCTTACATCACTTTGTCTTACCCTAACTTACCTTACTTTTTTTTACTCTACTTTACCCTACTTTACCATTCATTTTATTTTAATTTCAGGTCTCTAATCTTCAACACATGTTCAACATTTATGGGATGTATAGTAATCTTTCCAGTACCATGCTTCTACGGAGTAAATGTAGCCGGTCTGTTAAGCAATAACTGGCTAGTGCTCTACTTCTTCGTTGGAGTCAACAGTTTTGTAGGAAAAGTATACGCAATATGTTTACAGTTTGAGCATGTTTACTATGACACATTACTTATGGGTTCACGATACAGATATATAATGGCAGCTGTCAATGAATACGGAGAAATCACTTTCAGGGTTTTCATTTTCTTAATCATATTGATTACGATTAATGTAAGTTTTTTTCAGATTTACGTTTTAAAATCAACTTTTTAAAATATAATGTAAAAATTACAGTACTCTTTAATTTTAAATAAAAATAGCCATAAACATTGTTTTAGGTACCAATAGTAGCAACCTTCCCAAAACAACACGTCCAAAAAAGCTTCTTGACCAACTTGGATGACGTCTTCTACAACTTATACAGTCAATACAATCTCTTATGTTTCACAGAAGGCACCGACAGTACAATAGTCCTCATCTCCTTACTCTTCTTCTGCTCTTTCATCATTTTCTGCTTCATCTCAGCCCTCTACTTCATCTACAATAATATCATAATCACGGGTAACCCAGCCACCCTCAAGCTTCAGTTCATGTTCTTCAGATCCCTCTCAGCTCAGATGGGTGTCACTATGTTAGTCATCCTCGTACCTGGCTTCTTTTTCTGTCTCACTCCTATAATTAAGTTACCATACCTTCCCTTGTACAGCATGGCTTGTATATGTTTGTTTAATTGTCATCTGATCGCTGAGTGCTTTATGATATTGTACTGTATAGTGCCGTTTAGGAGGTTTTGTATCTATTTGGTCTTAAAGATTAAGAAAAATGCCAAAAGGCGAGTTGCTAGCAAGAATTGATCTGTTTTAGAGGTAAAGTAATTGTAAAATACCCTGGCTCAATAAAGAATGAAATTAGAGTATTTTACAAGGTAGAATATGTAAACAGTAATAAATTATTGATAAGCTAGACTTGCTTTTAAAGAGTGTTTTATTATATATTCCGCAAAGACGCTAAAAATCATATTATACCACTAGTTATCTTTTCTTAAAGTAGTATTTTGTACGAAAACAAAGAAAGCTAATGTTTTAGATACCTAAAACATATAAAAAGTTAAATATATTGGATAAAAATTGTTTTCTTTGTCTAATTATTGTAGTTTAAAGATATTAGGTTAGCGTGACTTTCGTGGTGAGATCCAATTAGGAAAAAATGTACAGTGGCGCTCAAAAAAAACGGGCACCTCAAAATTTAGTCCATAAATGAAAATTTTTGTAATATTATTGCATACATTGTGTTCCATTATAGTTGTACGATAATTTTAATTTATTTTATGCAAAAAAATTGCGTTAGTTGCAAGTTGCAATTTTTGAAAACGCGAAATTTCAATTCAAGGTGTCCAAAAAAATGGGCAGGTATAACAACGTCCTATTTTCGTACCAACCATGTAATTTAAAGGGACAAAAACAGTATCTAAATACTAAATAGCATCTATTAATTAGTTGCACAACATTTAGAACAACGATGCCAATCATTTTTGTGGGTACCTAGGCGATCATTTATTGACCATGATGATGGGTGAGTTTGAGCACTTACCTGTCAGACTTAACATAAGTTCACTTTCACTTACTGGAGTTGTTTTTTATCTTTGCTTGCAATCATTTACAATACATTTATGGTCGGGTTTAGCTTGCAAATTGACTTGGTCACTCAAGTTCGACGGTCTTCTCCTTCAGTATGACCGCTCTTACAACTTCGGAAGTGTGCTGCTCATCGTAGTCGCTTTGAAATATGACAATTTTACATTTTTACTATCAACAATAAGCTAAAGTAACGCTTTGTAAAGTTTCACAACATTTGGACTCATATCTAATTTTTTTGGTTTGATGCAACACACCGATATTGTTATAGGCAAAGCATCTCAAACCATAAATCTTCTACAGTGCTTCACAGTTGAGCGACAAACTTGTGGTTTGTTTTCTTTGATAAAGCGTCTTTTAAAGTATCTTTTACTACTAGATACTTCCACATAAAATTTTATTTCATTTGGCACAATCACTTTTCCTGATTGTCCATTATTTAAAACAGTAGAGCTCGTAGAAATTCAACCTAAACTTTTTTGTTTTTAACTATACTTACCGGTTTTTTGGTTTATATACAACTCAAAAGTCTCTTTTCAACATATCTACCTTCGATTGGTTGTTTGTTAACCTTTAGCCAGATTCAGTTTCAACTTCTTCTTTGATCAATATTGTAGTAGTCGACGGATCGTACTTCTACCACATTATACTTGCGTTATTGCCCTTAATGGTCGTTTTTTGAGATCTTCTACATCTCAATAATTTTCTGTGCATTCAACCTCAGAATAACTTGAGAAAAAATTTTTTTTAGAGGTTGGTTACTACACTTAAGGTATAACATGTTTATCATCATCCGATGCCTTTTTCATCAACTGAATAGGCCCGTGCTTACCTATTATACTTTTATAAATACTAAAGTAATATAAATATACAGAAAACATTCAGAATCTATATGTAAAAACTGAGAAGTGTTTTTTACTTACACATGACCATTTTTTTTGGACACCTTGGATTGAAACTTCGCGTTGCCAAAAGTTGTAACATGCAACTAATGCAATTTTTTCGCAAAAAATAAATTAAAATTATTGTACAACTATAATGGAACACAATATATGCAATATTATTACAAAAATTTACATTTATCGATTAATGTTTGAAGTGCCCGTTTTTTTTGAGCGCCACTGTAAATGAGTTATTATACATTAGATTTAAATAATTATTTGCTTCTTCTCAACATAGATTTTTGGAGTTTGGGGCACAAAATTATTTAAACAACCTAATACACATAAAGAGAATCCGGGCATAGTCTTACAATTTCATTTCAGACAACGTCAATATCGAGCCACTTTGAATAAAAATAACCAAAAAAGATTGAAAACAGAATTTATTTCGATTTCGTGTTTTGAGTTTTATCAGTTTGGCCAGAGGATCGTTTCGGTTTGGTACCAGAAGTCTTCTTCCTAGTGGAGCCAGAAACTCTTTTGTCTCCAGACCTTTTGCTGCCTGAAGTCTTTGATCCAGAAGTCTTGGTTTTGTTAGTACAATGATACGACAATGGGTGCTCGGGTTCTAATGGCCATTTGATAACCGGTAGGGTTGTTAGACTTTTCTCTGAAATTTTCTATTTGTCTTTGTAAATAAAATAATTAGGCTTCTGTCTTACGATTGTTAGTAAGAAGTCAATGCTTGTAAAACTACATTTTACAATGTAAAAAGGACTTTAAAGCTACAATTTTTTTCTAGCTTATTTTTCGATACAATGATCATATATATATGTAACAACAAAAACATAAAAAGAAGATAGCTCGGTATGATAACTTACCGTTGACTAATTGACTATTAACCCTTCTTGTAATGACAATTCCTTCGTATATGACATAGGCCATATTAAGGAATAGGAAAATGAGAGCATAAGCTAAAAATATACTGTTTTATAGCAAGAACAGTCATTATGCTTGGTAATACACATTATTATGCTTTACATTTTTTTAAAAAGTCAAATTATTTGTTGCGGGACCTAAGTTGAGCTTTTGAAGCCTTTTCTTGAGCCTGGCCCTCGGGTCCCAAATTCCGACCCGGGCGAGCACAGCCCAGCCAGAGGTCGAGCAGAGCCGGGGTTATTGGGGTTAGCTGAGACAGAACCAGGCCTAAAAACTTTTTTTACTATACATAATAGAGTAACTATTCACTATGATTCACCAACTTAAAAGGTCACCTACTATAATTAACAGCTTACCTCAAATAATCTATTTATTTACAAAGTACACTGCAGCTATTACCTATCTTATGATACCTTTTGTACACGGATACAGTAATAGCTCCGAGAAGCTTTGTATACGTCAACTTAACTATAGTATAAACGTACCACTAATGATGGGGATCCAGATGTTGCCGAGGTCGTCTTCTTCCTGGCTCATCTCCGACCGCCCCAATCGACTGACAAAAGTGAAAATAAAGTTAATCCCCGGCTCAGCGACGTAAATCTGTCATGATTCTCAGTCGTTGGGCTTACGAACATGTTCAAGGTTACCCTCTTCCTGTTTCTGTTTTTTGGAGATGTTGTCGCCGTGCAGAGGTTTCCAATGGGTATGTTATCATGGTTATCACTCAAATAATTGTAAAATTAAAAAAAAGACCAAAAGATTTTAAAGTGATTTTGTAAACCTTTAGACAATAGGGCACAAAATTAATTGGACAACCTAATATTTTGTAGAAGCACCATCAATACCGCCAAAGTTTTATGCAGTAAACAGTAAAAACGATGATTACGACGACTACCATCACACCTTGGAAATGTGGACTAAAAATGTGGTGCGACAGCAGAATGAGGTACAGTAATGTCTTGTCTTAACCAATAGTTTGATAATTTATCAGTACTTATGTTTATATTTTTTATTTTTTGTAGGAAAACCAGCGTTTTCAAGAAGCGATGCAGCTCCAGCGACAACCTTTCAGTGACAATCTTTTCAATCCTCTCAACGGTCGATTCAACCGAAATCCTGTTTTGGATTGGCGAAATGGTAACATTTATTTTAATATTATGCTCTTGTCTTTTAAATTTAAAAATAATTTTTAGAGCCGAGAAAGGTACCTTTATTGAACCCTTATCAAAACAATAGGCCTATGGATATTGATTGTAAGTTTTTATGATACAGTAGAACTCCTGTACAGTGTAATGTGTGCTGATATTTAAGTTTAGTTCAACAACTGAACGCCCCAGTTCCATTACCTTCGTTACCGTCATTGGATCAAAACGTACCGTTACGAAGGCCAATGACAAAAGATGGTAAAGCAGTTACTATGGATCAAAGTAAGTATTGTTAATTGCATTGACATAATCCTATACGGTAAATAATGTATATATTAGGTTGTTTAAATAATTCTGTGCTCTGTAATCTTGAAAATTTTCTTTGAAAGGGGCACATAATTATTTGAACAACCTAATAGTAACATAATGACTCGGCAAACCTTTAAATTTCTAAAAGCCTTTGGTCAAGTTACTGTACTGTTTAGTACTGGTACGTTTCTTACAATATTATTACAAAATTTTGAAGACATATTGACTATACGACCTGAAGATCATAAAGTTTGTTTTTATTACGAGTTTTATTGACATTAATTAAAGAAACTGTTGGTTTTTGATGTCTAATTTTACTATGACATTGCTGATTATGACTATTTTTAAAACAACATATCAGTTACTATTCATATATAGTTGATATAGTAAATAAACAAAATCAAATCACCATAAACCTCCCATATTTGCTTTATACACAGATTCATAAATATTACTATACTTAATATACAATTAATATAACGGTATATTATGGCAAATTTAAACAATAACATATGTTATACTACATATTGTAGTAAGTACTTTCAGTATCTCCAAAGCCATTGCTGCTACACGGTTGGAACGGTCCAGACATGATTGACGGCTTCAATTTCAAAGCCCTGAAGTCGTTGCAATAAACTTTTGACTGTTTGTGTATGTGATATGTTTGTGTTTGGATAGTAACCTTCTCTAATCTTCGGATCGTCACCTCCGTCTTCCGATTCTTGTTCCCTCAAAGCGTGGTGACTTTTTGATCCGATTTTGAGAAAACATAAGGTTTTTCAGTCTGCTGAGGTTATGTTATAGTAGTTTAGAATGTATAAGGAGTGTAAAATAATGGTAATGGCTTCTTAATTTCTAAAAAATCCTGGGTATACCTACTACAATATAATTTGAGTAAAGCATCATTCTCTGTCATTTTCTGCCCATTACTGCCATTTTAGGCCCTAAATATGTTAATTTCCCAACCTTTTTTCCGTCTTTTCTGTCTGATTCAGAAGCCGAAGAAGTTGTTCGCGCGCCTTTTCGAATTCCCAGGTTCAAAAAGTGTCAAAAAAACAAGAAATATAATGTAAAAGTAGTAGAAAGAGGGGAAGAAAAAGCAGGTGATCGTCCTTCTTCCACATCAAAGACGACACAAGGCTTTTACTACTCTCTACCCGGTTACCTCAGTATATTCTCTCGATCGTACTCTTTGTTTTAGTCTGTAACACTAGATCGGTCAGTAATTAGATAACCAAGACCTTTATTTTTGTATAGTAATCTTTGAAAGAATATTTGTATAATGATCAGATTTTTAAATAGAAAATTTTATTTCTACTTGAATTTCACTTGTTTCTTCATCAAAATGTCACTGCACCGTGCATAACTTCAATATCTTTTGAACCAAACTTATATAACCACAATAATTTGTCATAACTTTGAGCTTTTTAAATCACTTTGTCATAACGATCGAACAGAACCTTATAAATTTAATTCTCGTTTTATAATGGCAGTAAAACCAAGATTTTTGTTTTTATGGCCACAGACTGATTGAAATTTATGTTTGATCACATTTGAAGCGCATAAATAGTCGTACTAACCATTCTATTACTTTGTTTGTTTTTCTCATCATTTCGTTTCGTAAATCTAGCCAAATCTAAACAATTTTAGGTCTTATGACATTGATTATTACCATCAACAAGTTGGTTTAGGTTTTAAAGGTAAAATAAACAACTTGGCTTTGGTTTTAAAGGTATACCTTGAAGTAGACTGAGTTTTCCTTGCTTTTATTTTTGATGTCCAACTGACTTTAAAGAAAAGTGAGATTAAGATTTGAAGATTATATTATCATTGGGAGGGATAACAAAGCCAGTTTTGCCAAATAACTTTAATTTTTGAAAATCCGTTAAAACCTTTCAAATTCTTTCAAAAAAAGTCCTAATGTAAACATAGCCCGATGCGGTGAGCAATAAACAGTTCATTAACTGTTTTGTTTTTATTTCTTCACCAATTTGTCATTCGAGCATCCAATTCGAACATGACACAGTGATGTGTTGCTGTTTCGATGACATTTCGCGTCGATATTATCCATGAGAAAGGGAATCTGGCGTCATTTCGATGTCGAACCTTATTCAGGCGCTCCCAAAAACCGCGGCGACGACAGATAATCAACCGTTTTCCGATAAATTTATTTGTTTTTCCCGAAAATTGCTAATTTGTTCACAAAATTGATCATTTTTCTGGAAAACTGATCAGTTGTGCGGGATAACTGATTTTTTAGAAAATCAAGAAGTTATCGATAAAACTTGTCAAATTTTAAAAATTTGTCGTTTCTTCAGGAAAATAAATTATGTCTTTTATAAAGTACAGACCAATCACAGCTTTTATACCCGTCGCGATGACACATTTTCTGGACGCTTGTCGAACTGTTTTTGGGTTATCCTCTTGCTTTTGTGGATCCGCGTGAACGTTTGGATAGTCATCAAGTCGCGTCACGCCCTTCACTCGCCTTTTTTCCTTATTTTAGTTGCAAATTTGATATTTATAGAGCTTATCAGTGCCTGACTCATCCGCGTTATGGGCCTACAATCCAATTCCGTGGCGTTGCGAGTGGAGAAAAAGTTGGCTGGCAAGTTGGGCCATCGTTCCGTGGCCAAGCACATTCTGCCTGATGAAGTTCTCGAAGCAATCGACGGTTTTCAACAGATTCTGGTCGAATTTTACTCGCAAAAGGAGGCCGAAAAGGTAAGTGAATATAATTTATGGGTTTGGCGGGGAATTTTATGTTTTTACTAATTTTTGGAGCAAAATGGATGTTGTACTTGATTCTTGAGGAAACTGTAGGTATTTTAAACGTTTTTAAGTTAATAAAAGGTTGCAACAAGTTTTAGATTTTAAAGTTTTGTTGTTTTAAAAGGTTGATTCATAGTTTTTCAAGAATCAAGTGTAAATATTGTTTTTCTTTTCAAATTTATATTGCTTTAGATAGGTCTTGCTTTTCCCCATTTAAACTACTTATCTTGACTAACGTATACCATAATGGCTTCAATATACATCACAAACTCTTAATTTTCGTATTTTAGGTAATTTCCGGTGTGATCAAGACTGTAATGAAGCTTGGGATCATGTTCCAAGAGCCCGCCAACATTGACAACAATCTGGACATGCTCATGAACATGCAGACCAAGCTCAGGAACCTGTTCATGACCGTCCAGTCATTCCATCAAGTCGACTACAGCTACTCCAGGAATCACTTGTTCCTGATCATGGACGATGCCAGAGAGGCCTTGTTGGTTGTGGTTCAGAAGTTACTGAGTCCAAAATCTTCGCTTCGAGTCGATTTCATATTCGAGAAGCTGAGGAACGCCGAGATGATGGACGAGTTCTTCAAGGTTGGCGGCAGGTTCGAACCGAACAGGGAGAAGTTGATCTACGCGGTGGATATGATCGTTCCATGAGAGGACGTGATGTTCTGTAGATGTAACAAGGATTGTCCTTGATAAATCTATTGCTCATTATACCTACTGTCTCTCAAGTGCATTATATGGTCGTTTTTATACCGGTAGCTCTAAGCTTTTAATCAGTGCAAGTTATTGTTGTATTTCGGTGCCTTATTGTACATATTATATCATTTTTTATAGAGTTTATATTAATAGTATTTTTTTAAATTGACGTTTATATTAACTTTGATTGTAATCTTATTATATGATCTTTAACAGTCTGATCATCATTTAAAAACTCGAGGCATTTACGATTGTTCTTTCATTTTCAGCCATAATCTTCGTTATGTATAATATAACGTGTCATGATGTGTCCAATAGTTTAAGGACGTGCTTTATATAGCATATGTAACCTTATTTTATATAAGTTTATATTTTGACGGTGATATTTAGCTACATCTGATGTAATATAATATCCTTTATTTTAATTAACTGAAAATGTAAATAAATTTAATAACTTAAGAATGGACCCGTTTTGTATTGTCGAACCGGCTTCTGAACATTGTGCGAGGGAATCATTGTGGGCTCTCGAGAAGCGACGCACTCCACATGTCATCTGAATTCAGACGCTGGTAATTCGAAACACGCGGTCTGCGAGGGCGCCTGAAATGCGACGTAATTAATGGGTTTGTGTTCGAGTTACGAGATATTATCATAAAGAGTGTCAAAAACTGTCTACAACGGTAAAAAACACCAGATTCTTCGTTTAAAAGCAATTATATCATAATATAGGTATCAGCTATTTCAGATAAACTTACCATAAGAACTTGTAGAAGAGATAGAACATGAGGCCGAACAAGACACCCAATATCAACATGGCTAACCTCAGCGGAGCGTACTCGTCCATCTCGGTGCTCGAACTCATCTTCAGGTTCTTGGCTCGGCTTATCACCGTGCTGTTATCCATCTGAATGTCGTTCGGAAATCCGAGTAATAACAACGCTAGTTTCGGAAAAAGGTTTCTTTTTAGAAAGAAAAAAGCGAATGGAGAGACGTTCCCTTCGAGAAACACCACACAAATATACATACATGAATATAAGACCAAATCATGTTCATCACTCTGCCCAAACCAAACATCGATTCTAATTTATTATCGTAATTAGGACATAATTAGGACAAGTCTCACAATATATGACAATTACAAATTGGAAAAAACTACAAGTTGCACGGAAACTAAAAATTGTTTAATTTAAAAACTGAATGCCTAAGGGGCGGTGATGATGCGGACGGTGTTGGTGTAGCCGGAGCCTTCCTTCCATCCGGTGATTACCACGATCGGGTCTCCCTTGTGGATGAAGCCTCTGTCAGCGCCAATCGAGATACCATAGTTAATGCGAGCATCGACATCAGCAGCCCATTCCGGCTTCCTCTCCTTGTTGTAGTGGAGTGGGAACACGGCACGGTACAGATGGAGTTGGCGAGCAGTTTGGGGGTTTCTCGAGATGGCAATGATTGGAACTTGGGGCTTGAATCGTGAGCACAGCTCAGCAGATCTGAAAAGCATAAAAATTAGTTTTAAAAATGAAAAAATTCATAAAAATCCCAGAAAAGGCTAAAAATTATCAGTTGAAAATATAAAATCAATGTTGTTAAATAACATACCTTCCACTGGTGGTCAACAAGATGATAGCGCTGGCGTGGCAAGCTGACGCAGCTGAAGTGGCGGCTATAGCGATGGTGTGGGCATTATCAGTTGGTCTTGGAGTTAATCTGTTCAACTCCTCGACAAACTTGATGTGGAACACGGCGCTCTCGGCTTCTTTGCAAATCTGTAAACCAAAATCATCAAATTAAATCATTTTATATCAATATTTAACATAAAATGCATTTCAAACTTCAAAATTCGTTTCCTATACCTTAACATATTGTACTATCTTATACTCTATGAAATCATACAGTAAACCCCTTTTAAACTTACGTAATGCATGATCTTCAAAGCCTCCAAAGGATATTCACCCTTGGCGGTTTCTCCACTCAACATAACACAGTCAGCTCCATCCAATACAGCATTAGCGACATCAGATCCTTCAGCACGAGTTGGACGAGGCTTGTGAACCATAGATTCCAACATTTGTGTAGCACAAATCACAGATTTGCCGGCTCTGTTACACTTGCTGATCATCATCTTCTGGGCCAAGAACACCTTCTCAGCTGGAATCTCAATACCCAAGTCTCCACGAGCCACCATGACACCATCGGATGCGGCAATGATCTCATCCACATTGTCTACACCTTCTTGGTTCTCAATCTTGGAGATGATCTTGATGTTCTTTCCTTCTTCACCGAGGATCTTTCTGATGGTACGAACTCCTTCGGCGTTTCTGATGAATGAAGCAAAGATCATGTCGACACCTTGTTCGACACCAAACTTCAAATCCTTAATGTCCTTCTCTGAGACGGCTGGGAGATCGACTGGTGTTCCTGGAAGGTTGACACCCTTTCTGGAGCCGAGCATGCCACCGTTCTCGACCGTGCACACCAAAGCGTCTTCACCTAAACAAAGAAACTATTAATATCAATCATCTAAACACAGATATGACTATTTTTAACTAAACTTTAAGATTTTAGCACCTAAAGACAAAGGTAAACTGAAAAAAGTACTTACTGACTTCGTTGACGACCAAAGAGATGAGTCCATCATCGATAAATACCTTTGATCCGACTTGGCACACTTTGGTGATGTTGGTATAGTCGACATACAAGTTGGAAGCAGTTCCAGACTGTTCCAAATTCTTATCAGTGCACAAACGAATGCTGCTTCCCTTGACAAGTTCAATTTCGGCCGATCCACTTCCGTTCAGAAGGCCAGTTCTAATTTCTGGTCCCTTGGTGTCCAAAGCGATAGCGATGATTCTCTCCTCGTCAAAGGATTTGGCAGCTTCACGAACGTTCTTGATGGTTTCACCGTGATACTCGTGGGATCCGTGAGAGAAGTTCATACGGGCAATGTTCATACCATTAACAATCATCTTCTGAAGCATGTCCACAGAACGGCAAGCGGGACCGATGGTACAGATGATACCAGTTTTACGGACCGAATGAGGTGGCTCACGGATGTCGAGGCGGCACAGATGCTCGAGGTTGGTCGAAGCGTGCAGATATTCATTCTTTTGTTCTTGTCTAAAATACGAAGTTTAAAAAACATTAAAATCCAAAATATCCAAGTTGAAAAACTTTAAATATATAAAGTTAGAAGTAAAAAACACTACTTTAGGTAGATTTAAAGCCACAAAACAGGAAGAACAGTCAACGAAGTTACTTTTTGTACCAAAAACAGCGTTCAAATCCAAGTTTAGAGCTGTCCTCAACAGACATGTTGTCATAAAAGCCGTTATGATAATATTAGGCTGTTTAGCATACTCACATTCAACCAAATATATTAATCACCCCGATTATCTGATCCCAAATAATCATTTTCCAAATCACACTGTAAATAATAAAAAAGTTACAGTAATATAAATTAGCACTCGACAAAACCTTTAAAAATGGTAGATAAAACCCTCAAAAACCGTGTAAAAACCACAATAATGGTACACAAACCTTTCAAAAGTCTACAAAACCTATAACACAGTAAATAATATCGAAAACTACAGTAATTTTCCTTTATAGTAACGAAAATTACAGTATTTTACCATGAAAACCAGAAAAACCCTAAGGAATCGTACAAAAACCCCTCAAGCACTGTGAATAACCCCTGAAAACAAGCACAAACACAACATAAACAACACCACACCTGTGCTTATGCTTGAAGCTAGAAACCGAACATTCCGTCGAAGCCTTCATACCCAGATATTACACAACCGCTCACTGCTTACACGCTCAGCAAAACTAATTACTCTTACATTTCGCTCACAACAAAACTGTCATGTAAATTTGCATTAGTGCATTAGGCAGATTGTATGGGTTCACTCACTTTTCGTAGCTAGCCTTCTCCAGCTCGGCTTTGAAAGCGGCTTCGGCCTCGGTGGAAACCATCTAAACGACCACAGACGTTACTCATGCTACGTACGCGAGTTTTGGTATAATTAGAGTAGAAAACAGAGGAAAGACTGTTAATATTTTGAACTTTAAATTGGGTAAAACTTCTGTTTTTGGCCCTATTCTTAGATTATATTATAGTAGATAATATGCAAATGTTTGACCTTAAAATTCAGAGTGATTCATTGAAAATTTAGAAAATTGTAAAGCATACAAATCCTAACTAGAGTCAAAACCTTAAAGTTCATAACTTCAATAATCCTTTTGAAGCTAATGGCTATCTCATATTTCATAGAACATGCTAAAAACAAAAGTTTTACCTTTTTACTATAAAAATCATGGTTTTACAACAAATGTCATATTGTTATTCTACTGATTGAAACAAGTGTCTTTGTGCACATGACCCTGTTTACCCCAAAAACAAAAAAGTTCGGCCAAAAAACCCCGAAATCCTTATACTTTAGGTATATTTTCGATCCAAAACATAATTTTTCAAACTTTTTTAGATCAACAATAGCCAAAAACATAAATTTACAAATTTTGGTCAATCAAAAATAACCCAAAAAGCCCACTTTAGATCCAATGAAAACCGTAAAAACAAAAAATTTTAAGAGGATTTCGGTAGTTGTTTACTCTGTAAATGTCCCCGAACTGTAGAAAAGAGTTCACTCGATTGTTTCAAATGCAAATAGAAACAATTAAAACAAACAATCAACTTTGATTGGCCAAACATTTTGCCAAGGTTGGGGTCAAAAGGCCAAGTTATAGCATCTTATAGACAGTCAAATAAGCGTTTTCCCTTTTAAAACATAAAATTTTAAATATTTCTTGAAAATTTGAACTTTAAAGACGAAAACCTGATTGAGAAATGATCTGACGTATCAAACAAGAGCATGACCATGTTTCATAACATCAACTACATGCACTTACAAACAAAAACCACTGTAATTTACAAAATTCAAAACTCTTTACCTCTTTTTCCGTCATTTTGCAATAGGAATCTAGAGAAATAGAAACACAAAACAAGGCCAAAACATTCGTGGCCTTGTGAAATTTTGCTACGCTTATTTGACTGCCTAAGGGATACCTAAAGTTATAAACATGTTGACAGAACCTTTTCGAACGTTCGAATGAATCGAAGAGAGCTGTTGGCCGTTCGCCGGGCCGCGCTCATGGCATCGCAAAAGTCTTTCGAAAGCGAAGGGGAAGCCCTTTAGCAAAGCAAAACTTGGCCCCGTTTTCTGAAAGAAGCGGGGCCAAGGCAAGAAAAGGGAGTTCAAGCCGTGAGGAGGGGGGAAGAGTCATTGGCTTTAGAAAGAGTTAGAATCTTGGAAACGGGGGCATTTTGAATCCAAGAAGCGGGGGTTTTCAGGCTAAAAAGCGGGGTTTCACATTCAAAAAAAGCCAATTCAAGGGGCCAGACCGCGAAAAAGAAAGACGAGGGCTTGGCCGCGTTTGTTCATGTGAAAGACAACCGATTCTCCACGCCGTTTCCCCCTTTTTACTCAAGTGTCTGCACGGAACACCTATTTAACATGCCTTATTCATCCCGTTTTGTCACGTAAAGTAATGAGCTTAAGGGCGGTAGTGCAAATTCTTGGGAACAAAAAGACGCTACAGTCTGTTGCTTTAAACTCTTTTAAGTTTAAGTAAACTCCTCTGGTTAGTATAAAGTTTTCTCTAAACATTCTACTCAAAATTAAACTAAATTTTATCAAAACCAAATGAAACAACAGTCAGAAAAAGAATATAATCGACAATTAGACCAATTTTACTAATAGTAAACTCTACAGTTAGATGAAAGTTACTCAGAGTAAATTGTCTTAACCTTTTCAAGTTCAAAAGTTTGTTCCCTCGATTTCGAAAGGAATTATTCGAATTACGAGGTCGGATCGACCTTGAATTTGTCGTCATTATGCAAGCAAACAGCTGCCGGTCAAGGAAAAAACACTTTTTCTAATGCCGTTGACATTCTCTTACATTCAAAAGATCAAAAGCTTGTTATTTGTATTTTAATAATAACATCTTAAACCCAAAAACTCATTTTTATATTGAACACAATCTGCCTTACACTCACATAACATTATTCCCAAGTTGCGTTTAAAACCAGTAAAAGTAACGAATAAAGCATCATCATAACATTATAGTCTATGACAATATTCAACAACATTAAATTTCAATGAATTCCTTACATTTTCATTATTCTCCCTCTCACATCGTCATTACCCATACCTCAATCTCATAGTCTAAACCAAAAGACACAAAATTTTATAAAGAAAACTTACACATAGTATTCACCATCAATTTGCTCCTCCATGGTGAGGCGACGGGTACGACGGAAATCTCCAGATGCCATTTCTCCAACCTGAAAAGAAGTTACACCAAGTTTCACAATATTCTTCAAAACAACATCAACACATTACAAAGACCGCCTTAAACATGCGACGCGTTAGAGTATCGTGAAATTGAGGGCAATAACTGTTCAAAACGATAAACTTCAAACTGTTGAAACACATTTAATACGATATTATACTTGATGGAAATGCAGTTTTGTGTTTAAAAGCTGAATATTCATAGAGAAAAGCACACGAGTCACAAAGTTTAGTAACTACAGTTTAGTCTGCAAAATAATCTTGCTGTGAAGATCAAAACTGCCCTTTGAAATGCGAGAAAGGGCCGCCACAAAAGGAAACATTCGAAAAGCGGGTATGGGATGATCACATTGTTCCTGCCCCAAAACGAAACGCGAATCAGACATGTAAATCACGTGTAGCAAACGCCCGAACTGTCCACAATGGCGAGCCGGCGCTTAAATTATGAAGAACAGCAAGCGTTTCACCTTTTTTCCATGTTTATATTACACTAAAGGGCTTAAAATCACATTACACAAAAGGACGTCAAAACAGACCTTTTAAAAATGAAAATGATCCGTCTGCGTACAAGTAGCCTTGTAATCAAGATAAAAGTAACCTTGTATTCCCTCCTCCCCTACAGAAAACAGTTTAGAAGCCCAAAAAATGGTTGGGGAAAACAAATACATAAATTAAGTCATCGATGAATCGTTATCAAGGTGAAAATACATGATCAAACGTTAGCAAACAAAACTTTGTTATTGAAAAGACAAACAAAGTTCGATTCACAAGGCTAAATTGATGAGAAGTCGAGAAAAATGTAAACAAATCGACAAATTTTATAGATTTTGGAGACAATTCTATAAAAAGTGTCATTTTAGGCAAAAATTCTATGAAATATGTCAGTTTATCGAAAAATTCTTCATATTCGGTCATTGGCAGGCAAAATTTTGTCGGAATGTTCCATTGAGTTTTTGAGCTATTATTGTATTAAATTAGGTATCTGGCTTTTATAAAACTACCTTATTTTACAAATCTTTAACATCTCAAAAATAATTGAACGTCTTCACGTTCGTTTGCAGAGAGTTGTTTGTTTGGACGCGAATTCCTTGAGGCACTTTATCAGTCTGACTGATAAGGTATTCATACGTATTTTTGACATTGTTTTTGTAATTTTCAGATCGGTAAAGGTTATTTATAGAGCTCATAGTATTCATAATGTTTGAAGGTTTATTACAGTTCGAGAAAGACGCAACAACATGGGCAATATCTTGTTTTAGTTAATTTTCTTTGGTTGAAAGGTCTGAACCTCGGTTGACTAGAATATTTAGGTAAAGATGTTTTTATCGTGGATTTTTGAGGCTTCATCTTTCATCATGGAATTTAAAGATAAAACTACATTGTATTATTAAGATTAAAGGAAAATGGCTTTGTTGATTACGTTTGACCTTATTTTAGGTATAACTTTGTTGAAGTTCGAATTCTAATATTCAATGTCGCCTCCATCGCCATCTTCATCATAAGCAATCTCTTCGTAGTCTTTCTCCAATGCAGCTAGATCTTCACGAGCTTCAGAGAATTCTCCTTCTTCCATTCCTTCACCAACGTACCTGGAAAGCATATTATAGTAGCTTTTTCTGTTTTTTCAACATTGTAGTATGTTTCACTGCTTTGGATTTGCATTAATTTTCTCTGGTTACTCTCTATATGTTTTGTGTCAAATTTGTCAGCTCTTTTAAGGCTTTTGGATTTTAAAATCACTTGAAAATCCTGTTTGACCTCAATATTATCATCTACATCAACTTACCAATGAACAAAAGCTCGTTTAGCATACATGAGGTCGAACTTGTAATCCAGTCTGGCCCAAGCTTCAGCGATAGCACTAGTATTGGCCAGCATGCACACAGATCGTGGTATCTTGGCCAAGTCTCCGTTTGGCACGACAGTTGGTGGTTGGTAGTTGATACCTACTTTGAAGCCAGTTGGAGACCATTCCACGAACTTTACCGGGGAATGAAGCTTGATGGCAGCGATGGCAGAGTTTACATCTTTTGGTACAACATCTCCTCTGTACAGTAGACAGCAAGCCATATATTTGCCTTTGTGAGGGTCACACTTGACCATCTGATTGTCCTTTTCGAAACACATCTTGGTGACTTCGGCTACATTCAGAAGTTGGTGGTAGGCTCGGTCTCTGAAAGGTGATATTGTTGTTCATCAAATATACTTTTTATTTTACTGTAATATTACTATGCATTGTGGTATATCAAGTCAGTCTAAATTTTATGGATATCTTTAGGTATAGTTATTCTAAATTTAAGTAAAATGTTGTGGTAATACCAATACTAATATGATATTCATACAAATACTGCTATAATATGCATAGAATAACGTACTCAGCCAGGATAGGAGCATAAGTGACCAATGGGTAGTGTATTCTCGGGTATGGTACCAAGTTTGTTTGGAATTCACTCAAATCAACATTCAAAGCTCCGTCGAAGCGCAGCGACGCTGTTATGGAAGATACGACTTGAGCAATCAGACGGTTTAAGTTGGTATACGTCGGCCTAGAATTTTATTTTAACTTTGATATAAATCAGCACCGTGCTTTTTGTTTTATCATATTTTTTCTTTGTGCTTTAGATATCTAGGTCTAAAAGTATTTTTGAGAAGTGAAGATTGGAAGTCATACCTGCTGATATTCAGATTTCTTTGACATATCTCATAGATGGCCTCATTATCAACCATAAACGAGCAATCCGAATGTTCCAGCGTGGTGTGAGTAGTGAGGATGGAATTGTAAGGTTCTACAACAGCTGTTGAGATTCTGGGGGCTGAAATAGTTCCTTACTTTATTCCTTGAACTTTTAGACCACAGTAAGGTCTCCTTTCTGATTAATTATTACCTGGATAGATACTAAACTCAAGTTTGGTTTTCTTTCCGAACTCTGTGCTTAGTCGTTCCATTAACAAAGCTGTGAATCCACTGCCGGTTCCTCCGCCAAATGAGTGGTATACCATGAAGCCTTGGAGGCCTGAACATGATTCTGCGCTTCCTTGAACAAAATCGGTAATACAAACGTATAGCATGTGATTTTGATCTATTTAGGATGAAGTTATCGGATATAACATTGTGTTAAGAGTAGGGCGGGGATTTTTAAAAGACTTAAAAGTCTGAAGAGGGGAGGGGTAAAGAATTTAAGAGGGGAGATGATTTGATTTAGTATATACTTTTGTGTATATAATTATATATACTGTAACATACGTCTGATTCTGTCCATAGTAACATCGATGATTTCTCTGCCGACTGTATAATGGCCTCGAGCATAGTTATTGGCCGCGTCTTCTTTCCCAGTGATTAGTTGAGCTGGGTGGTACAGTTGGCGATAGGCACCAGTTCTTACCTCGTCTGTAAAGTTTTAATTATTGTATGGTAACTTCTTTTATAAGTAATGTTATCAGGGGGGGGGGCGCATGATTAAGTGAACGGCTTAGTAGTTATGCTAAAATAAGTTTGTTCATGTTGAGATTAATATTTGAACGAATATAGTTGCTTACCGATTACAGTAGGCTCCAAGTCGACGAATACTGTACGTGGCACGAATTTTCCTAAAATAATATCGATATTATCACTCATATCATATTGATTATAAGAGTTGTTTTTTCTATTTAAAAATAATGGGGCACATAATTATTTGAATAACTTGGTATACAAATTTTTTCTTTGAGATACCATTACTGCTTTCTTGAAAGAAAGTTCCCAGACTTTTGTCTACTTCATCAATACATTCACCATCGGCTCGGATGCCATGTTCCAGGCAGAACAACTCCCAACAAGCATTGCCAATCTGGACACCAGCTTGGCCTACGTGAAGACTGATGACTTCTCTCTTAAATATGTTAAATATCTAGCACAATGGGCATGGTAACATAAGTTTTTACTGATATATAGAAGATAATGTCATATTTTCAATTTTTTTTAAATTTTGCAAATTTAAAAATTGGAATTTAAAAATTTTTTAAAGAAATTATCTTTTTTAAGTCAACATTACATAGTAAAAAATGAAAATCTAGTATATATTGAAGTATATATTGACCAGTGTTTACTTACCCCCACCTTGACCATGATCCTTTGTGCCGTAAATGCCCCGAGGCTAGAACTGGGACAATTTCCGGTGTGGACGGAACAATTTGAATATCTCCCGGGGCTTTTGGTATTCAAACGATAATTATAGGGGCGTTACGTTTTCAGTGCGAAATATTACATTGTAGTAGGGTCTTACATCTAACTTCTGTTTTTAAAAGAGAAAAAAGTTGGAGACACGTATGTTGCACTAGTTCTTATATTAATGTGAGCATTGATGACATAAAAATTGAATTTAAAAAGTCATTTTTAATTTTTAAATGATAGTAATGTTTAATTAAAAGGTTTTTCGTTTTTTCATGCAAAAGGCTAAGCTAATTGAAGACAAGACTTTTTATGACATTTTAAAATTAACTTTTTTTAAATTTTTGTGCAAAGCAATTACTCTGAGACTTTATACATAGTAGGTACTATGCCTATGGTACTACTGGTACTATTTTTAGCCGACTTGTAAAACATTGTAATAGAATTGTTTGTCAATTAATATTAAGTGACCTTAAATCATCGCAGAATGTCGAACGGCCCGACGAGATTCGGCCGGTCAATCTGAGGTTAAATGGGCTGGCAGCTGACTCCCGATCGCTTCCAAGCCTCGAGGGCACACAACATTTTCGGTTTTTCGAAATTTGGGTTTGAAGCTATTTTTATTTGAATACCTGGTTCTGTGGACTTCACTTCGGCAAGCCTTGTGTATTTTAAGGTGTAGGGCTATATTGTAGTAGAGTTGTGATTTTTTGTGCTATTTGATGCATAAAAGCAAAGATTAACCTATTTTACCTTAGATATTACTCAAGATTACTTTTGAAATTGATGGGTAGCTTTTGTGATAGGCTTAAAACTTCTAAAAAGCTAAATTAAATAAAATTTTTGTTTTTCGCATTGTTAAAAAGTAAAGAAAAGAATGTCCAGAAGCCGCTACGATGCTTATTCATCATATAGTCCAAGTGTAAGTAAAGCTTTACCAAAACTAACCTTTCTAATCAATTTTAAAAAAACTATTATATTACGTTGTTCACATAATTCTGAGCCCTTCTCAAAGCAAATTTTTGAGATTAGAAAGCACATAATTATTTGAAGAACCTAATAGGCCTTTTGGAAACTATAAGCTCATTACTTTTTGTACAACTTGATACATTAATTACAAAAATTTTTTTACAACTAAAAAGCTAGGCTATATCAAAATTACTAGAAATAGTTTTTTGATTTCAGTCCCGAATAAGCTCAAGTTATCGTGCTGGCAGCCATGAAACTCTTGCCGGATCTACAGTACGGTCAACGTCAAAGTACAGTAACACAACATCGAGTCCACGAAATTATATGAGTAGTTCGTACACAGCTCCGTCGTTGTCTAGGTAGGTAACTTCATAGCATATTATGTTTAGGTAATATTGCTCATTGATCAAAGTGTAGTAAGCTTAGTATCGTAAGATATGTAATCAAACTTGGCAACTTTACTATGTATTTATATGTACCTATTATATTATTATACTAAATAAAATTCTTAAAATTTAAAAAAATGTAAAATACGGTTAACCAAGTTTTTCATTATAAACTTGTTTAAATAATTCTGTGCCCCATCTCAAAGAAAACTTTTGGGTAAGAGGGCACAGCATTTGTTAAACAACCTAATACTTTATGATAAAAGTAGTACTAAAGTGCTTTTTTCAGTCATATAAATTCAGTTTATGACATTTACTTTTCAGGAACAGCTCGACATATGGATCAAAGTCAAGTCTCACAAATTATGGCACTACTTTGTCAAGTTCGACTACCAGAACACCATCTTCACCTCGAAAGACTTACAGTTTTGGCGCAGGTAAGTAAAAATTTACATTAAAAAAACCTTTTTTATACATGTTTTAGTTTAACATATTACACTTATCCTAATTACATTTTTTAAATGTGTTATACATGTCAAATATTTTTTCAGAAATGAGTAAATCCTTGACAGAAACCAAGCCTTCTACAGCTTCTACCTACAGTCTCAACAACCTGTCTTCGAGTACGTACGGTTCGCTGTCATCGTACAGAAGAGAGCCGTCTTCTACCCGTGATTCCACACTAGGTTACGGTAGTTCTTACAGTAAACGTGACACTTCAAGTTTGCGAGATTTGGACAAGACAGACAGTAAATCATACGGTAGACAAAATTACGGTAGATTTGAAAAGTATGGTACGAGGGACAGTTCTACAGTAAGATCTGATGCCTACAGTAATAGAGAGAGCTCCACCGTAAGAGCTGATGCATACGGTGTAAAAGATAGTTCTACAGTAAAAAGCAGTGACAGTAGATACGACCTGAGTAGTCTACGAGATTCACAACGATCGTACTCATCCAGTAGAGACAATCTGCAAGCTACATCTTCCAGAAGTTCACTGTACGATCTTCACTCAAAAAGAGCTACAGAATCGGCTACAAGAGATACATCTCCACGAAGCTTGACCTCAAGCTTATCATCGTCAAGATCATTTGGAAACCGTGATATCAGAAGCGAAACGTCGCCAAGTAAAGATCTATATACGTCGCTTAACTCTAGTAACAAAAATCTATCATCGTACAATGCCTACAGAAACAGTAGCACCACATTAAACAGTACCACACGGTTAAGAGATTCTTCTGTCAGGTCACAATCTCCACGAGAAGAAGCGACGACTTCTATTCTCAAAGATACCTCGATAATGGGAAGATCGCTCAGTCAGTTAGACAAGGTTTACAGCTCTATAAACAATGTGCCTTCTATGACACAATCTCTATATTCTACTAACAATGACATGTTTGTCCACAAAGCTCAGCCCAAGCTACGAGTATCATTCGCCAATCTACGTGAAGATGACAAGATAGATAGACGCTCGAATCTACTAGACAACGATAGTCATGTCGGTCATAACGCGTCACATGACAATCTAAAAAGTATTTTAAAAGATACCAACTGTAGTGGACTACACAAAACTGACAGTATCAATGAAAGTAAGGGCACTACAAGTAATAGCACAGAAAACCTTAAGGGGATTCTAAAGGATACGAAGCGAGGTAAACAAGGTGAAATACGATCAGTGCTAAAGAGGACGACAACTTTTGATTTACCGAGTAAAGAAGATGACAATGCTACAGACAAGGCGACATTGAGAATGACAAGTTCTTATAACGAGGACAGTCTGAAGAGTATTTTAAAAAACGATGATTTCAAAGCGACATCAAGTTTGACTTTGAATTCTGGGGTTAAACTGAATGGTGATAAGGCGAATGATAATGTAGAAGACTTACCTAGAGCATCATCTACAAGTTATATACTGGAGAAGTTGAAGAAACGATCAGAAGAACGAAGGGCGGCTAGACTACTTAATCGGACTGAAAATAGAACAGATGACGTTAAGACGGATTCTGAAGTTGCTGGAAGTACTAATATCTTTAAAAATTCAGAAAACAATACCAAGACAATGAAGAACAACATATCAACATCCCAGGCAAACAGTAATGCCTACAAACCGAATACAGAAGAAAGAACGATGAATTCACTACCCAAATCCAGAAAATCAGCCAAAAACCAAGCTTTGTACGATGAAGAAGACTATATAGAAACCCGACACGTTACCCGTCATCTGATGAATCTTGGCTCCACGATGGAGAGGATCGTCAAAGTAATAGCTACACCTAACAGAAGCTTCGTGAAGAGAACGATGGAACAGCCAAAGCCATCCAAGACGCCTGTCATCGACTCTCTGCCCAAAATCGAAAGTAAGATTTGTGTCAGCTTTACAACTTACACCATTATACAGTAAACTACTCATACTATAACATGTACTACATAGAGTCAAAAGTTGCTTGATATATTTGTACTATTAGGCAGCATTTGACTTTATTTATTTTAATATATTATTTTGTTTATAACATTATTTATTTGATAATGTACTTATTTTGCTGTATAAACATTGCCGCAAGCTTGTCAAGTTTATTCTACTAAGCTTTGTAACATCAAAAGCGACATAAAGCTGATGCGAAAAGAATGGCGTAATTCGACAGTTTTCTCATGGTGAAGACACTGAAAAAAAAAAACTCGAAATTCTCTTAAAGAGCTATTCTACACATTTTTTGACCATGCGTACAACAAAAAAAAATATTTTTATGTGCGCCATTCTTTTTGCATCAAGCTAGATTAACTTCAAATTTTTTAAAAAATCATTTTTACTCACAAAAAAATCAATTTTAGCAAAGATAGCACCACGAATCACCACCAGCACCTCCTCCCCATTACAGAAAATGCTTAAGTTGGTCGATTTCGACCAGTCGAATTTCCAAAAAAGTGCCAAGATTCTAGAACAAAAGAAGAAACTGGAAGAAGAGAAGAAACGAAAAGAAGAAGAGAAACGAAAACAACAAAAAGAACAAGAAGAAAAGATAAAGAAGAAGCGAGAGGACGAAGAAAAACAGAGAAAAGAGCGTTTGGAAGAAGAGAGAGTCAGACGAAAAAGGGAATTGGAGGAACGATTCAGAAGACAGGAAGAAGAAGAGAGACAAAAGGGAGTGGAGAGAGAGGAGAGACAGAGAAAGAGAGAAGAGAGTAGGAAGAAGAGAGAGGAGGAAGAGAAACAGAGAGAAGAAAAGTTTCTACAGAGAAAGAAAGATGAGCTTCTGAAGCGAAGACAAGAGGAGAAGGAGAGACAAGGTAATGGTAATAGTGTTAATGGTACTAGTAAAAGTAACACTAGCAGTTATTACAACAGTAAGAGCAATGGTATCAGTGATATTAATAAAAACAAGTGGAGCTCAATGTTTGATGACCAGATACGATTACCACCGCCAAATCCGGCTATGGCTCCAAGTTTTACAAATATACTAACTTCGGAGTACAGTAAGAAGCCAACTGAGTACACAAAGAAGCCTACAGAAACCTCTGAACATAGTAAAAAAGCTACTAAAACCGTTGGCGAAGATTCAAAGTCTTTACTGTACAGTAAACAAGAAGAAACGACTAGTAAAGCTAAAGAAGAAGGTAAAGTAACTTCAGAAGTTAAGCCCCGTAGATCACCTTCTACTGACAGTGAAAAAACTACTGTAAAAACTGTAAATTACACTAAAAATTCTAAAGATGTCGTTGCTAAGGAGCAACATGACAAGTGCCAACGCCATAGCAGCCATGATCAACATCATCAAAATGAGCTCCGTAAAGCCAATAATGAGTTTATCAAAAGTAAGGATAGTAAGAGTAGATCAACAAGTTTGGAATCTCAAAGTGACAAAAGTAACAGTACCATCATCAAAACTACAGTATCTACGTCATATACTGAGCCCAGTAGCCATAGTAAAACTGTTGGTACAAATAGAAGTTTGAGGTCAAGGAGTAGCAGTAACGAGGATTACAGTAACCATAGTAATAGAAGTCATGATAGTTACATTAACCATAGTACTGAAAGCAATGAAAGTTACAGTAATAAGATTAATGGAAACAATGTTGATTACAATAACTACAAAGACGCTGTCAATGATAAGTACGCTAACTCCATAATTTCAAGCAAGGAAAGCCATAGCGTACACAGTAGAAGCAACGATGACTACAGTAGTAATAATGTTCTGAACAAGAGAGTGCAGAGCAAAGAGAGAGACTTTACAGAAGAAAACGTATCCAAAATCCAATTATCAGAGAAGTTCAGTTCCAAGTTAAATAGTATTTTAAATTCTCAGATGCAGAAGTCATATCACGGTGATGAAATGGAACGGCCAAAGGTAAGCAAGGGTATACTGTATTTTACAAAAATATGCTAATTTTTCACTGATTTTTAACTATATATTTGTTTATTAACGTATAATTAGGTTTTGCTCTTTTTTATTTTACCAAATTTTACCTTTTCCTTAAATTCTGGGTCTCACCACGAATACCTGCCATCGCGATTTAACGGCTTTAAACCCTCTTGAAACTGGCCGAATAGAGCCGGGTTTATTACGAAAATTAAAAACAAATTAAACCGGCCTTATTTTTGTGTTTTGATCCCACCCCCTCAGGGCATTCTCGCTTTTATTCGGCCGAACAACTGGCCCTTAGGGCCGCTGATCCGGGGTTTTTCGCTTTGTTACGTAATTCTGTCAGCATCGATTTTCATATTATTACTTTTATTTCAATCGAGCCGTATTATGTGACTTTATAGCATTTTTTGAAGCATATGAGTAATAATAGAGTAATGCGATATTATAGTAGATATCAAATGTGATATCATAGTAGGCATCCAACACAACATAATATTATATTATAGTAGGTAATGGTAAAAAGAAGTGATGGATAATAAATAAATGACAAAAATAGAGTTTCTCAACAATATTATTTTAAAATTTGTTTTTAGTTACCTCGACTGGGCTCATTACCACCGCCAATCTTATTGATCACATCCCCAAGTGCTCCATCTAGCCCAATATCACCGCCAGTCCAGCGACCATTCCAGATCTTCAAAATGAGCGAGCTGAGCGATGAGGAATGTAGTGGGGAAAGCGAGTATGAATATGAAGGTAAGGATGCTTTGAAAGTTGAATCAAAATAATTGTGAAAAGATCAGGCGACCAGAGGAAATTTTAAAATTAAAAATTGCTTTTAAATACGTATTTTAATTAATTAATAATTTTTGATTTGTTTAAAATTTTTATTTTTAAAATTTGAATTGGAAAAGCTTTTACCTAAATACGAAATACGTTTTGGCTCTTTTTCGTGAGGGTTCGAGTCCGCTTGGATACCCATGTGGTCTTTGCCAAATTCCAATGAATGTTCTCTATTGATTTTCATCTATGAATAATCAATTGATGTTGATCTACTGATAAAAGACATCCTAGAGATGGTATTACCACAGTTTCGTGATTCACTCTTTTTTGAAACAAAAGTTATGGGTTGTCAAATTTGAACATATACCATAATTTTTGAGGTTATATAACTTCACTCAAAAGTTTGTCAAACTCATATTAAATTTTTAAAATACAGGCGAAAAGTGTCATTTCAAGTCTAAAAATGAACGTCTTTTCAAAGTTTAAAAATTCAAAAATTCAGTAGAACTACCCTTTTACGTAGTTTGTTTATAAGAGTTGTTTGACCAAACAATAAGATGTTTATTTGCAGAATACGAGGAATGGGAAACAGAAGACGATGAAGACGAGCACGATGTCAACGCCTCCATAACCATCATGCTCGCTGACGATGCTAAGGGTCGGTTTTTGCGTGTTTAGGTGAGAATGCGAATGTTTTCGTTGTGGGACCAAAATCTTTGTTGTAGTATTTAAATTGTAAAAAAAGTTGTTTTTTAAGCTTGTTTTCATCAATTTTTTAATTTAAATATTACCTAAAATAAAAAAAACATTTTTTTTAACTTCAAACGTAAATGTGTTACTAATTATGCCCTAAAGTACTCAAAACATCCCGTTCAAACAGATTTTTGATACCATTTTCCATCGGAAAGATAAATCTGGGTGCGTTCCTGATTAATGTCCTCGAACTGCTGTCCCTCTCGAAATACGAAAAGCCATCTGGGCATGTAGATATTCCAGATCCGAACACTTTGCATCCGACCGCCGCCCAGAAACTTCGCTCTTTATCGCCCGAGGACTTTGAAATTACTTTACCGCCGGTCGAGAAGAAGGAACCTCAGAGGCGGATGTCCACACTACCTCCACCACCCATCTTTACCGCATCTGTCACGTGTGATGGCATGAACTGGGACAGTAAGGATGAGAGCGAGGTCTCGGATGAGGGTGAGTTTACAGTAGTTTTTGGTTATGATAGGTTGGAGGGGTTAGGGTTACTGTATATTTTTTGGTATTGTAAAACATAAATTATATCAAAAAAACTTTTACTATAATGCATTTAAGAATGCCATTTTGTTTAATTTTATAACCTTTAAATGAGCCTTTATATCTTTTGTCACCCTCCAGTACCAAACTGCTATTTTAGATTACTATGCATCAGCAGCTAGTCGAATGGACGGTCCTTCAAGCCTAGGTGTATATCTGACTCCAGAACCCTATTCGAGTGAAGGAGAGTACGATGGGAACGTTGATGTTGGATGCACATTAACATTGGCAGATCGTGCTGCTTTAGCGGATTCTGAAGAATGTAGCGACGAATCTGATTATACTGTATCTGTTTTAATTTTTAGCTTGTTTTTGATGATTTAGGTAACAAATTATTGAAAAGCTTTTAGAGAATATTATTTTTGGTCTTTTAAATGCAAAATACGACCAATTGTGCTGGTTCAAATAATTCTGTGCTCTCTAACCCCGAAAATTAGCACTGAGAAAAGCACAGAATTATTTGAACAACCTAATAGTAATATTACCATTTTCAGTACGAAGACGAAGAGATCTGGACAGAAGAAGAGTACAGTGAAGAAGGGAGCGAAGCTGTCACTGAAGATGTAAGTCACCATAGATAAGATATATATTGGTTTGCTTTTAGGAGACTGAAGCTACCTTTGTCGTACCATTACCTACAACTTGTACTCAAATAGAGGATGAAATTGAAGATTTTGTGTAAGTATACAGCAATATCATTTTTTAAACCTTTATATCGAATTAAAAATTTAATTTATATTGTTCAAAAGACGGATTGTTTCACAAATTTTGGCAAATTCACTATTTTTCTGTTTTTAATTAAAAAAGTTTTAATTTTTTTTAAATTTTTCAACTTTTAATTTAAATGTTGTGTTCTAGAGAAAAGATACCAGAGATTCAAAAGCCAATAGCAGTTGAAGTTACCTCACTGCCAGACAAGAGTTCTATTCGAAAGGCACCAGCCAATATGACACTGGAAGATGAACAACGATTAGAGAAAGAGAAAAAGGTATGATTAGATGAGGACTTTAAGGGAGTGGCCAAGGGAAGGATGACTTTTTCACAAAAAAGAAATATGTAAAATGGAAATATTTTTATCCCCCCCCCCCCCCTCTTCTCTCAAAAATGCCCTTACCTCTCACCAGGCAGAAATTATCTTACTAGGCTTTGATAATGACGCTTTGACTATATTGTTGTGAGTATAATATTAGGTTGTTCAAATAATTATATGTCCTCTAACCCCAAAAATATGCTCTAGAAAGGGGCACAGAATTATTTGAAAAATTTAATGTACTCAATTTACAGGAATCAGACCAACGAAACAGATCTTCGAACCTAATCAGTTCGATGAAACAAAAGTTCCGAGATCCAACCCCACCTAAAGAGGAGAAGATAACTTACAAAAGAAGCAGCCGGCTGGAGCCGAAAGACGAGATCAGGCCTAAAAAGACCTATAAAGTGGTGAAACCTGTCATCAATGACGAGTTTGACAAGCAGGTAGGTAGTTAATGGAAGAAACTTTGTTTACAAACGCATTTTTTTATTTTTTTTATATTTAAAATTCAAAAAAAATCTATAAAATGCAAAAACTTTCTTCTTACAAAATATTTTTTCAATTTTAAAATGATAAGTTTTAAAATTTCAATTTAAACTTTAAAACACAAAAAAATCTAAAAATACAAAAACTTTGTTTCCAGATGGCCGAACTCCGTGAGCAGATGAAGAACAAGGACCAGCAACTGAGAGGCGAGTTCAAGAACCTGAGTCAAGGCATAAACACGAGACAAAACGACCTCAACTTGAAGCTGAAGGAAGAGAAGCACAAAGAGCTGATCGAGAAGACTTCTGAATCCTTCAAGTCAGCCGACGAAGAGAAGAAGAAGTGGATTCAGCAGTTCCAGACAGCCGACAAGGAAAAGGAACAGATTCAGAAGACGGTAGGGGTACTGTAACATTATAATCTTAAGGAATAGAGAATACTATATACTGTAACAAAATAATCTTAGAAGCCAAAAAGTACTGTAACAAATTAGGTTGTTCAAATAATTGTGTGCCCCTATAATCTACTTTTATCATGTTAATTCTACATTAATATAACCTAAAGTTGCATTAAAAGCTAAGCAACCTCAATTAAGTGGTACCTACTACGATATGACAATATAAATCTTATATAAATCATGATTTTAGGTAATATCCCAACCAGAAGAGATAGAAATAGAACCTCGAAAATACACAAAACGGGTCAAAAAACCAAAGATAGAAGAAGAAAAGACTGCGACAGTAAACGATGGTATGTTATGTCATTAAAGAATGGGGGGGGGGCTAGAAGAAGGGGGAGGGGCGAAGATAGTGACAATTACTTTATTGTTAGTTAAGTGTTATTGTAGGTCACCTTTCCTTTTTTATGATTTTATAGTAATAAACGAAAGCGCTTGACCTACAATAACGTGGTTTTGTATTAATGTATTTAAAGTACTGTAAGTTATTGTAAAATAAAAGTTGGTTGATAAAAGTAAAATACGCTATGTGTTTTGGTAAGGTACGAGTAAATGTAGGTAATAATCAAAGATTTTGTTTTAGTTCAAGTCACAAAAGCTGAACCAGTCATCGATGCCAAACCAGAACTTACTATTGCTCAAAAGAAGGTAATTAACTTGATATATTACTACGATTTTATCAAACATGTAGGAAATACAGTATAATCTCTTAACCTGGCCTACCCTACCCTACCCTACCCTACCCTACCCTACCCTACCCTACCCTACCCTACCCTACCCTACCCTACCCTACCCTACCCTACCCTACCCTACCCTACCCTACCCTACCCTACCCTACCCTACCCTACCCTACCCTACCCTACCCTACCCTACTCTACCCTACCCTACCCTACCCTACCTTAACCTACCCTGTTCTGCAATGCCAGTATCCTGCCTCTCCCCATATTACCCTACTCTACCTTACCCCAATCTACCCTAAATTACCTTACTATACAATACCTTAACCTTACCCGAGTAATAATACCTGACCTTGTTCATCTGCCAAGAGTAATATTATGTTACGACTGTTTACAATTAGTTGTTTGTTCAACACATGTTGAACCCTTTTTAACTCGGGATTCTCGGATTTTAAAGTTTATTTGTCTAAAGGATGGGACGAGCTCAGCCTTACAACCCTCAAATTACAGTAGGCTTTCGGTATTTTAAGTTTGAGTACGGTAACACCGATGATTATAAGGTATGATAAGGCGTATTGGCTGTATAATTAGCATAGTATTAAATTATTTATATTTTTTTAGTTTAAAGCGCAAAAACTTTAGTATGCTATACTAGCAAAACGCTTGATTTCAGAGCAACTAAGAGCTATAGCATAGCAGTACAAATATATAGAGAGAACCGATTGTAATGTACAAAAACAACACTATAATGAATATAATTTTTGTATCTTACTGTTGTTTACAGATCCTACTCGAAAACAAGACGGAAAACATTGTCATCTCGAAGGAACGCCGCAAGTCCATCCCCAGCTCTCGACGAAAGACTCGAGAGTTGATTAATCTGACAGGAGAAGATGAAAATGGAAACAAAGTTGTCAAAATCAAAAAGGTAAACATCTTTTTGTATTATTTTTACTTTTTATGCAATTTTATTGATAACGATAGGTAAAATCAAGGCCGAGAGAGAGGTAGACAGAGGTACAGAAGGGGGAAGATCAGGCTCTTTCGCCTAATTTTTGGCATTTTTTTGCCATAAAGATGGTTTTTAAATAAAAGAAGGACTGAACTATAAAATTACAGGTCAAGAAACGAAGACATCAGATTCCGAAGAACAGATTCACTCGAAAACCCTTTGACATCGACGATTTCCTTGGACTTTCGGCTTTCAGCGACGACTTTGACAAGGTAAATCACGAACTCTTTATCGAAAAATTCCATTTCTAACGTACTATTTAACCTAATGCTAACTTGCTACCGGTTTTTACTTTGAATTTGTCACACATAACGGTACATATTTAGGCATATTACCTATTTTTTACCTAAAAATCTCTTACAAGTTACCTAACTCAATATTCCAGATGGACGAGCACTTCTCTTTGGACGTCAGTATATACAGTAATATGGAGATTGAAAAGAAACGTAAATTTGCTCCACAGAAAGTATGGATTAGTCAGTTGACAGACATCGACCGCCTTTATCGACCGGCCGAAATACGCGATATTAAGTTAGACGCTTTCACTTAAACCTCTCGTTATTGTTTGTTGTTATGTAAATAAATGAACTTTTATCGTTTTAAGAACAAAATATAGTTAGAAATTTGTTTTTGAGTAAAACGTCAACAGTAATGCCACAAAATGTCACAATTTTCTGTCAAACGTAACAAAGTTAATTTTTTAATTATAAATAACGTAAAGATAAATAGAATTGCTATTTTAAAATAGATCTTGATAAATCACAGATCAGTGAAAGTCAAGTTTGATCAAAAATGTGCCAAAACTAAAATACGATCATAAACTTGACTCGAGTCAAGCCTTCCTCCTCAATTTCGCGCCATTTTTCTGCTTTGAACGCGAAAAATAAAGAAATTCTCGATATTTTTGCTCTTACTTTTGTCGTTTACCTAGAAAAGCCTTGAAATTATGTCGAGAATGTTGTAAATACATAACATTATATTTTTCTCTTTTAACAGATTTTTATTTTTCTAGATGTTTTACGCTCAGTTTGTATTGGCTAAAAAAGGACCGTTGGCCAGAATCTGGTTGGCAGCACATTTGGAAGAGAAGTTAAAGCGAAGGGATGTTGCAGATACAGATCTTGAACAGGCAATCAACGAAGTACTAAGGCCCAGAGTAAGTTTATTTTGTTTTATTACTATTATTTTGTCTTTAGATCAAAATCTCGCTCCGCACAACTGGTTTTTTGTTGTTTGGGATTTGCAAAATTCACAATCAGAAGGTCACATATCTGCTCCTTGATGCTTACCACATCAGGAATAGATTGCTATGTTTGGATTTCAAGAAACCGGAGAGAAAACGACCAGTCGATCGACCACCTCAAGTGCGAGATCCAAACGAAACAGTTGAAGAAGCCAATGTTTATGAGCTAGATGGAACTCTGGTTAACATGCAAGACTTCCAAGATCCTCCAGGACCGCATTACTCAGCCAGAGCTAATATTAATGATATTACACTACAAGAACACGATGTCAATGACGTTAATCTGTTGGACGTCTATGATAACATGGATTTGGCTGGAGATTTGGATGTTGAGTACGAAAGAGCTCAAAGTCTTCTCAGGTCGTTCAGAGATGGCTCAGCTTTGCCAGCAGAAAGGGTGGAAGGTCAAGATAATAACGATGTTCATCATGATATTGATGTCGAGCATGGATTCGAAGACAACATTCACATGTTAAGTAATATCGACGAGAACATGGAGATTGATATGGATGTGTCAGCTGAGCAAGCTCGTCATGAGAGTAATGTTGACCGAATGTCATTACCTTCTTTTGATCACGTTCCTCATGAAGACGCAGAAGTTTTGGATAAGATGATGGAGTCGTTCAACCGACCGGTCGAAATGATGGAGCTGGATGAAGAAGATTTTTTAGCTAATGGAGAAGATATTGGTGGAATCCAGAATATTGTTGGAGATGCTAGAGGTAACTGTTTTTATTATTTTAAGCTAAAGTTATATTAAAGTAGTGTTTCTTGTGATTTTTATTAATGCTTTGGATGATTTTGTTTAAAATAATTTATGTTCTTAACATACTTTTTTAACCGTTTGTATATTTTAGAATCAGTGGATTCTCAGCCATCGTTGGTTTTGGAATCTTTGACGGATTCTCAGCTGAAGGCACAAGAAGTGGAAGTTCAGAAGAAGAAGCCAAGAAGGAGAAGGCCTAAGGGATTATTGTACGATGAAGAGATGGAATTGGACCCCGATTTGATGAAAGAGTGGCAATCTGACTTTAGGTAACAATTCTCTCTTATATTTTTTTACATTTTTAGGTAACAAATTCTAAGCGATAGTTTATTTAGGTAAAATTTTAAAGTTGGTTGTGAAGTAACTGGATTTTAGTGTAGTTTTACTTTTGTTTCATGATTTTTATCTTATTTCCAATAATACAATGTCATTTTAGTGATCTCCAGAAGCCGTTAGAACTGGCAGCTCCGTCAAAAGGCTTCATGAAAGCTCAACAACATGGATCTCTACAACAAATTTGGAATAATCCAGCGACAGACATTCAAATCAATAAGGAATTCATTGAATTGTATCAAGAATGCTTGGTTCCACATTTGAAGACACATGTTAATGAACAGGTAGAAGCAGAACAAGGACGAGAAGCTACAGTTGGAGATATCAGGGAGTCAATGGGCATGGTCGATCAGGTAATTTTTGAGATTTTACTACGAGTTAGAGGTTGTAATGGTTATCTGTTTTGTGAAACGAGCATTTTTAGGTATTAAATTTAAAATTATGTTGTTTTAAAGCATATTTTAGGCTAAAACTTGCTAATTTTATTAGAATTTTGATTTTGTTAGAGTATATGTTCATTCTTAAATTGATGTGTATACTTTTTTTATGCTTTAATTTTGTAGCCAGAGCCATTCGACATTCCCCGACCAGATTCCACCATGAACAACTCTATATTCGACGCTCCAGTAATGGAATCGACAGCTTTGGAACTGTTCGAAAACGACGAAAATGCTCCGAATTACTCGATGCCAAAAGATATGACAGTAGAGGAACAGAGAGATCAGAGTCTGGCACAGGCCAGCCAAACCTCGAGTGCCATGGGTGAGATGCAAGATCAGATGGCAAGGAAAGAGCTGAGCCAGGAGCGGCACAATGTAGAAGAATCGGCTACACGGTTGATGAATAGAATCGAGTCTGAATGGAGTCGACAGGAAACTCGAGGAGTAAGTGGATTACTGTATTTTGGGGTTGTAGTAAAGAATTGCCAGCAGGTCTTAAAAATGTTAAAAACTGTCTTAAAGTTAAAACAATTAATGTAAATCCTCGTTTTAGGAACCAAAACTAGCCGAATTCCGTCGTATCATCCAATGGCAAGCCCCAGCACGAGTCTTGGCGGCCGAATTCTACGCTCTTCTGGAGTTGACAACGAAGAAACCTATTGAAATAAAGCAATCTCAAGCCTACGGCCCTATCTTCATCAGACCTCCAATACACAATTTGTAACTTTTTCAGTTTTATAACTAGATCTCATAACTACCTTTATCATACTGTAAATAAATAGCAATTTTTTGTTAACTTGCACGTTGTTATCTAATAAATATTTTGGTTGCGAGAATATGTGTTGGCTTTAGGGCGTTTGTAACATCAAATTACTACTCAATTTGTTAATTTCGTGGTATTATATGATACAGGGACGTCGCTACAGATTTTCTCTGGGGGAGGGGGAGGCCGAAAATTTTTTTTTCGTTCACAGGTAGCTATGTGGACCGATTTTCCAATAATTTTTTTTTCACGTACAGGTACCTACCTGTGGAATTTTTTCGGATAAATAACAATAACAACAATAATAATCTGTCAATCAAAGTACTCGATCCCACAAGTTCAACTTTTACTTTTTTCATCGTCTACGACCCGTTACACATCCCCCAACAATTTGCACCCTGCCGAACATGCCAGTTGGAGCGATGGTCGGGATCCGGGTCACTCGCTAACTGAATCTCCACGAAACTTCCGAATCCGGTCATTTCGAAACAAATATAAAGTAAAGAGCTACTTTATATCAGCTACTCGATATTAACATTGTCGAAGCATGAAGTCGGCGGTCGTGCTGCTGCTTCTGGCTAGTCTCGTTGCCCTCGAGGCCTGCAAGGTCAACTTGAAGGTGAGGTCACAGACCAAGAAGCCCTTCCAGATCCAGGTCTTCATTCCATCGTTGAAACAGAAGACTGAGAGGGTTACCTTCACTGGACCTGGAGAGAAGAAGGTATTGGTGAGTATTTTCTTTCATTTTTGGATTTTGTATTGATAAAGCATTTTGTTTTCAAGATTTTTAGGTAATAAGAAACTATTTTAAAGTTATTTGAATAGATTTAACATTTTGAAAAGCAATGTTTTAATATTGACATATAACACCATGGATAATATAAAGGTTAATATAAATCCCAAAACATAAAAGTTAATATAACCCCATTCCAGATCCAAGGCGGCAACTGCATGGACAAGAAGTGGGTGTTCAAGACCTGGAAGGAGGTCAATGGAAAGTGGGTTGGAGCTGCCCAGAACTCGGGTAAACTCGGTGGATCTGGCTGGATTCGAGTGCTGGTCGATGACAGACTCTTGCCTTTCGGCAATGATCGTTACGGCATCGCTTGTTCTGAGGGAGCTGTCTGTGGATAATAGTCTTGTCGTATAGTATCATCATCTTTGGCTGATAACGGTTATTTCTGCATGATATATGTTGTCAGCTGGTGATGTTTGTCGTGTTTATACCACCTTGATCTTACTCTTTATATATTTTGAACAAGAATCTCGAACAATTAATAATAAAAAGTACAATGAAACTATAATTAAGGAGCGTTGTCGATATTGTAGTAGGCTTATATGGAGATTATAGCGCTGTAAACCTACATGTTTATAGCTTTTTTGGTAGTATTTTAGGTTTACATCAAGGTTATACCACAATAAATCACTTTTATGCGTTTTATTCCATCGATAAATACCCAAGCATGGAAAAATATGTAAATTACGAACCGATATGAGCTATTCTACAGTACGAAACGGTGTGGGGGCAGGGCAAAGTGAAGACCGAGCGTCTTGCACGGGACAAGAACATTGAATATCTTGGATCTTGAAGCAGTTTAACGTTTTTTGTTTATGGTATAGATGATAACACGATATTACAGTAGCATGACGGGACTGTGATTGTTATGTTATAGCAACTTATGCCTGTAGTTTTGACATTACAGTAGGTTTTGACAGTGTTTTAGATGTTACAGTAGGGTGTTTTGACTAGATGACAAACTTTTTAAGGCTTAAACCAATGCTACTGTACGCTAGAAAGCTGTTACTATACCATACACAACATTCTTTACTGTCGGATGTGGGGTGGTTGTTGCTGACGTTGCTGGAATTGTTGTTGCGGGGGCGGTGGTGGACCTTGCGGGCTTTGTTGTGGAGTGAATCGTTGCTGATTCGGCGACGTAGGGCCTTGTTGGAACTGTTGTTGTTGCTGGAATTGCTGTTGTTGTTGGTATTGTGGTTGTCCCTGTTGTTGGTATTGTTGTTGGCCTTGTCTTTGTTGCTGGTACTGGGGTGCGTTTTGATATTGCACTTGGTTGGGGGTGTTGGCGTTGATGGGACGGTCGGTGTCGATGGCTTCTTCCGGGAATTCCAACTCCCAAATGCGCTTCAGATGCTTGCCTTTTACGTCGCGAGGCATTCCGAAGCCCGTCATGCCCTAAAAGGGTTGAAATTGTCATGGATAATATACATTTATGTAGTTTTTGCGGAATTGTGGCTCGTTTTACAACAAGAATAGCCAAAAACATACTGACAGTAAGTAAAAAGCTAAAATGATATAATTTAGAGCAAGATAAATCTAAATTACAGTAATATAAACCAAAGAAAGCAGTGCTCTATCTATAATACTACCACACAGACGTCAAGCTAGAGTCTAAAGTACAGTAACCCAATAACAAAAATGATATTATAGTAAGAATGACAGACACCCACTTTCTGTGAATCAAACTTGTTGGTACCACTTTGTAGTCGGATCAGATTGTCCTTCTGGGTCAACTCTTCCACTCCATATCTCTTACCATCGTCGGCGAACACGATCTTGGTCGAGGTGTTACGGGGCATTCCGAAGCCTGTTTTGCCCTAATCGAGTCGTAATCAGGTATTCATGGTCGATGAAAAGTGAGTGGGAAGTGAGGAGAAAGCAGAGAGAGAGAGGAAATGGAGAGAGAGCAGAGAAAGAGAGAGTGAGAGAGTTCGGAGAAGTGAGAGGGTCAGAGGAAAAACGTTTGTTAACCTATGATATATGTTATCATTGAATGAATTTTAAAATTACTTCAAAATCTTTGAAAAGTTAAAAATTCGTGAAATGTTATCTATGTTAACCTTGTTATCGATGAAAAATTTTATTTTAGCGATATAAGTCAACCATCACATCAAAGACTTACCCTTTGCGAATCGAACTGATTCGTACCAGACTGTAATGGTACAATTCCGTCAGTCTGTCTCAGCTGAGCCAACGTGAAACGGCCGTTGGCTGTGCGGCGATCATTGCCTGGAGCGGTTCCGCTTGGAGCGACTGCCGCAACTTTTAACACACCATCTAAATTCAAAGGGTTACCTAATTTTTTGGCGATTTTAAGCATTTTTGTCATAACTTTGTCATTCTGTCAAAACTTATACATATTATAAAAATTTTAGGCTTTAGTATCGAAATTTAAAGCATCATGGTTAAAGATTTTGCTTGATTTTGCCAAAAATTTTTATAATTTTAATTTTGATAAGATATGCAAATTTCCCTATAAAAAATGTTTTCTTTACTGTATAACCCCGCCATTCTGGAATACAGAATGTCAATTATTAGGCTGTTCAAAAAGTAATGAGCTACTTCTTTGTTTCTGATATGAAGTTCAGTAGCTCATTCCTTTTTGAACAATGTAATAAAAAACGAAATCCGAGATTTGAGTAAAACTTTGAACCTATTTTTGATAACCTCAATTTTAAATTTCGAAAAACCTGCCTTGTCCAACAACTTGCTGATCTTCGGCCAACGGCTGTGATGGGGCGCGTTGTTGTTGGCGTTGGCCGTAGTTGCTTGGTCGTACAGCGGCCATATCGTGTTATAGGGAATGAATAACCCGCGCGTGAACAGGCCTGTTTGAAGAAGAGATCCCCCGAATCCTCGTTAATATTGTTGATCACCGTTTCTTTGTTCTGTTTTGCCTTTTGCTTCTCGGGTCGATCTCCGCACGGCTCGCGGCTTGTGTTTGATGTCTCGGGGGTATGGGCCGTTTGGCCGCCGCTCTTTCGCCACGGATTTCCTCCTTTATCCGCCCTTTAACACTCTCGACGAGCCCTACCCCGCGGCCGTGCTGATCCGCAATTTGAAAAAAAATTAAAAAAGCAAAGACAGAAGCATAGACAACGTAAAGATTGAAGAGACGGCAGAGAAAGGATGGGCTAGACGTCAATACGATCAACATAAAGATTGAAGAGACGGCGGACGCCACGACGACCAATGACTCGGGCCAAGTGGTTCAGAGGCGTGGCGCGTGGGTGTGGTGGGATGGAGGACGGTTACCTTCTTTTCTCTTTTTTTTGTTTTCCCACCTACTGATTGGGTCAAAATACCCTCGAGGCACGCTCTTAAAAAGTCGAAACCCGGAAAAGAACGGCCAGCTGACGTTCACGGTCATTCCACCGATCTTCGACCGTGGTTGAGCCGTTTTTTAGGTAATAACATGGAGGTCTTCAAGGATAGTATTATTATCTTTCAAAAGCCAAGTTTTGCTATATTAATTTCTTGTTGAAAAAAGGATTTTTAGGTAACAAAAAAAAGTTTTAGCTATAGTATGAAGGTGTTTAGAAGATCAATTTGATGAAATTGCGTGGTAAAAGGTGATAAGTTGTTCCTCATTGAGATCGTTAAAAGATCAACAACTAGTTGAATTGTTATAAACACATTATCATCTGTTTGGGTACATTTTTGGTACAAAATTGAACTTTTATGCGCTTTTTTATTAAAAAAGTTATATTAAGAGCCCCCTGAGACTTTTTAGAAAACCTACCCCTGCATCTAACTTTGGTAGTCATATCTTTTTCTTTAGCACTATTTAGACGTTTCTTGAGCTTTAACTCCCTTTAACCTTTGGCTGGACCTCGCACAAAGGCTGTAATGGTACTACAAACAACTGGTACCTTAAATCAGCCCTTATATTTTGAACAAACTTATAAAAACCCCATTTTAAATTCAATAAAAACACTAAAACCAAGCCCATCCCCTCCAAATAGAACAAACACATTCAACTAGCTGTTTCTCTTTTTTATTTGGAGCACTTTCCTTTTGGTACTGTTTGGGGCAGATTTGTGGAGCTGTTCGAACGCGAAAAGAAACAAAAAAAAACAAAGCATGTAACAATGAAAGGTGTGACGACTTTATTATATGTTATCTGATGGATTGTAAGGAGGAGGGGAAGGAGATGGGACTCTCGGCAAGAGTCATTCCTTCCCTTATTAAAGGCTGTCGATAAAAGAATGGCGCGCCCCGCGACAAACCGAGTAAATACAAAAAGGTAGAGCCGACTCCAGTGGTGCTGGAACCAACTTCACTGCTCAGCTTGCCGCCGGTTACAACGATGTTGATGCAGTTTAGAGACGGTCCAACGAAATTTCGGCCTCTTCTGGGTACTCCAACTCCCAGATACGCTTCAAGTGTTTGCCGCGGACGTCACGTGGGGTACCGAAGTTGGTCATGCCCTTCTGGGAGTCACCCTTGTTCCAACCGGCTTGCGATGGGATGATGGCTTCCGACTTCTTCATGTCTTCGTATGGCAGCTCACCGGCCTCGGCCTCGTATGTGGTGTTACGGATGGTACCGAAACCAATCATACCAGCTTGAGAAGCGAATCTGAAGAGTTTGGGCTTATTATACGATTGAAAATGGCATTTAATGACGAGATTCTTTAAATTTTAAAAAAATTTTAAAATTTTGAAATTTCAAAAATTTGCATTTTCAACCTCTTTATAGACCAATCCTTACCTGTTGGTACCAGATTGAAGACGGACCATGCCCTGGGATTTGCGGTTCTGCCAAGAGATTGAAGGGTCCAACACCTCCCAACGTGGCTGACCGAAGCCGGTCATGCCCTTCTGCGAGGCGTACTTGTTCGAACCCATCTGGTAGGGGATCTGGGTGGAGTCGATGGAGGATTCGGGGTTGTAGTCGGGGTGGGCGGTGTCGACGATGCGGCAGGTCTCACGTCTGTTGGTACCGAAGCCGGTCATACCCTTTTGGGAGGCGAATTTGTTGGTACCGGACTGGAGTGGGATCTCGGACTGGTCGGGGCGTTCGTGGTCGTACTCGGGGTGCTTGGTGTCCACCATCTTGGTGGTCTCACGACGAGCGGTACCGAAACCGGTCATACCCTTCTGGGAGTCGTATTTGTTGGTACCGGCTTGGAGACGGACGATACCATCGGAGGCACGGATCTTCTCTTCTGGCAGGGGCTGAAAGTGGAGGTTTAGGGATGGTTTTGAAATTTTTAAAAATTTGAAATTGTAATTTTTTTAATTATGGGCTTTTTAAAGAATTTTAAGCTTAAAAGTGCCAAAAATTCAAATAATTTAAAAAATTTTTAAAAAAATTTAAAAAATAAAAAATCTTATAGTAGCCTCACCTCCAAATCAGCTGGGAGCTGGTTGACGTGAACTCCCTCACGGCACACATCACGACCAGTACCGAAGCCGGTCATACCGCGCTGAGAGGCGTATCTGTTGGTACCGGATTGGAGACGGACTTCACCGTGCGACTTCATAAGCACCTCTTCTGGCACTTCGGCCAAGTTCTCGGCCTTGACGCGGGTGGAGGTGTTACGTGGGGTACCGAAGTTGGTCATCAACTTTTGGGAGTCACCCTTGTTCCAACCGGCTTGCGATGGGATGATACCATCGGTTTGACGCAACTGCGCCAACGACCAGCGACCAACGCGCTTTGGTGCACCGGTTTGGCCGGTAACCTTGGTCTCCATGGTGGCGTTGGGGGTCTCATCTACTTGGGGTTCTACAAGTAAAGTATGTCAATATAAGGTGGGGGGAGGTGGTGTTGGGGTTACAGAAACGGAAAAGCAATGTTAGGCAAAGAAAGATTAGGGCTACGCACTCTTGGCATACCAGGCGCGGGCTCGGGTTCGGCCTCGGGCTGGTCCTCAATTTCTAAAATTGAATTGGAAAATGTTAATGTAAGCGGTTATGATAGTAAATTCATGAAGCTGAAAGGTATTATAGATTGTATGATAGGTACTAGTACAATTATGGATGTAAATCTAATCTTAGTTTATATTATAGTCTATCCTCAAAGCTAAAAAAAATAAAAAATCAATGAAAAGTATGTCCGAGAGCTTAATCTACCCTAATATAACTATAAATCAAAAATATAAAGCAAAGATAAGCAACAACAAATCAAAAAAAGAAAAAAAAGAACCAAAAAATCAAGATAAGAAGCCAAAGAAAAACCCAAAAAGCCAAAAAAAATCAAAATTACCATTGATAATAAAGATATGAAGCTTGTGGCGATACGGATAAACGGTATTCTTGTTCCAGCCGGACTGGGTGAATTCGGGAAAGTCCCCGAACCGCTTACCCCGCCCGTTCGGCGGACTGACCGTGCTCAGTCTGTGCTCGCCTAATATGGGCCCAGTCCAGGCCACCATCTCGCTGAACGAAACGTGAAAGCCGCTCGAGTCGGGTGGGAAGACAAACAGGAGGTCGAGCTTGATTCCCCCGCCATCTCTGATCCGATAAAAAACAGCTTTTTTCTCGAATTTCGATATCAAGATCTCGCGCGGCTTTCACTCCCGAACACCGCAATTTAATCTTTTATTGGTTTTGAAGGCGTTGCGGCTCGCAATTAGGTATATTGTTGGTAGATAGGTATTAAAGGATATTTAGGAAAGATATTAATGAGTTTTTGGAGAATCTAAAGGCTTGGGTCAAAGTTACGATTAAAAAATGGTATATTATAGTAGGTTGAAACAATATTATAGTAGAATCCGAGGAAAATAAAAAGCAACAGGAAATGTTATCAGATATCATTTTTGTACTCGCTATAGTTATAGTACTGTCAAGATGTCAAAATTATGACTTGCGACAAAAAAAATGAAAATATGCTTGCGCAGGCTGCAGCTCGGCGTTCGCGAGTCGCGTCCAAAAAATTAAATTTTTTGCCATTTTGTCAAATCAAAAGCATAAAACTGATTTTGAATAAGCATTTTAAAACATCTTTTATCTCTTTCTTATTTTTACATATGCTTTCTGGTCAAATATCTTTTATATATTATAGTAGGCATCAAGGATCAAAACAAAATATTATTTATTAATTTTATGATCTAGTAATCTGATATTGATATGATTTCTTTTTTCTGTATATTCCTGTTTATCAGTGGCCACATTGCCCCCAGTCAACATCTTTTGGGGAACAAAAAGAAAAGGAAAGAAAGCAAGACGGCTGCCCCTAATCTGCCACCTACGCCAACAAACAAAAATAGACAAACTGTTGCACTAGCCAAGACAAAATATTAGTATAGCTTTGTAAACATCTACTCTAGAAGTAAAATTGAAATACAGTAAGCTGAGGTTACAGTAAGACTTACCGACATTCTCGTCACCAGTTTCGGGGTTGGCGGCAGCCGGCATCCTTGATTATTTCCCTACAAAAGGATTGTCTTACTGTAATTTTTGTAACGCAAAAGGTTTGTATAATACTTGCGCGTAAAATAGGTTGTATATTATGTTGGGTATTACTAAAATACGGAAATGACCTAAAATTGCGGTAAAATGCTGGAAGATTGATGGGTTTGAGGGTAAAACAAGGTTTAAAAGGTAAAATACGAACGGTCGTTGGTTGAGTTTAAAAAATTATAATTCAAACCCTTTTACAATAGAAATACAAACTAGAAACGGCATTATCTCTATCAATAATTTCTTAAAAACATCTCCAAAACCATGTACAACATCCCAAACCCAAGTGCGACAAAATGACTTGCCCGGGTCTTAAACTGAACTATCATATACCAAAACTTGGTAATCATATCAAGCAGATTGGAGGCGCCTTGTTCGTGCCCCGAGGCGATTGTGGCACTGAGACGGCGGGGCAGATCAAGCCCCGAAAAGATGTGGGCGGCCTGATTTCCACGAAGGGCCGAAACGTGCAAACAGGCCGCCGATCCCTATGGGCTTCTTCTCGTGCCCTCAGGTAACGCCTCCCCTCCGGCACAATTCGGCTTTATAGATACTTTCAAAACATAAAATACTCTTTATCTTTATTTATGATCGGCCAGAAAAAAAACTATACAATACAACAACCACCTATGATAATATTATACCATCAGTAGGGTATAATATTATCAATGAACAGGTTGTTACAGTAATGTATAATTAGGATTACTGTATCGTACAAATCTTGTTTAAACTTGTATTTAATAGGCAAGTTTGTTCAAATAATTCTGAGCCCCCAACCTAAAAAATTTGCTTTGAGAGGGGGCTCATAATTAATTGAACAACCTGGTAGATCAAAGTTCATATTTCGGTCCATAAATTACAGTAATCCTTCAAAAATTAATTTGTAAAAACTTTTATTAAAAAAATCATTTTCACAACAGTTATTACAGTATACAATGTACAGTATTAAAATAAATAAATTAAATCAAAAAACCATACTAAATGAGCAATAATGGCTAGTGTAATATCATGATTAGACCCTGTTCCTAACATAACTCCAATATCTGTAAATGGAACCCAAAAACAGAATTTTACCGCAAAATGCGTATACTGTAGCATGGGCCATGTTCTGTAGAAACCATTGGCCACAACTAGCCAAGAAGTACTTGGAATGCTCTAGAGTACAGTACGTTCGGAGGTCAGTTTGAGTTATCAACCAAAGCTCGCTGTACTTGAAAATGGCCATGTACATGAAGGAGAGGCCGATCATTACCTAAAGGTATGTTATAGTAGGTTTTGGAGGGATAATTTTAGAAAAAAAGTGGGGGAGGGGTAAATTTAAGAGTTGTTTACGCTTAAAAATTGACCCTGCCTTCACCTCTAAAAAAAATTCAAAACAATTGTTGTTCCTCCCCCTCTCAAAACAAAATATTCGGCTAACCCCTCCCTATAACACCATATTAACTTACATAATCAATAGACTCCCAGCTAGCATCATAAGATATCACTGAAGCATTGTAGGATATCAATGCTGGCAACGCCAGTCCAGCTGAGACCATTCCAGTATAGACTAGAGCAAATCCTTCTAAATCGACCAAACTACTGTTGATATGATAAGCTTTGTTGAGGAGTACAAGATGTAATCCTTGTAGAATACCGTGCATTGGCGATAGCAACATGGCCATACTGTCATACTCGATGTGAGAGAACTCGAGCCATGATAACGAGGCGGATAGGGCTACTGGTAGCTGTAATCGTAAGGTCAATAATACAGACTTTCAAAACAAAAATTATATAAAAAATATAAAAAAATTATTTAAAAATTAAAAAAAAAAACTAAAAATACAAGAAATTTTTAAAAAATCAAAAAACGTACAGTATACGCCCAGTACGGACGTACTTGACTCAACTTATTGAACTTTGATTGCAAAATGAGAGCTGAACATGTTATCAAGAAGTCCGATAACCTAAAACAATATCGTTTTATAAATTAACAAAAAAGGTTGAATGTTAGGTACTGACAAGGCAGTTGCACCAAATATCCACTACCAAACGCCGAGGACTATTTGGCGCAATTCCATGGTAAGAACATACTAAATTAATGCCTTTTTGTCCTAAATAGCACTACTCATTATCAAAAATTATTATTCAACAACCTACCTCAACAAATACAAGCTCCCAGTCCTATTTTGCGAATGAATTCTCGACGACAATATGGTACAAATCAACTGCAGTACCACTGCCGGTATCACACTTGGTACCACGCTACGCAAACTTGGCAATTTTTTCTTCTGTGGCCATTGTTTCAACACAAACGTATGATACGCTAGTACCCCAAAAGTGATAAAATGGTGCAAAAAATGGAGCACCGGAGTCCGAATGTCCAGTACGAAGTAAAGGACGTTGTGGGCGGCCGAAAGGAAGAAAGCGGCCACAAGATTGGTCAGCCAGTAGAGCAGAGTGTCGCTGCAAGGGAAAGCGGACGCCATTCCATTCCAGTAATGAGCGTCGCGCCTTCTGGAGCCCAAAGGATCTGGGTCGTCGGCGATGTTATCGCCTCAGGCGGTTCCCTTGCCAAAGCGACAAGATGTCTCAATTAACAAGGTTTGTACATGCAAGATGAGTCAATGAGCATTTCACAACTTTTTTCAACATTATTTCCTTAGTTAATGAAAAATTACGAAAATTTTAAAATTAAAATTATTTTAAAATCATTAATAACACAATATTCAAAAATAACTTTCAGCAACAAAAAAATGTGAAATTTTACTTCCTTTTTTATGGATATCGTATGTATTCACTTTTTATATCTGTTCATTTGTTAGTTTTATTGATAAACATCTGCTATTTCAAAAAACCAGCAGGGTTCGAATCCGCTTGGACGTAATTGTCGTTTCCTGCCATAAAAACACAATTTCCTCAACAAATCTTGTACAGAAGTGATCAAAAATGTAGGAGAAACTATAATTTTTACAATAACAAAAGAATAAGGCTATATCACTACAATAAACGTTCTAAAACACAACTATTGTGTACATTAACCAAAGAGAAACACAAAATTGCAAACTCAACGAGCAAAACTTAATGAAAAGTTATATAAATTGATAAATTAAAAATAGGAATTCTTTATTTTATATTCTTGTGACAATAATTTGACTTATAAAATGAATTTTAACTTTTTAAACCACAGTTTTTTGTGCGATATTCTCTATGTTGGCATTCCGTCTCATAAACCGAAAAATAAAAAAAATTCGTTATTTTTTGGCCAAAACCCGAAAAATCTAGCAAATTTTATAAAATGCGTCTTTTCAAGGCTCTATTACCTTCAAAGTCTGTAAATTATTTTGGCTCAAGATGTTTGGCCACAAAAGGACCGTCAAAAGAGACAATGCTGTCTTTGGACTGGTTATTTGAGGGTATGGTAAGTTAAACATCTCTATATTCACTATTATTCTAGCTTTAGGTCCCAAACATTATGAAACAACAAGCTGGACCTTTGTTTGCTAAAATGACACCGGACGTTGAGTTGGATGATAAGGTCTTTGGGTATAAACTCAAGTAAGTCTTTAGATATTGTAGTAGCTGATAATTGTTGGTTTTTAGAGGTGTAAATGAATTAAATTCGCATCTTTTGAAAGTGAGGACGTACTTCAGATACAAAAGTCCATATGTAAAGGCTGAGGTAAGTTATTTTATTTAAATTTGATTTTGTGTTTAGTATAAAGGAGCTATAATCTACGAAGGAGAAGATGTTGTTACCTTTTTGTGGAAATTGAACATATTGAGGTCGAGCTTCATGAGGTATTTTCCAGCATTTGTAACTGGAAAGCAGGTATGTTTTGCTAACTTTTTATTATAGTTTTAGGTCGTTTTACTCTCGATATCTCAAATTTATGTTGTTTCACGTTAACCTATCTTTAAAATTTCAGGATTTAGTAAAACTTAAAAATATGGGATGAATAATGTATTTTTTCAGACAGAATTTGATGTAAGAGAAGGAGCTTTGGTATGTTCTGTGAACGAAGATGGCAAGATTTACAAGATGCTTAACCGCCCGGTAACTGAAGCTGATAAAGAAGCTGCTGCTCAGTTGAAGGCGTTGAAAGATGAAATGAAGGAAGAAGAGAAGAAACAAGCATTAAAAGAAAAATTAGAATAGTTATTTGTTAATCTTTTAGGTTGTTATAAACGTTTCATTTAATGATTGCTTTATTCATCAAATGTTTTTGATCATAACTTACTACCTACATCATTATTACATTTTCGAATGGTTAATCTGTTTAATAGTTTTTTTTGGGTAGAATTATAAACCTTACATTGCAAATTTTTAGTTTTTTTAGTTTAATTTATTATTTTGTTTAAATTCTTGAGTTTAATGGACTGTTTTATAGGTATTTAGGATGATTTTGAATAGGATAGGGCTTTCTCGATTTGTCGCAAGCAAAAGATTGTTTTCTTTCAACATACCATTAAGGCAACAGGATGAAAGGCCTCAGATGTTTCAGTTGGAGTTTATACAACAACGAATTGCAGCCGCTGTAAGTTTTTTTTAAATATTGTATTATTTTTTGATTGTATGTTTTGAATTTTCATTTTTTTTTGAAAAATATGGATAAATAGAAGCAGATTTACTGTGTTGTTTTATATCTTGAAAATTGTGTCTGTAATAAATTGTTTTCAGAGTAAATTGATGTTTTATCAAAAGATGGACTTTACGTTTTACAGAGAAGATGTGGTGCTAGAGGACGAGATATGGGGTATTAAGAAACAGTAAGTAAAAGATTAATTTATGTTTGTTAAAAGAAACTTTTGTTGGAATTTTTGTATACGGAGTCAAACCTTTTATAGGAGGTATAAAAACGTTAGATTATTTATTGTCAATGTATGCATATAGAAATTTTTTAAATATATGATATACGATCAGTTGTATAGTATACGATAGCCATTTTTAGAAGCCGAACCGATTTAATGAATTACTTTGGTACGCTTTCAGTCACATGCAAAGTACTATTTCCTTCTGTTGAACTTGAAGTAAGATTTTTGAATTTTTAGTTTTATCTTTAGTGTTCAGTTATGTTGCTACGCTTAAAGTATGTTGCCAAGTTTGATGTTAAAGTATTTCCTAAGTTTGTCAGCCAACATATTTTAAAATTTCCTTGGTAATTGTCTAAAATGATCTCTTTTTAGCCATTAAACATCATACCATTACTAGACGATGGCACAGTAAGGTTTCGTTGGAGAATGAAGTACTTACATTGGTATCAAGTACTGAATGTAAAGAACTTTAATCCAGAAATACGAGAGAAGAACGTAAGTTACAATGAGTTTATGTCTATATGACCTATTATCTTTTATATTTGCGTTTTGATGACATTATCTTTGATATTTGTGGTGTTACTTCATAGAAAGGGTCTATTTGAACTTTACCTTTGATTTCCTATATTACTATACTTTATACTGTCTTTTAACTAATTTTTAAGTCAGTTTTTTCTACTTACAATACGAATAATAAGTATAAATGATACAAATTAATTATCCATTATAGTGCAATTGGTACGACGGAAACGCCACCTTTCATGTGGATGGAAATGGCAAAGTATTCAAATTAAAAATAACAAAGGTGACCCCAGATGACAGCTATCTACAGAATACGAAGCGAATCGCTCAGAAGTTTGCCAACATCTCAACGAATCAAACAACTTCGTTCAGCTCGAAACAATAATTTACTTGAACCTAACTTAATATCAAGGTTTTGGTTTGGAATTTAGAAGATTATTTTGTATTTAGGATTTTTGAAAAATTTCAAGACCAAAAGGACATTTTTCGATCAAGAAGCTTGATATTAAGTTATGATGTCCAACCACCACCATTAGGATCCTTATTTTGAGTTAGGAATCTGTTATTAACGCTACGGCGGCCTGGTTTTCGTATGAATTACTGTCAGGAGCTCTAGGTCTTTGGAAATCACTGAATGCTCATGTTTTACAGTTTCAAAAATTTCATATTGTACTGAAGCGTCAGTAACTTGGACTTGAATCTTCAATAACTTTCACAGTTGTTTCCCTTTCTATACGTTCAGCAGATTGTATTTGAGTTCATGAAACATTCTGAAAACTTATTTCGAGCGTTTTGATATTTCAAATCACCTGATCGTCGGCCAGGCTCTCGTTATGTTGTTGTTTTAGGCTTTAACGTGATTAAATCATTCTTTTTTTATAAATTGCTGTTTTTTGATATTGCTTGGCGTTATAAAAGTATACTTTCAGAGAGCATTTTAGAGTTTAGAGAAGATTTAGTTGAAAAAAATATTAAAAATGTCGAAAATGCGTTGAATATTATTGTGGTTGAAGGAAAAAGTCTTGTCGTTCTTTACCGTGCAAGTATGTGTAAGCCGACGACAAAACGTTTTTTGCGTTTTGATACATTTTACTAGGATAGCCAATACTTTATAGTCGATAGTATGTTTTACGAAAGAAGGCTCTTTTTAATCCTTATTTTATTATAAAAAACCGCTCAGAAGGCGCCCAAACCAACGTGATTTGAAATGCTTAAACCCATCTGATCCTAAAATATTATTCCACGATGCCCACCTGTTCCGTGCATGATTTGCGCCAGAAAAAATTGGAATTCAAATATAGGTGCCATATCCCAGCCTGTTCCCCCCCCTTTCCGAAAAAGAGGACGCGCTTTTGTTTAGAAAATGAAAAAAGCAAGTATCCCGCTGCCTGCGTTTCTCCCCCACCCCCCTAACACAGTGTTCACTCGGAAAGTCCGGTGACAGCAAGAAACGTCCACTCCGCTTCCCTCGAGGCCGTCTACTACAACATCAGCGGCCAGATGATGGGTAACATCACACACGCTGAAACGTTGTAATCTCGGTTTTAAAAAGACGCTTTTTCGAAGTTTACAATGTATAAAGTCCTCTTTTACAGTGTAATCCGCTATTTAGGAGTTTGGGGTCACGTGCCAATATGGTGCTCTTTCTTTCATGTCCAGATGTCTCGAGAGACGTTCTTTTCGGTTATCCGGTTTCAACACTGTTTGATGCCTAACGTCACTTACAATATTTTTTATGAATTTCAAAAGAAAAATATTTTTGAATTTGTTATAGATAAAGACGAACTTTTAACTATTTCGTAATTGAAAAATCATTTTCTGGGGTCATTTTGATAAAACTTTGATTATAGACGTTTTACAAGTTATGCTTGCTTTTTGCTTTTTTACAAATTGATGTTTTGGATCGTTTGGATTTGTGAGAAAAAAAACTTGGTCATGTGATACTAAAATGACGTTTTTTAATGCTAAACACAAAGTTTTAAAATTTTCATTTTTAAAATAAATTTTTAATTAATTTTCAATTCTTTTTGCCAGAGGATTTTCTAAAGATCCATTACCTTTTGTATTTTTAAGCCAATCAAATTTTTTAATTTTACGACAATCTTGCGACCTGCGCTTTTTGCCGCAACCTGCGTCCTAATTACTTTAATTTTCATCCAAAATTCGTTCGGTCGTTTTACGGAAAAATACGTCAATTTTTGTGATTTTATGGGGAAAAACGGAATTGTCAGTTGCGATCGTTCCCTTCCCCTAATTACAATAAATCGATCGAATTAAACTCGTCGATGAGCCAGCCGGTTTCACGACTCACGTTGTAAATTTGGCCGCTTTTTTGGGCCGGTTTCGGGTTTCGTAATGTTATTCCTTCTGCTTTTCCGACCGAAAAAAGAAAAGATCTTCGGAATCAGCGTTTCAGGCCCATTATTCGAATATTTCGGTATCGATCGTCGCGTTTTCGCCCACATTTGTGAACAATATTGATGTTGTTGTTACGTTTGTGTAATTGCTTTTCACTATTCGAGAAAAGTTGTCTGGTTCTCGAGGTTTTACGAACTTTGCTGGCTTTTTTTATATTGGTTTTGAGGGTATTTGGACGATAATTATGGCTAAATTATGCTTTATGACTAAACGTCTTCAGAATGAGTCATTTTATCTGTTTTGCGCTCAATGTTTAGTGTAATATAATGAAATTTGCGAAGTTCTTGTACTTCTGACACGTTTCTGACTTTTTCTTGTTCAAAAGGGTAAAATACGTTTTATTTAAAAGCATCTAAGTCTATTTTTTGTAATTTTGGCCGAAAAATTAATTTTCAGATCAATTATAATGTTCTCTCTCTTGCAGTTTGTATTATCACGCGTTTAAACTGTTTCCCCACTAAATTATGCGATGTTTGGACCTTTTTTGCTTTTTTAAATTAGAATTATATTGTATTACAATTTTATATTGCAAAAAATGTTATACGTTACGGAACATACGTTTTTTGTTGATATCTCATTATGTCATTGATTAGAATGAATTACTTTCAGATGGCCAAAAGACAGTACGATTTACTCTTCAAATTACTACTGATCGGCGACAGTGGAGTAGGGAAAACATGTATTATGTACAGGTTCTGTGACGACGCATTTAACACAACTTTCATTTCGACAATCGGTAAGATATTGTTCTTTATTGTTTGTTTCAAAGTTTAGGTATTGATTTTGACGTTTTGGAGGCACTTATTAGCCTATGTTTTTAAAAACATGGAGAATCTGATATTTCAAGATATTTTTGACCTACTATTTCTAAACTTTTGGTATTACTTTGCCTAATATTTCAATTTTTTAGGTATTGACTTCAAAATTAAAACGATCGAACTCCGAGGCAAGAAGATTAAGCTACAGATCTGGGATACCGCTGGTCAGGAGAGATTCCACACAATCACGACGTCGTATTACAGAGGTGCAATGGGAATTATGTTGGTATACGATATCACAAATGCCAAAAGCTTTGATAATATTGCTAAATGGCTTCGTCAGATTGATGAGGTCAGTTTTTGCTATTTTTATATATTTTTTCTTGTTTAGATATTATTTTTTGGATTTCGATACATTTTATTGCGTTGGTATAGGTATAAATGACCATTTTATTGTGTTGATACAGTTATAATTAAAAGTTTAATGACATTATTTACTTTCAGCACGCGTCAGAAGATGTTGTAAAGATGATATTGGGCAACAAGTGCGATATGACAGACAGACGAGTGGTGTCCAAGGAATGTGGGGAGAAGATTGCGATCGATCACCAGATCCGATTTTTGGAGACCTCAGCAAAGGCCAATATTAATATTGATAAAGCCTTCTACGACCTGGCCGAAATAATTTTGGATAATGTAGGTTTATGTATAGATTACCATTCTTGTAAACCTTTATGTATGGTTTTTGAAGAAAACTAGGAAAAATGTCATACTTACGAACTTTTTGGCCGATCTTTGCTATGTTAACATGAAAAGGCTTGCTTTTTGATGAAAAACAATGGTTGTTATCCCATTATATGACCTTAATTGCTTTTAAAGTAACCATATGGACTATACCATCTTAATTTACTTATTAATTTATTTTTATCATTACTTATACCTAAATGTGACGATTTCAGCTGCCGAACGCGAATCCCAACGAGCCGAGCGGCATCAGACCGGCAGTTCAAGAAGGTCAGGGCGGTCGAGCGGGTTGTTGTTGATGCGATGAGGATGGACATTTCGACAACATTTATGTACCGTGTTTACTTCATTTATCAGTTCTGTTTTTGGTTTTTATTTTGCGATTTTAAAGCATGTCCAGCTTTTATTGTGTCGAGGCAGGTGTTGTTGGGATGGTCAAGAGTTACAGTAACTCATTGTTGCTAGTTATTTTGCAAATTTATTAACAAATGGAGTTGCTTGGCAGTTTTTACTGGTTTAAAGACTACGTTAAATGGTAATTAGTCATTTTGAGTAATACTTACCGTGTACTTATGTGTTCATGAGTATTTTTGATACCTAAATTTACAGTATCTCTTTAATAGTAAATATTTACTGACATTTCTTAAAAAAGCAACTATTAATACATGAAAATACCATTTTGAACATGGCCAACCCAACATACGACGCCCTCTGTAATGGGCATACGAATGTAAAGTTACTCTTTGCGGGCTCTTTTCCCAAGCGATTGCTAACTCATCCACAAGAACCTGATCGCTTATATCTGCTCTTATGTATCCTTCTATAATCTCATTGTCTAATATAGAATTGTTTTATGATATGATGCCGGTAAATCCGAATTCAAAACTCAACTTTGGCCGTTTTTTAAAATATGTTATACTAGGTTATGGACAAGATTTTTGTGCATTTATTGGTGAAGAAAGCCAGTGAAAAACTTGTAATTATTTTATCAAAAGTACTAAGTATCTGGTGGTGCTATCAGTACTTAATTTCCATTTTTAGGTACACTTTTCCGCTTGTAACCTATAATCAATCCAAAACTAAACCGATATCAACATAAACGTTACTCTAGTTTATTGATGAACAAGTGAATGAGCTTACGTACAAAGTTAAAGTTGTTTTAAGCGGCGCTGAGCAAAGTTTTATATATAACTGGTTACAAAATGGTGACCTTTAAGACTAGAAGGATGTGACAAAGGCACACGTTATTTCAGCACCATAGAGAATAGAAGTTTAAGGATAACCATAGAGAATATAGAAATCTAAGGATATGAAGTTATAGTAACGGGGCAAAACGACTGTACACTGCTGTTGTCAAGGTTACAATATTAATTGTAACAATATAAAAAGATACAAAATAGACTACAATAATATCCAGTGTCACATAACATGGTTAAGATTCGAAACAATGAGACGATAAGCACAGTAGGTAGCGTAGTGCTTCGTACAGTAAGTACCGTAGCTCATGGAGTTTTTTGGAAAAAGGATCGGAACTTACAGTACAATAATATAGATTATAGTAGAAATTTGACGTAGTATTACTTCAACCACATACAGTTTCATAACTTGAACAACATTTAGTTTCAGTACCACTACTTGAATTTTGAATAGCAAAAAAATTTACAGTAATCGAGCTAATAAGATAAGAAAAAATACAGTAGACTCAAAACAATAAGTACAGTAATTTTCTTACATTACTCAACACCAAAAGTAAATTAACTTACAGTACCATAAAAAGTACAGTAACCTTCTAACCTAATTATTTGGTACAAGCCATTTGTCTGGGCGCATGGAATTCCTCCACAGTACCATCCGGATTCAGTACCACCGGGCTTTGCGGGTCTTCGTCGACGCTAGCCAGTCTGTCGGTGATGTGACGAAGCTCTTCTTCACATTCCGCATCTGGACCGTCGGTGTTTTGGAAGGTGAGTGAGGCCATCTTCAGTTCTACGATCGGAGCCATCTAAACCATGATTATTACTTTGTTTTATTGGTACTCTTGGACAAATAGTACTGCACGTGTGATGTTAATGTATCCACAGCACTCATATCAATTACTCCACATCAAATACGATATCTAGTTAGTCGCCATCACCCAAAATGACACATTCAAAGGTTTTATATTACTATTAGTTGGTTCAAATAATTCTGTGCGCTATATTAAAGAAAATTTTCCAGATTAAGGGCACATAATTATTTTAACAACGTAATAAAAACACACTTCGTGAAACCGACATAGTAATAATACCGTTCGTAAAAATAGATAACCAGTAGTACACTTTTTAACGTCACATCGTACGGAAAATGGAAAAATTGAAAAAGAAGTATGGTTAAAACGTACAGTAACAGAAAGTATAGTAAGATTAAATAGAAAAGTTAAACGAAACTAAATCCGTGCTCAACCACAACCCTCACTACAACAACAACTCAAGTATGGTATCTCACTCACCAAGGCGAATAACATAAGCGCATGATCTCGCCAGCCTCCCACTGTAAATATATCTTACTCTCTTGTCGTATAGTCGTTGTAAATGCATATCTTACTCTTACATGGTTATATTTTTATCTCAAAACTTGGTAAAGAATCTACACGGTGACGTTTTAATATGGCAATGTTTATATAATCAGAATACTGCACCGTGCAGTCCTTCTCAAAGCTTTGAGATATTATTAAGTTGCAACCTTTCGTATGTTACTGAGCAGTAAAATGATAGCTTAAAATCAAATTTGAAGCACTATTAGGTTTAAGTAGCAAAAATCATCAGTAGCCTTTCATGTAACTTATCAGAAGCCTTTAGTTCATGTTATTATGCAAATTTCGTATTTAAATTAAGTATTGCTTATCATAAAGATCATGACTTATCATAGCTCATCAACACAAAACACTTACCGCAGGTTCATCCGGCTTGGCACGGTAGGTATCGACCGCATCAATCTTGAACTTGAACATCTCTATCTCACAACTGTAGGCCTTGGGGGTCAGCTTAATTACAGTATGCAGTGGCACATTCAAGTACGGTAGATCAGTCCTATCCTTGTTGTCAAAGTAGGCCAAGATACAGCGAAGGACAGCCTGATGTGAGATGACCAGCACGTTGGACTGCCGTTCCAGCTCCATAATAACTGGCTCCAATCTGGCTACAAGATCTTCGTAACTCTCTCCACTTGGGTATCGGTAATGGTACTTGTCCTTGTCTCTCTCGGCGAACTGCTTCGGGTACCTTGCTTCGAAATCTTCGTATGTTAGACCTTCACAGATACCGGCATCAATTTCGTCCAAAACCTTCCAGTACTCGACGTGGGCAGCTAGGTCTTTGAGGTAATTGGCTGTCTGAGCAGCACGAATCTTCTGAGAGCTCCAGATGCGGAGATCGTGGGAGACGTTTTCTTTCTAAGGGTGATGTTATAGTAGGTACAATTAAGAATCGTTATAAATAAAAAAGACCAGATTTAAAATTTTACTGAAAAAAGTCAACTTCTACCATGTTATCTTACCTCAAAGTACTGTCTTAACTTTTCAGCATATCTAACGCCATTTTCACTCAACGGACTGTCACCTCCAAGTCTACCGATCCTATTGTATTCTGATTCTCCGTGCTGAAAAGAAAACACAATTAGGCCCCAGTTTGATTTCATGTGTTATCCATCCTATAGAGATGTAAAAAACAAATAACATTTAAAAATCTTGAAGAATTTAAGCTTTAAATAAGCAAACAAAAATAAAGACAATAACCATCCATGTTAGTATATACTTACTCTAGTCAAGTAAATCGACCGAGGCAACAGGTGAATGTTCATCAAGAAGTACACCACCCTACTCTGGACATGACCGTTCACGTTGTGTACGTAGAATGACCTGCCAGCATTGATGACCTTGATAAAAGACAACTCGTCATCTTCGTCCTCATCCATCGGCTCGTACTGGATTCTGTAGTTCTCGATCCTCTTCATAAAGTCTTCTTTGGCTTCTTCTTGTGTCATTCGATTCTTGTAGTCGGGGGAACTGATCTTCACTTCCTAAATTTTAAATTTAACTATAATTATTTTGAGAATGCGACTAATCTTTTATATGATGTTGAAGATGTGACTGATATTTCTAACTTTGGCAAAAAATTTTAAACAAAAGTATTACCGAGATATTAGAATTGATAATTTCTGGGTCATCACAAATACTTTCGATAAAGAAGACCCGGAACTTGGGGTCACGGTCTTCTCGGAGGCAAAAGTTTACCAGTAAATCTCTTCGTTCCCTCGTCGTGTTGGTGGCATCAAAAATCTACAACAACATAGATTTAGAGCAAGATACAAAACCATCAATTTTAAAAAGCAAATAAAAGCTGCAATATTGTTTTAGTTACAAGTAACTAAAAGACAAAGACTTACAGCTACTTCGCCTTCTTTTCCCTCCAAATATCTTCCCATATCCTCCATGGCCAATCGAGCACATTCACTAAATTTGGATAACAATATTATGAATAACACCTACTCTCGGATCTTGATTCCTTGTTTGTTATTAGGATTGAAGAAGTCAGCTTCACCTTGTTCCGCTAGGTTACACGCCAATCTTCTGTATTCGCCGACATTGAAAGCTAAAAGATCGGAATTAAAATAATATATGTTAAACAATAGTAAAAAACAAGATAAATTTGGTATAAAAAATCTTAAATTATCTACAAAAACGACTTTGCTAGCAAAAACAACAAAACAAACCTATAAAACAACATAATTTATGACGGAAATTATAAAATTAATATAGACGTAAACAAAAACAACAAGATTAATGCCATACCTCTTGTTTTTATCCCAATCCAATTCAAATACCGACACAGCTTATGGGAGATGTATGTTTTGCCTCGAGCTGGCAATCCGACCAGAGCAATAACATTGGGAACTCGAACTTGCTCACGTGTCGAGTCTAAAGTCCAAGTGGTATTAATTAAACCTCCAAAACAATACTATTTACTGATTCTAAACCTTATTTTAACACCTGAACATTAAAAAATGCCATTGAGATACCTAAATAACCAAAACGAACTCTTTAATACCTACATTGGTGGACGTGAATACGAGTATGCATTCCGAAAAATGTTTTTCGAAAGACTGTTAACAAGTGTTAAGAACGATCTCGACCATGAAACCGACAAACAAGGTATCAGAAGCGCCGAGAAGACCTTTAAAGAACAGAGAACTCGTTCGATCAGAAGCAGTTCATTAAAATTAAAAAGTAAATAAAGAAAAAAGAATGTAACGGACTTCAACGATTGATTTCAGTCCGTTTTTTGCTCAAACTCGCGCTCGAAATGATAACGAAAGATTATTTATAAATTTTCCGACTATTTATGACCTTTTTCTTATCACTCCGACCATGTTTGTACTATTTCGGGTATCAATAACCTTAATTCGATTATAAACCTTGTTGTTCATGATCACTTACCGCCCGTTCCGTGCATTTTGATGTCGTAAAAGGTCATTTTGCGTTGAGGGACCATGCGAGCCATATTTATCACACGAATTTCATCAAAAACGTGAAGGAAGTATTGTTAAAAAGGCCGCTCGAGCGAAGAACGCCTTCTCCAACCTCAGGTTTCTTTCTTTGTTGCCCCCAGCCGACCGTCTTTGTCAGTGTTCTTTAATGCCAAAGCGCCTAACAGAGATCGATCAACAATTTATAAAACCAATTGAACGCAAAACAAAACAACGGGATAAATTGTAGGTATTCAGAGGTGAAACGTGAGTTATGTTGTCATATCATCGATGATGCTATTTCGGTCGAAAGTTTATAGAAAATGGTCGATAAACCTTGTTTTTTATCTCAAAATGACAATATTGACCAAAAAGGGCAATAATCTAAAAACTTCTCGCCCGGAACAGCATATAACATTAATTACAATGTGATAACGTTAGTTAACAATATAAAAACAAGTATCTAACGTCCATCTATGACAATATAAGTCTGTTATGACATGTGTTACATCGTCAGCTCCATGATGGCATTCACAAGGTCGTTGTCCGAGTTCTTGAGGGCTTTGATGGCTCGGTTCCGGTTGACGCCCGCTTGTGACATTACCAATTCAATGTCCTTCTCTTCGAGACCAGTAGCGTCCACTTCCTCCGTGTCGCTTTCCTCGGCTTGTGGCGCCAGTCGGTTCACATTCTGGCTGATGTTGGCGGCAGCCGGTTTGAAGTTCTCGACATCGGAGAGTTGAGCGTGCTGGCTCAGGTCCTCGATCTTGGCCTCTCCAAAGATGATGTAGGTATCGGATCCGGGGCTCTTGTATACGTCGGGTTTGTTGATGACGAACAAAATGGACTTGGATTTGCGGATGGAGACTCGTGACACACCGTGCACTTGCTTCAGGCCGAGCTTGGCGAATAATTTACGAGCCTTCTTCTCGGAGCGCGACTGTTTTGAGCCCTTTTCCGATACCTAAAAATGTCATTTTATTATTTTAACTTGTTTATGTTGCTTTTTAAAGTGGTACTACAACTTATAATAGCTTGAGCTCTCTTTCTAGCATTGCAATACCGACACTAACGTGCATTAGTTACTGTCACGTGGCCATGTCAAGTTGTTTACACTTCTTTTGCAAACATAATAAAAGACCTTTCGGGGGAATTTGTTTTTGGACAAAAAGTGTGTAGAAATAGGCTTACTTGTTCAGAAAGACCGGCAGCTGCGGCGAATTTGGCCTGGTCCTCGGTGATGGGCTGGCTTTCTTCCACTTCCTCGTCGGATGAGGAGTCGCCAGAAGTGTGCTTCTCAGGCTGATCTTTAGTTTGGACCATTTTTACTAAAATGGCAGTCCATTAGTGAACGTCGAGCAGTTATTACACTTTTAAGAAACAACAAATTTAAGTCGTTTGTCTCCTTTTTTAACACGCTCACCCTCCCCACCAAAAACCGACGTTGTAACGATCGAAAAATGATTGATACATCGTTAAATGATTGATATATAGCAATATATTGTTGATGTACCACCTTTCAGTCGATAACGATGATACAAAGCGGAGAATAACCGCATCAAACCCCGCCAATCACGTAGCATATAAAAGTTTATTAAGTGAAACATGTAAATCTATGAGCATCACTAATCTAACAAGTCTCTATGACACAACTATACAATTACAATGACGAAAATGATAATACTGCAGTATACCAATAAAATGTTATCAAATATCATCCAAGGCACTTTCTAGAAGTCGATGAAACCCTGTAAACTAAGTGACAATATAAATCACAAAACCAAGCGTTGACTATAAATAACATCAAGGAAAGCCCTCAATATTGTCATATATATACACATGCATAACATAGATAACTAGCATATTTATATATACGTATCCCGCGTGTTCAATATACATTATTCATTGCCAAATCCTTCGGTCATATCGATGGCTGCGCTCAGCTTCTCAGCCAGCTGATCGTACGATCTGTATGGAGGAAGGTCGAGTCTGTTGAAGCAGGTGTGTGATCGTGGAAGCCAGTTCTCCTTGCCTACGCGTTCAATACAGAACAATTGAGGTCCAGTAGATCCGATGAGTTCGGAGAATCCGCCAACTGGGACACGACATGTTCCTGTCACGAACTGTAAGAGTTTGGACTTTCTTTCCTGATCCAAACTTCTGACAAACTGCCAGAACCAGATGATCTGCTTGCTTTGAGGAGCGTAGTGTCTGTAGACAGTGTTCCGTTGCCAATCGTCTACATCAATCTCTTGCATTCCACATAACAACAATTCTAACTCTCTCTCATCAAAGTACTGTAGCCATTCCAGTGGAAAGACTGATGTGAATCCATTGAAGAAGGCTTTCGTCTGTTGCTCGATACCTCGGTTGAACCTCCACTCCACCAATAGTTCAATGTACTCCTCCTTGTTGGTCTCGTCCACCTTACAATCGCTTCCCCCTTCCTTCAACTCATGAGTTTTAACTTCTCCGAGCAGCTCGTAGTCTACCACAAAGTAAAGTTCCATATCACACTCGTCTATGTTATTATCGCGTATCCAAACGATAGAATTGTAGAATTCCGAATCCACAGACTCCAAGTCCTTCAAGGTGATCTTTTTGTTCAACATCTTCTTGTAGAAAGGTAAGGTAAACCCGCTGTATATGAATTTCCCGTGGAACAATGCCTAAATGAGGAAGCATAAGAACTATATGATTATATCTTACCATAGCAATAAAACGGCCAATGTACTCAAAGTATTTCAAGTGATCTGGATTCACGAAACTGGCAGGGTTGATCTGGAGAGAGTAATTCGAAGTTCCGGCGTACATAAACAAGCAGTACATGGGGTTGAGGACTTCGTGAGATAACAGGAAAAACCATTCCCTAAAATAGTAATCATTACAACCGTTGTTAATATGACATTTGTTGCAAAATAACTAACAGTTATATTATTGTTTACTCGACTGTCTACAAAATAAAACGATATACAGATATAAACGAACAAAGGCTAACTGTACCCACTAAACAGTTCAGCCTGAGCAAACAAACAATACTTTACTTACCTTGCAATTCCACCGTAATCGAGACCGTCTTCTCCCTTAAACTGTATGTACAACCTTCTTCTCAAATCGACCGCGTTCTTTCTCATGATCTCCTGGAACGACTCTTCGAACAGATTCGACCGTGAAACCGTGATCTTGACGTGATTTGGCACGCCATTAGATAGACATAGGTATCTGAACTGAGCAATCTTAAACTTGAAAGTCTTATCCATAGAAATATTCAAATTTGAGAAGTTCAAAGGTCCCACAGGCTTGCCGGTTCTTGGATGGTTGTAGGTGGTGGTTTTGGTGTTGTGGTCGATAAAGAAGGGAATCCCGTGGTCGGTTATCCTCACTTCCCATCCTTCAGGCAACGGTGAATCCTGAAGTCCTTGAGTTCGAGGATCTTCCCATTGGGTCGTCTTGTTTATATGGTTAACGTAGTATTGTCTTCCACTGTTTGGATCGTCTCTTCGTTCCCAGCCTTCTGGCAAAGGTCCTAGAGGGTCATCATGAGCTTGATATAAGAATCGTTGTTCCCATTGATGCATGGCTTGATCTCGGCCGGACTGCCATTGCTCGTGAGCAGCCAACATATCTGTTGTTGGTCGTTGCCATGTAGTGGTTCTTGTATTGTGATCTACGTAGTAGACTCTTCCTCGGGGATCTCTTCGCATCTCCCAACTAAAAAATGTAACTTTAAAAAGTTTTAGTGTTTTTAAATATTAAAAACTATAATATAAACCTAAAAATTTATTTTCAAAATAACTTCATTCATATTGAAACTACCTCTATCATATATTGTATAAAAATCGAAAAACTTTGCAAATTTGACTTAAAACAAGGTGTCTTATCACAACTTCTGTTCAAAACAATATCAAACTTTTGCAAACGTAAACAAATTTTATACCTAAATTTCAAAATTTTTAACATTAACCTACCCTGGAGGAAAAGGTTGATTGCTCGGTCGTTCCCAAGTCGTGCTCTTCGTTGTATGATCAACATAGTACGTTCTTCCATAAGCATCGTGCCTCATCTCCCATCCAGAAGGCAATGGTTCTTCAGCTCCATTAGAAGACGAAGGCTGATCCTGAGGTCTCGCCATGATAGTATCTCGTTTCCCAGCGTTCCTCCGGTCTGCACCGTTCTCTACGCCGTTCGCGACCGTTCCATTCTGACGTGCGCTGCGTCTCTTTCTCTCTACCATCCCATTCACCATCAACTTGAGCTCTCCCACTTTCTGGTTATCTTTCCCAATCAATTGCAGAGTTATCGTCGTGTTTGTAACTAAATTGGAATTGAAATCAGTTTATGAATCACTCACATTTCCCGTTATCAGAATCCTTCTTCACCCAATGCGACACTTTGGCGGTCTTGGATCCGAATAAATTATCGTCGAACACTTTGTTCTTGCAGTAGACTTTGAAGTCGATAACGGACGAGTCCGTCACCGTGACGTCAAACACCTCGTCCCACTGTGGACTGTTGGTCCGTTTCTTGATCGCCGACTTCTTCGTGTCACTGCTGTCCACCGTGAGCTCCACGTAGACGTCCGGTTTGCCCAACAACGACCCGGACCCGTTCAATTTGGCAGAAGAAACTGAAAATTAAAAAAATATACTTTTACACCAAGTTTCGATGTTCTACAGCAAATTTCCAATGAAAAAACTAAAAACTTTTCATATGTTACCTAAATTTAAAAATTTTTATTAAATTGTTACTTAAACTTGAAAAATTTATTTATTAAGCAAAAAAACTTTAAAATTCTTTCAAGTTCTAAACGTTTATTATCTAAAATTTAAAGATTGACTAACTTATTACCTAAATTTAACAAAATATCAAAAAGCTAATTAAGAACACTTCAAAATCGATTAAAATAGTGAGTAATATCTAAGAAAGAGTGCTATCTACCTCTTGCGTAACTACTGTTCGTTCAATAACAAAAATTTCGCAAAACTATTCGAATGTTCGTGAATAAATACCCAAATTCTACGTAGCATAAAGATAAACAAAATTTGGACTACAAAAACGATAATATTAATAACTTTAGGTATTAAAGAAGCTTTATAAAGCCAAAAAAGCCTTATATGGCCAAAGACTGTATAATAAACGGCATTGTCGAAAAACAAGATCAAGGAAGCCAAAATCTTACCAGTTATCTGAATCGGGAATGTCTTGGGCGTGCTGGTGCCATTGGCTGTGACTAGAGCCCCGTTCCGTGAAGTTGTCGGTTCGTCGCCCATTTGATACGAGTCTACCCAGGCCCCTGGAAACGATTCAATGAACAAAACTATTCTCTTTTCGCTATCGATTAGTCTGCCTTTACAACGCGAAAATCGGCCAAAAAATGCGGAAAAACCTGATTTTCACACAACGGAAACGAGAAACCTCGGCGGGATAAGGGTGGAAAACGTTGATAATAAAAAGGGGAACACCCAGGAACAAGATGTCCCCCGCAATAACAGCCCCTCTCTTCTACCTTACATGCAGAGATTATCTCAAAAGACATTATTTCCAATCGATAACCGTATAAAACAATATTTTCCCCCCGGCTCCACCCAAAAACGGCTGAAACGTGAAGCGGCTCCCGTGAATTGCGTGAAACCCAATTCCCACCAAATCCCCCTCTTCATCATTGATTGCGGAAAGTGAAGAAACAACCGATGAGATCATAGGAGTACAATAAAAAAATACACAATGTCGCTGCGTCTCGCCACGAAACTCGAGATTTGGCATTGTGTTTTATTAATTTCTGAAAAATCTTTAACGATTCTTGGTTGAAGAGTCGACCAAAACGTGGTTAGTCCAAAGAGTTTCTGGTGGTATGACAGAAAACGTGGAAGATAAAGAGTGCAGTAACTTTCAGTTTATATCTACACCATCAGACTTTTTTCTCAAAGGCATCAGAAGTGTTTTGAAGTGTAATAGGGAGACTGGAAAGCTGAGTCTTGCTTCTCACACAGGTACCTGTCTTTTTCTGACCGTTTGTAGTTTAATTATAACGATTTTATTATATTTTACATTAGTTTATATGGTTTTAGATGACTTACAGCGTGGTCAACACAAAATTTTAATACCTATTTTTCAGAACTTGCTGACCTGGACTGCCTTAATGTTCTTGGGTCGTTTTCTGGTTTCTTTGGACGTTTAGAATGTGATAATTGTACTTACTTACTTTTAATTTCCCAATCAACTAAAATTGGTACATTTGGTCCAGAAGATAGTCCGGTATACAGAATTGATCGTCTTGTAGCAATTCCTGTAGTCAATGACGGCAATCTAGCTCCAGATTGTTTGGAAAATGACACAGGATTTGAACGGATAAAGAATCAGCAAAAGAAGTTGTTTAACTTTGTCACTAACCGAAGTAATACCAGTCGATTGATAGACGAAGTGTTGAAGTTGGTCAATGTGTCCGGGAGCTTTTATTATTCTGAGTCCCATGATTTGACGTTGAGATCACAAAGGTAGGGAGAGTCTTTTTTTTTTATTTTGGCTTTTAGGCATTCCAAGAATCCGGATGAGTCAGCTTTGGAGTTTTTTTGGAATCGAAATTTGTTGTCGGATTTGTTTGAAGATGGGAAGCAGGTTCACAACACGTCGGAATGGTAAGAAATTTAAAATTTATTGGCTTATATGTAGAACAGACATTAAAAGTTACGTAGTTTTGATTATAATTTTAAAATTTGAAAAATGTTGTTACCTAAAACTTTTCTTGTAATAGTTTGTTTAAAAATGGCTTAAACATTGATTTTGATATATTTTCGGTATAAGTTATGATTTTATATCTTTTTTAACTTCAATATTATCCAAAAGTTTAATTTGTTACCTAAAATATGTTATTTTAGGGTATTACGAATAATACATGGATATTTTGAACAAAAGTTCTTGTCATACGAAACAGAATCGCAACTAAGACTAACCTTAGTGTCGAGAAGGTCTGTACACAGAGCTGGATGTAGGTATCTGCGTAGAGGTATAGACGGCGATGGGAATGTGGCCAACTTTGTGGAAACTGAAATGATGCTCAATATTTTTGGACATACGTTGTCTTTTGTTCAGGTAACGTGTTTCTACTTGTTTATAGTGTTGTTAACAACTTGAATTTTCAATATTGTTATTAATAAAACGTTTTTGTGATAAAATTATTAATGTTTTACTGTTAATGACCTTATTATTGTCTACTATAATATAACAATATACATTTTTAGTTACGAGGCTCAATTCCGGCCTTCTGGAGTCAAAAAGGCTACAGATATCGACCGCCTTTAGTAATCGACAAAGAAATAGACGAGTCAATTCCAGCTTGTAAATCTCATTTCGAAAAGATTAAAGATGAGTATGGTACGCCTGTTAGTATAGTCAACTTGGTCGATCATACTGGTCGAGAGTTCGCCCTGGGAGAGACATTTCTTCAACACGTACTCAAAATGAATGACGATGACATCAGATACTTTTCTTTCGATTTTCATGATCATTGTCGTGCTCTCAGGTTTGATAACGTAAGTTTAGGTTTTTAGGACTTTTGAGATTTTCCTGTAATATTATTTCTTATTGTACTTTCAAATGTTACAGTTACAGGTATAGATTTCCTTAACCGTTTGAGTTTTCTAACTTTTGTTTTTAAAATTTTTTTTTTCAATTTTAGGTATCAATATTGATGAACGCTTTGGAGCCAACCCTGTCGCAAACTGGATTCTGTTGGATTGACAAAGGAGGGCAGATGGTCAGAGAACAAAAAGGTATCATAAGAACGAACTGTGTAGATTGTTTGGATCGGACTAATGTTGTACAGGTAAGAAAGTGGAGATAGTTACTAAAAAGCATGCAGTTGTTAATGAAGATGACTTTATATTGTTATAGATTAACTTCTTTTCTTAGAATATGCAGTTTCTTAACTATAAATTCTAATGAAACTAACGTATAAGTATTAGTTTAGTAAGAATCAAGTCTAAACTAAACTTTATTTTTAGAGTGCAATATCACAGAACGTCGTTTCCTGCCAAGCCTTAAAGCTCGGCCTAATCGAACCCTTCACTGACACACCAGAAATCCTCGTCCGCCTTCTACAAACGATGTGGGCGGAGCACGGTGACTTTATCTCAAGACAGTACGCCGGCACCAATGCTCTAAAAGGAGATATCACACGAGGAGGGCAACGAAAACTAGTAGGATTGATGAAGGATGGTTACAACTCAGCTAGTCGTTACTATCTAAGTCATGTTAAAGATGCTCAAAGGCAACGCGCAATGGATGCTATCACTTCTGGCAGTGGAAAAACTGTTTTTATATCTAAAAATGAAGCCGAAATGGGTATAGAAGCCAAGGAAATGGAGACGGTAGAGGAGGAAGAGGAGGTGGAGAACATTGGCAGGATGGTGCACGAGACTGCCAGGTTTATACTACCTGAGAATGAGGTTTTAGTTGGGGGATGGGCATTGGTTGAGGCTTCTAGCAGTTCGAATCAAGTGGATACTGTACTTTTGTTGACCAGGTGAGTAAATTAGTACTATTAAGCATAAAAAAGTACGTTAAGAAGCTACAGGTTCAACTCTTGTAAAAATACAGAGTTGTATATGTGTGAGACCTAGCTTGTATGAAAGATGATGTTGTACAATTTGAACCGTTAGCCTTTCGGCTATCACAACAAAACCCCTCTACACCTAATAAAAATCATTTTTCAGATCCCAACTGTTTATCGCCTTGTATTCAGAAGACTCCGAGAAGCTCCTCGACCTCACAAAGATCAGTTTTCCTGAGGTGAAGTTGATCGAAACTGGACCGGTCGATAAAACTGACAAGATTTACCTTCGAATTCACTGGGAATCAAACGAAAAATTGAAATTCAAAACCTGGAGGGCAGCGAGTGTCAGATTGTTCAATAATGTTGCGATTGCCATAAAGGACGAGTCAGAAGGCGACGAATATGTTTTGTCGATAGCTGAACAGATGAGAATAACATTACAAATGACTGATAATGCAGTGGAAGTGAGGAAAGTCAACAGATTGGATAACAACACGAGTCCCGTTGGGTAAGACGGTTTGAATTTAGTGAAATTCAGTGATGTAGATAGTTTGATTTTACGTTTACATGCCAGAAAATTTTTTTAATTGAAATTTTCGTTGACATTTCTAATGTAGCTATTGCAGGTTCAACCGCTCCAACTTCTTGAACTCGCTTGGCTCCAAGATTAAGCTGCCAGGGATCAAACGGTCAAATGCTGGTAAAGATTTACTAACACCGCCTACGGTAAGTATTAGGTCGTTCAACTAATTCTATGCTTCCTAACCCCGAAACTTTTCATTGAGAGGGGCACAGAATTATTTGAACAAGCTAATAAAATATTATTGGTTTGGCGATAAAGTTATGCCATGGCATGCCACTTTTGAGTAATGACTAGACCTGTAAAAGAGCTGGACCTTGGTTTGGGTTCCGGAATTCGGGCTTTCGTGTGCCTGCTCGGCCCTTTTTAAATTTGCTTCGGCCGTCCTCCCCTCTCCCTCCTCTAAGCCGGACCGGGCCTATTGGCCCCATTTTAGGTCTTGACATTTTGAGGTGTTTATCTAATGCAGTACCAATTTTTTATACTAAGTGTAATATATTTTTTTACAGCGCAATTCCCAATTGGTCAAAAAGTACATAGAATAGCATGAATGTTGCAAGATTGATTCCTCTTTTTGATTTTTCTATATTTGTTCCGACCAAACAAGTACAAGCTAAAAACGATAAAAAGAATAATGATAAGAAGAAAATCCTGATAATTGATGACAAAAATGACTTACCTTATTCAGATGTCCACCTCCAAGTCGGACGGCCTACTGTCGACGTCAGGTTTGATTGGAAAACTTCAAGACAAGTTCAAGGTACCATTAACAAGATCCACGAATCAAGTTAACACCGATTCCATAATCGATATCGAAGAAATGAAACCGGAACGAGATCCTTTCGAATCCTACAAGGACAGCATTCTCAAGTCCAACTCCCAGATAGTCATGTTGTGAATGGCTAACTGTAAATTACATTTGTCTGTTTTTAACTTTTTTAGTTTTTTCTTGGTCAGTACTGTGAAAATCGTCTAGCTTAACACCACTGATAGTCTATTTCAGTTCAATGTCCATGATATAACTTTGTTTAATAGTCTTGTCTTAATAAGCATAAAAAACTTGTCCCATTAAGTACATTATGTATTGTTTACTTCAGTCTTTACTTCAAGAAAACAACATTAGTATTGTAATTCAAGATGCTTCCATTAAAATACCTAGTCTAGCCATAATCGCCTTTAAAACTCTTCAAGAGTAACTTGTAGTACTTTTAGTTTTCAGTATGTTAGTTATTTTAATACATTTTGCAAATTATTATCTTTACAAGTCTAATATCTGTATTATTTTAGTATCTTTATTATTGTAGTACCTTTCTCTTTATTATTTTTACATTTTCTACTCTAGTACCTTTAAAACAGCCCCATGTATCATACCTCGTCAATGTTCACTTGTTTTTAGTAACGTTTTTACTGTTTGTCTTACGGTGGTACTATGTTATCCTAAACGGTCTGGATTCATATCAGTAGGTATTGTTAAGATCCCAGAACGTTTAGGATTACCTATGATTGTCGCTTTAATTGTTTGTGATATCTGATCGGGCATAATTCGCTTTTAAAACTGTAAATAAACTAATCTTCAACTTTGACGGTATTCTAAAGGTATAAATTGCTTGAATCAAAACGAATGTTTGAATAATTGTTTAAAAAAAAAAGATTTAAACCCATTTATTGCATTTCAGTATAACTAACCTTGAATACCAAAAAAACAGATCGAGAGAAGTGAGTGTAAACACCATGTATGTAAAGTTATTAATCGTATGAAAGGCTGTATATTGAAGTACCCGTTTAGTGTTCGTCGTAGAAAGTGTTCATGATCATTTGTCCATTTTCATTTTTGATGGTGAAGTTGGGTGCGATCATGTAGTGATAGTCGCTGCGACCGACGTAAAGCTGCAGGTTCCAAGGGATGGGGAGTTTGTAGAGGTCGTACTCGTTGTGCACGTGATTCCGAATGGCGAGACGACAGAGATGTTTCAGCGTGGGTTTTAGAGTGTACCAGGTGAAGGGGTGAAGTAGCTTCACATTCTGACTTCGCTGATCTTGAGAGCGTGGCATCTCCAGAATGTCGAGGATGTCTCCGGCCTTGGAGGTATCGACGATCATCTTCACGAAGGTCTGCATGTCTTCTGCTTGAAGTAGCGCGTTCTCGGATCCCAAACAAAAACGGCCACGGAAGTAGCCGATCCGACTGTGATTGACTTGACCATTGACCTTGTAGGTAATGGTGAACAGGCTGTGTTGTGATGTTCTCGAGTCTCTGAACAGGAATGTGCCATCTGGTTGATCTTTTATCATTAGCTTGGCTCTTGCTGGGTCGATTCCTGACCAGTAGCACGTGCACTAAAGTAATATTGTTAATTGTACAGAAGGAAGAAGATACTTGAATCAAAACGAGATGGAAAAACTATAATATAAACTAATTTTGAATCAAAAATGGCAATCAACATTATGATTAATAATACTGAGACATTATCAATATTTGTTGACTTATACTTACCGATTTGATCTTGAGAAAGCTTTCCTTCAACGCTTTGTCGAACTGAATTTGTTTTTCAGAAATTCCTTCTTCGTCAGCCATCGTGAATCCAGATGTCGAAGGTTCTTCTGGGTTTCTTGCCTTCAGTACAACTCGTTGTGTCCTCATCAATCCTATAATAAAAACAAAATGCATATGTATAATAACAAAATAAATCAAAAGTTTTAGCTCGGACTGCCATTGTTAAGATATGACAAAAAATATTATAAAAAGGAAAGTAAGCTTTAACTATTATAAAACAACTAAAACATCAAAAGAAATATCAAAATGGCATAATTGTTCCCAATTAATTGGTAATATAGGAGTAAAACTTAATATAGAATAGGTATAATGAAGAAATCAACTTTTGTAATCACTTTGGCCAACGAATCAATCTTAGTTTTATTATATTAACAAATAAGTTAGTTCTAATTGCGTATAATATTATAACAACATAATTAAGTAACTATCTACATAAATGGTACAAAATTTCAATATCATAGGCTAAGAGTACAATAGCTACAATAACATTATTGTAACAATCAAACAATAACCTACAATATAACAACAAACAATTTTAAAGCTTGATATCAAAGTGGTAATGTCAAAAATCCCGTAAAATACGAAAATAGTGATAAAACTGGAGATCTTTAGTTCATTCGAGGACCTTGGCCGTAGTGGCCGGGCATGTTGTGCATTTGTTGGTTGGGCATACTCATGGGCATGCCCTGACTCATTGGTGGCTGTCCTTGGTACATCATCATGTTCTGGGGCCACTGGCCGGGCCCACTCATGCTGCCACCCATTTGGCCTGGAGGCATTTGACCTTGAGACATTGATCCTGGAGCCATTTGTCCCGAAGGCATTGAACCCGGTGGCATTTGCCCTGAAGGCATTTGCCCAGGCCCCATCTGGTTAGGCATTTGACCGGTCATGAAGGGTGCTGGACCACCGTGAGATGAGGATGGTGCATCAATGTGTTGTTGACCCATCTCTGGTGGGAAGTACGGTGGAGGCATGTGATTCACCATGCTGCCTCTCATTCCCATTTGGCCATACTGCTGACCGGGCATCATTGGGCCGGGGAATTGCCCTGGATGTGATGTGGGTGGATGACCATGTTGGCTTGTCATTGATGGGTGTAGATGGGGAGGTCCGCCCATCATGTTTGGTCTGCCAAAGTGTTGTTGAGGGGGAACGTTGGGGTTGTTCATGTTCATTTGTTCGTGATTGAGGCCGACTGAGTCGTTCGAGGATGAAGGCATACTCATGCTTGGCTGGTTAACATTGTGATATCCAGGTTGGAACGATGGGAGTTGTGGAGGATTCTGTTGGCTTTGCATGTTATTTGAGGCAACTTGTAATGGTGGCATCTGAGAATGTTGTTGTAGTTGTGGATTCGGGATCTGGAGCCTTGGAGGACCGTGGAACGCAGCTGGATTCCGTCCTTCTGCCTTCATGGAGTTGTATTCTGCCAAGGGTAATATCTTCAGCTGCCAAGCGTGAATGACTTGAAGTAGACTGGCGTGAGGGATGGACTTGTTCAGTCTGTCGCTCATGTCCATCACACCTTGAGTTTGGAGGAACTTGAGTTTGCACTGCATCGACTTGGGGAATCTGCTGATGGCTTCTTCCGTTTCCCTCGTCACGCTGAATCCGGTTACCGTATACTTGAACTGATACAGTAAATCGCATACCAGATCTTCGTACTTAAGTTCTGGAGCGTTCTTCAGGATCCTGGGAATCATGTCGTAGATGGTGATGATAAGGTGAAGGTAGGCTTTGCTCAGTTCCTTCTTGCTTTCTTCTCCATGAACCTTGCTCAAGTAGACTGCCAAGATACGAAGGAAGTATATAAGTTGAGTTTCGTTGACTACTTTTGGCGCCAGATTCTGTTGAATAAAGTTGCAGAGGTGAGCTAGACTATCACAACATGCATGCTGGATGAAGGAGTGGATCAGAGCAAGTAGTGTGATCATCCTATCGTCTCTGTATTGCATCGTCTCCATGGTGAACGATGACAACATGTACTCGGGGTCTTTGGTTGTCATTTCCGACCAGTCGAAGGACTTCTCGATGATACGGTAGAAGTGTTCTTGATAATGTTTGGGTAAATGTGTCAAGATCAAGGCGATCGAGTTGAGACGATCGTATGGTCGGTTGACGGCTCGAAGGAGCATGCATCCGACCAGCGCTTCCACTATCTTTGCTTGCTTCTTTGATGATAACATCAGTTCCAAACAGCCTGAGGTCACGGCTTGGGCGGCTGGAGGGAATTCGGCCAAACGCCAATCGTGGACCACGAATTCTGGAGGTTCGTGGATGTAGGTGGAGGCGGCGGTGACTCGCTTTACAATTTCATCACAGACTTTGATTGGTGAGACCTGGAAGAAGGACGATATTAGATAAATTGTAATTTTTTAATCGATATAAATCCTAAGTATCACAAAACTCATAGTCATGATTTCAAATTGGTTTCTTAAACCTATGTTATAAAAAATTCACAAAGAAATAATGCTATTGTAATTAAAACTACATACACTATGATTGTTTTGGATGAACTCTTGAGTCAAAAACGGATACTTTGGTTGTCGATCGTCGTCGAGAAGTTTTCCGACAGCTTTTACAAATTTGCCCATACTCTCTGTCTTACAGCTCTTCTCCAAAACGAACACCATCCTGTAGAGCGATGTTATTGGATTTGCTATAAATATAAATTTTAATACAAGCAAAGTGAAGCCAGCTTTCACACAGTAAGAATACCACAAATTAGAGAAAGAATAAGTATATTTGCCTCAAAACTATGCAAAAAAACCCTCTCAGAACCAAGTCAAGCAAGGCTCCGGGCCTGTAAAGTAAGTCCGGTCCTTTTGCAACCAAAAAGTGCAAAACATACGGTGATATCTGTACAAAGGAGCCAAAAAGTTGGTTAGTCCTTCAATAATATAGGCATCAATTCCATATTCAAAGCAGCGAATGAATAGAAAGTCGATTAATGGTACCAAACGTTCAGCCAAGTTACTGTAGTACATTAGAACTGGTATGTCACTGCTGTTGTCAGTTTCTGGCATTCCTTCCATTTGGGGATCAGCGTAGTCAAAATATTTCTGAAAAATCAGCCATTACATTACAATTATCTCAAAATATGGTTTGAAATTTGAATCTTAAAGCCATTACTTTGGTCCACATACTATATACTATAACAAGCAAATTACTACAATATCTTAAACAACCAAAAAATTTTAAAAATACCCTTGACATACCTTATGATACTCCATTTGTTTGGCAAAAAAGTCGCTCGATTTGTAGTGGAAGTAGCTGTTTGTGGTGGGGACATAAGTGTACAGTACCCTTAACCTCCTTGTCAATTCACAGTCAGCCTTGCTCAACAAGGTGTGTAGTAATATGAGGGCAATTTTGATACTCTTGTTATCATTTGGATGTACAATCAGTGCCATTAAGAAGCGTTCTACTGGGATTCCCGGTCGATTGAATATCATTTGATTCAAGACTGTCAACATCTTGTCAACTTCGCTGTCGGATGTTGCGGTGTTACATTTGTGAATGACATAATCGACCAGTCGGTTTAGGTTTACTGTCAGATCGTAGATACTCATTGATTTTACCATTCTGAAAAGAAAAGCTTATATTTTTGTTACTTATGACCTCACTATCATCAATGACAGATTACTGTTGGTACTTCGAGCCTAATTTCAAACCTTTTCTTTATCTACATACAGCAATATCAAGAACAGTCCTCTTATTCCCACAAACCTACTTATAAACAGTTCCAGACAGCTGAATAGGTGGTGTTAGACCAGCCTTCAGGATGACGATCAATGTGTTAGATGTGCATTGTGGTATCTGGCCAGGCATTCCGTTAAGTTGATGTATTTCAGCATCAGCAGCACGATCCATCGATGCCAAGTCTTCCGAATCCGAGCTTGTTTCAATGACAATATCCTTCAGACAAGGAGATAGCCATTTGGCTGTGCATTCGGGGAATCGGAAGTTGTCTTTGATCATGTCGAGGTGGATGTGTAGGTTCGTGATTCCGTCACAATCAGCTGAAATTTCAAAATTTAAAATATTATTAAAAAAGTCATAAATTACAAGTTTGTTAAAATAATTCAGTGCCCCATTTCAAAACACAATTTCTGGGTTAAGGAGCACAGAATTATTTGAACAACTTAATAGTAAAATTCACAAAACTTGGGTGTTTCAACTTACCAATCAACTTGATAGACATAATAAACTGGGTAATGATCAGCTTTACCACTTCTGGGCATAAAAGCAATTCCTGGCCAAATTTGTCGCTTGGCAAGAAGATATTAAACCCTGAAAGTAGCAATTATTTTATGTTCTTTAAAACAACTAAACTTTTATAAATTTAAAAAATTGTTTAAATCAGCCTTGAACATCCACAAGATCATTGAAAGCCTTTAACTTCAACCAAAATCTTGAATTTTTGAAAAACTTTTGACCTACTCCTAAAAAATTACCATAAACAATAAAAACAATCATATAAACTTACTGCACTTCTGTAACGACATAACAAAAGGAATGACATCAAACGCGGGTGCTGTCATGACCTGTCTCAACAAGATTTGCTCCATCAACACATATTGAGGTAGTTTGTGGTAAGCTGGACTGTTCAGCGGCGGTAGACATTCATGTAGCTTGTTGACAATCTGTATTCTGTATATGACATAGCCAATCAAGAACGAGGTGTTCTTCAGTCGATATGCCAAAATGTCGAAGAAAACGAAGGTGAAACGGTCGATGGATGAGGCAAATTTGTTGATGAAGGTGTGAATCACATTGTTAGTGCTTTTTACATTGTCCGAGGTTAGTAAAATTTTCGTTAAAGATTCTGAAAACAAAAACATCACCATTATTACTTTAAAAAAGTGCCATTAATCAGCTGAACTTAAGAAATCAGCAAAAATGCAAATTTTTGCTAAAAGCTGCTTACACCACTGCATAGCTTACTTTTTACCGTACTACCACCTCAAAAATAAAAAAAAATTTTTCTACTCTACCTATCATTATGATATATCGTTTTACTTTCCCACAACTTCAAAAACCAAAAAACCTTACCAACAATGGCTGGAGACGGGTTCTGTTGAGGATTGGAAGCATCGACAAAGTGGAACAACATGTAAGTGAAGAGCTGATTCTTGGCCGAAGTTGTCAACAAGTCCAAAAACTGTATTTCCAAGCCTTCCAATGACAGAGGACATTGTTGTTTGAATGGCAACTCGTAGATCCCTTTGGCACTGCTGATCTTCTTCATGATTTGAGTACACACTTCTGTGTTGAATACTGTTTCGTCATTGCAATCTGAAAAGTTTGTAAAATACTCATATTTATCAATATAAGATAATATAAAATAAAATAAGTTTTTAAAAAATTTAAAAAAAATTAAAATAAAAAGGAAACTTACAAGCATTAGCACAACTAGCCAGAATACCTTCGTCTTGTGGATTGCTAGCTTGTTCCTTCAGATAGTTGATTCCAGTTAGCAAAGCTGGTGGTGGACTGTTTTCCTTTGACATATTCATCCAAATAGCAGCTGGAACAAAGTATCGTACCAACCCAAAGCTGTCGGCACTTGATCCACTAAATCTCTCCGGGTCTCCAGCGTACAAGATGTTGTAGATTTCCGTAACTAAAACGTATTTTGTTAGCGTTCCAAATACAAAAATTAAATTTTTTAACAAAAACATAAAAATTCATACATAAATCAGTATGACTATGACTTTTAATTTTGAAAAACGCCTTCTCCCAATAAAAAAAATTAAAAAAAGTAATAAAAACCTACTCTCATCCTTAGGAAACTGTCTCTTCAACAAAGATACGCACTGTAATATCAGCCACATCAACTCTCCTCTAGCCTTAACAAACTCAGAAGGATGTGACTTCATTTGTTCCTTCAGAATCTTCAACAATTCTGGGAACGATGCACATTTGTGAGAGATGGCATAAGTGCACATGTGCATGATATGTCGCCAATTGTACTGAATTTCGTCGCTCATCACCTTCTTCTTGGTGTTCTCTGTCACACACATAGCCTCATGTATCAGAATGTGTAGCATTTCATCACACATCACGACTCGTTTGTCTTCTTTTCGCTTTGAGAGGTTCTGAAACAACAAAATAGGTAAAAAACTTGAAAAAAGGTTTTAAAATCAGTAAGTTACGACATTTCAGATCACTTATATCAACCACAATATAAAACCTTCACCTAACTTATCAAAATATTGTCTTATTTAAAAGATACAATCAAGATAACTTACATTCAAGCAATGCTGACTTCTAGGCTGCTTCATAATCATATACAAAGGGTAAGCTTGAGCAATTACTGATAGTGTCACATAAGGAAGATGCGTTTTTGAGCTTCTGTAGCCATGTTCACTGAATCTCCAATTGTTACCAAAAGGTGAGAATGTTAACATTGCTGTCACTGGATAAGCCCATGGTCGACCAATGAAAGTTGTGACATCAGCTAATGGTCTGAATGAAGCTACAACGTTTCGTATCTTCTCTGATAACCTCTGAAAAGTAAGCTATTATTTATGCTATAAAAAACACACTTTCACCAAAAGTTAAAGTTTTAGTTCAATAAAACATCAAAAAAATCATTGAACCTTGAATTTTAAACAAAAAGATACCTAAAATTCGAAATAACCCATAAAACTATAAACTTACCGGTAATTTATGTACAGGCGAAGTTGTGTAAATCCTAAAGACTTCAGTGACAATAAACAAACTCGGATAAAAGTTGTTGTATCGGTCCAAAAGTTCAATCGTCATTTCTTCCAAAGGTAATAATTGTAATATCTGATGTCCTTCAAGTTGTTGATGATGTTTCAATCCTCTGTCCAACTTCTCAACCAAAACCAACTTCAAAATCTCTCTCATGCCCTTGTAGTCAATTTCTTTCAAATGTTCTCTGACAAACGTAATCTTCTCCTTGTTTATCGGGACTTGGAAGCGTACTATGTCCAAGGAATTGATCATACCATAAGCAATTGGTCTGAAACCAACAAAAAATATTTAAAATAGTAAAAAAATTTATTAAGCTATCTTTTAAACAAGATTTTAACAATTTAAACATTAAAAGCAGTAATTTATTATTAGATTTATATTGTTAGAGATAATATAAAACTCACAAAACTGGGGCAACGTTATGTTTGTGAAGTTCAAATAAAACCTTTGTCACTACATTATCAATAGCCACAAGATGCTTCTTACTGTTGAGAAAATGTGTAACCATTGCATTTATACATAGCTCTAGATCGCGCTATAATAAAAACATTAAGGCATCTTTCTACAAAATTAAACCTTAAATCCAAAAAAACTAAAACAAAAATTACCTGATTATCCAAATGCTTCATGAGTTCAACCAGCTCCATAACAATGGCGTCGTCATTGTTTGAAGCCTTGATAAACGGCCCCAAAACACTGTTATCAAAATTAGTCTCCTAAAGTTGAAAAACAATATAACAAAAATAAAATACGTGTAAATCAATACATAAACCTTCAAAATAAACTTTTTATTTCAGTAAAAAGAACAAAAAACGTACAACATATCTGTTAATCAACTGAGCAATCCGTTTTTCGTTCTTCAACCCCACCCATGTTGAGATATCGGCTGTTGACTGTTCAGAACTTCCCTCGGGCTCTGAATTTCGAACAAGTTGCCCAATTACTGAAGTCTCCATCTAATTATTTACTTTATGTACACATTCAACAAGCCAAAGGAATCCCGAGATTAAATTTCTCCGAAAAATTATTATTTTTTCGCTAAAACACAATGCTAATATTGTTTTCGTGCCAGGACTCATCTCTTATAACAATGTATTTGGTTTGGTTGATAAATTTGGATGTACTACAGCTGTAGGTACAGTAATTTTTGTTTGAGTAGGATAAATATTTCATAAATGAGCAATAATATTTATTTAAAATACTATATATTTGTAAAATATGTTTTAGAATAGTGTTTTAAGGAGGTTGTCTTAGGAACCGGCGTTGCGAGTCTGAAATAAACGTTTTGAGGTGGATAAAGCGGCTAAAAAGGGATTGAAATTTATAAGGTAACAAGCAAAGATATTAAATTTTACTATTCCATTTGTAAACATCTTTAAAAGCTTATATTAACTAAGTTTTAACTAATTAAACCCAAAAAACCGCTTGGGACTTACATCTCGAATTTTCTGCTTCAACTGGTCGACTTGAGCTCGAAGGGCCGCAGCTTGTTGTTGAGCAACTTCTCGAGCATCCTGAGCATCTTTTAGACGTTGTCGCATGGCTTCGAGCTCGGCCTTCTTCTTCATGATGGCCGCCTCTTTTGGGTTGGGCGGTTGCAGGGTGTCGCTCATCTTGAGGGAGGCAGATCAGGAGAATGGGGAGAATATCCGCTCTCGACCCTGCGGACAGCTGGGCCGAGCCCTTCGTTACTCGGAATATGCGGCCTGCGGATAAATACCATATTTTGGGCGTAAAAATAGGAACAGGTTACATTGGAAGCATAATTTTAGGTATTTTGGTTGGTTAATGTCGATTTTTATGATTTTTTTGTGGATTTTGGATTGGGCTAAGATACAAATTAGTAGTCTCGTGACATTCATGGCTCATTCAGCACATTTTTTAGTATTTTTGTGAGTAATAACGGCATGATTCATTTAAATTTTCTTGTTTTTGGCCACAAATTTGAAGTTTGTGGGAGATATAGTCGATATTAACATGGTTTTTTGTAGAGTCTGAAGACAAAGCTTTATAAACTTCTTCTGAAACCTCTGACGATTAAGTGGCTATCTAAATTTTGGCAAAACTTATCAAAGCTTCATTAAAAAATTGCCAAAAACTAAAAAAAGCTAAATTTTTCCATTTTTTGCCATTTTTACCCTACTTTTTCTCTTCAAAACTCCAGAATCCTTTGGAATTTTTATGCAAATTTATTTATACACAAAAGTATTGTGATTTATTCTGTCCAACGATAAAAAGAATATTGGTATTGGCAGAGCATGTCCATAAACATTTATAAAACGAATAAAGTTGGCCTAGGTGGAGTAGGCCGTGTGAGGAGAAAACATTAAACAGAAGAGCCGTTTTACGATGGAAAGTACGGTACGGTGAATTAGTAGCCGGAGAGTTCTTGGAAGGTCTGGTCCAACTCCTCGGAGATGCTCTTGTAACGTTCCTTCTCGTGGACCAATTCGTCTAAATATTCATGATAATATCGTGGTTTTTGATGGTTTTCATGAGGTTAAAGTAGGTATAGTAGTTGTTATGGTAAATATATTGGGTGGGGTATTACTCTTTTCAGAAATTTATGAAATTCGAAAAAATATTTTAATGGAAACAAAGTTTTTACATAAAAACTTTTATTATACATTTCACAGCAAGATTCTGTTATACATACAACCGGAAAAGGACCGTCAAAAGTGGTACCAGGTTGGTGCCACGTGAAATACAGGTACCACAGATACCAAAAAGAGTACCAAAAGTTTTGTCTTTTCAGAATTGCCAAAAAAATCTTTTAAAAATAGCATAAACAAAAATTTTGAAAAGCGACAAAACTTTTGGTACATTTTACATAAAATACATAAATTGAAATCTACACAAAGTGGTACTAGGTAAACCATTAGTTCTTTCTTATTTTTATCATAGAGAAGGCAGCAAAAAACTAATGGATCTATCTAGTACAATATATTTAAGATTAGAACAAACAGTAGTAGTAAGAGGTGTACCACATAGTAATATACCACGTAGTAGTATAACCACATAGTGGTATACAACACAATAGTACACAACAACCATTACCGCAATGACGTGGATGACTAACACTAATCGTATCTAACATTACTTTAGTCACCCCCAGCCATTGGTCTGACAGTGATTAGTTGATATTGCATGACACAAAGTAAAATGTAAAGTAAATGTAAGAACACATCGCGTCACACAGTAAGATATGACACGGTAATGATATATTGTCACACAGATCATAATATCTCGTCACACAGAGCACACGCTCAAACCAGGTTCAGTTCGTTCACCAGCCGATCCAACTCGTCCTGAAGCTGTTTCGACTTGGACTGAACGTCTTCCTTCTCGTCTAAAACATACGTTAGGTCAACGGCATATGTTAGTATGGGGTTGTTGGGTTCGTATATTGTTGGTGAGTCTTTATTCTACCTTTTAAGGGTTGTTGTCATCAAAAAATGGACAATATGACCTTGTTTTAGCTAGTTTTCGGCTAAAAATCCACCTTTTTTCACTTTTCAGCCATTTTTTCAAATTTACGGTAACTTTCACATTGTTATTAGATTTAAAATGTTATATCACACATTTCAAACGTTACTCTAATTCATCGACAATCTATTAACCACACAAAAGTTGTAAAGAAAGTTTTCACACCGACAGTAAGAGAAGGTCACTACCTTCAACTTACAATTACTAAGTAAAACATGGACATGGACAGTAATACGAACAGTTAAGAACCCTGGATCTCTTGAACAGTCTGTTCAATCTCAGCAGTCAAATTGCGTACCCTTTCCTTCTCCACCAAAAGCTCGTCTAAAAGTTACAGTAATCATGATTATATTACTGTGAGCGCAATATATCTTGTGTTCTTCAGCAAATAATTGCCATTTTGATGTCGTGTGAAATAAAGTAACAATTATATGTTATTTCTGATCTTATTTTATGTTATGTTTTCTTTTTTAGCCACCAAACAATCAAAAATTGATCAAAACTACCTACTACAATATAATTTTCCTCTACTATAATAGGTTTTTGCTGTTTTTTCAAAAGTGCATATCTAAAACACTATTTGGATGCTATAAATTGTATTTCCTTTCACCCAATCCCCCATTCTATCCATCTTTTGTTCCTGGAATCTCTTTTTTGTATCTAACTGCCTGCCCACTCTCTCCCTTCCCAATGCTCCTTTCTTCGTCGCCCCCGCAGAACTCAAATCCTCGGCTTTTGCTTGATCTCGCCCGGAGGGCGTGGGTGTTTTTTGAAATGTGAGAAAAAAGTTTTCGACCGACAGGACAAATGTATATGACATGGATACGGACATGTACGTCAATGTTTCCAGAATTTAAATTACAGTAATTTTTTAAGTGCAAAAAATACAGTATATTTTCCAGAATTTTGCAAAAATTACTGTAAGTTTTAACATAAAAACTGTATAGTTTTTAAAAATTACTGAGTAAAATCTAAAAAATGGTTTTACTGTAATGTACAGTACGTAAAGTATAGTAACCTACCTTCCAGTCTGTCGACTTCCTTCTGGAGTTTCTGGACTGAACGTTCGGCAAATTCGGCACGGGTTTCGGCCTAAAAATTAAAATTTTAAATTGTTTAAAGGTATGATCAATTATAACAAAACGACGTTACATATAGACAGTATAAAATGACGGACATAAACATATAATATCGTAGTTACACATGGACCTACAAACATAAAAAAGTAAAAATGATGCCAAAAGTATCAGTAATGACATAGTACTTTACCAATTACAGACATATTAAGTTGTATAAAAAGTAATGAGCCAAGTCCCATATCGAATGTTTTTACCGCCCCAGTAAATCAAAACAACCAAATATAACTTTAGTAAGATAGAATAGACCCTGTAGCCATAGTAAAACAAGAATGACATAGCCCCAGCAACGTTCTGTACCTCCTTCAAACGTGAGCTCAACGTTCTGATCTGTTCCTCGTACGAGTCTTCACGTTGGAGCGCCTTCTCTTCGCTCACTTCCAACGACTTCAGGTTGTTACCAACAACACGCAACTCCTCTTCCAGCTCCACGATCTTGCTACACAAAACATACATATTACACATGGGCTTACAGGCTCATTTTAAGTAACAAATAGCTTAATATATCGATTTTTAGGTAACAAAACCCTTATAGTTACTTTTAGGTAACAAACAGCTTAATATTCAAAATTTACATAACTTTTAGCTTAAAATATTCATTTTTAGATAATAAAATGTCCTAACTACTCATTTCTACATTAACTACAAGTTACAGTAATGAGAATTATATAAGAAAAAGCTAAAAAATAAAAAAAAATGAAAAAAAAAAGATAAAAAAGAAGAAGAAACACAAATAGAAGCACCCGTTTACCAGTACAAACTGGTCAAAAAGTACGTAGAAACACACACAAAACACCACCACATCTTGGACACATCTACACATTACCAAGGTGTATATCGTGCAAGTTACTCGAGTAATCTTGCCAATATATACACCATATAAACATGCATATCAACACCCATACCTCCTTGAGTCTGGTGTCCAATTGGCGGATCTGTTCTTCGTAGGCTTCCTCGCGTTCCAAGGCCTTCTCTTCGGACAATTCCAAGGATTTCAAGTTGTTACCAACAACACGGAGCTCCTCTTCCAACTCGACGATCTTGCTGTAATGTCATTCATGATAGTAAGAGAAGAAACTCGGTTAGAATAGAGTTGAGGTTAATGTTTTTAAAGGTTATAGCTATCTTTTAGTACTTTTAAAAGATATAAATAGGTAAGTTTATATTAGATTGTTCAAATAATTCTGAGCCATCTAAACCCACAAATTTTCTTTGAAAAAGGGCGGCTCAGAATAAATTGAACAAACTAATAGTAGTTTTATGAAACCAAAGGTATCTTTATAGTAGTTTTTAATAGCTAATATTAGTTTTATATTGCTTTAGATCATTTAGCTAGCTGTTATAGCTTTAGATAGCTCTTACAGTAAAACATCTAACCATTAAAGCCAATATCTTACTTCTAAACCCATTACCTTCAATAAAAATTCTACTCTTCATATTACAGTAGACAATTCCTTTTTTAAAATAAACAAACTACACATGGTCGTATTTTACATTACCCTACATCATGATACGGTATGTTAAACTTTACATTACTTTTAATGTCATATTATATGTTAAAAGGGCAAAAACTTACTTTTCTCCGGCTTCGGCACGCTCTTCAGCACGCTCCAAGTCGGCTTCAACCATGGCCAATTTACGAGCGACCTAAACAACAATGTATTACGTTTTATCATGGTAAAAAGAAGCACAAGAGTAAAGAAGACACTACAAGCTATTATAGAGAAGTTGGTGTTATACTACAATATAATGTGGACCTTACTATGGTAGGGTATGTTATACTACAGTATACTATGTGTCTTTCTATGATTAGGTATGTTATACTAGTCGTAGAAGCACTATAGTAAGTAGTAAGAACACATAGTCTTATAGTAGACTATGTAGCTTACTGTAAGTGCAAAAAGAGTTCAACAGCAAGATACTGCAGTTCAAGAGTAAGATACTACAGTAAGAGAAGCAAAGACAAGATAGGTAGAAGTGTCACCTCATCGTATTTGCGGTCAGCCTCTTCGGCCAAGGATTGGGCTTCCTTAAGTTGTCCCTCGACCTCGTTGGCGCGCTCTTCATCTTGAAGTGAGCGGTTTTCCATGACCTTACGGGCACTACAGAGGGTAATATACCATTATTTTGTCATAAAAAAGATTTTAGTACTAGGAACATACTATAACGTACTGCATACCATATTATAGTAAACAGTACGTCTGGTCATATGTTGCTTTCGTACCATAGTTAAAATAAAATTGTAGCCATCGTGAAGAACCTGAACGCCAGTAACTGACCGTAACAAACATAACATTCAAGATACGAATAGCTGCTGTTAAGATACGAAAGGTCACAACATGGTTAGAAGGTGAATGTAAGTTAAGATAGAACAAGTATATAGTAACAAAATAGTAACCATGTAGGTATACCACTGTTACACCGACATAGTGACTCCAAAGACAAATATCACTAGCCCATTAGGCACTACAGTAACCACCTCACAACAACCACAGTACCTCATCCGCCTTGTTCTCAGTCTGATGTAGCAGTGACTGAGCTTGTCGCAGCTTCTCCTCGAGCTGTGTACACCTTTCGTCATTTACATCAACCTTGTTCTCGAGCGATCTTCTAGCACTGCAAAGTCAAACCATGGTTAATATGACCTTTGTTATGAGAAAAATGTTAATAGAAACCCATATTGTAGTAGAAAAATGCCATTAGATATTATGTTATAGCCATAAGTATGGCATAGAAAATCACTGTAATCTACAGTAAGATTTTTTTCAAAATATATTGTTTTAGACGTTAGATATGAAAAAAGAATCTAAAATATGTTAGAGTAAAGAAAATATTAAGCTGCCAAAAAGTCTTGTCGTCAATTTACAAGTATTTTCAAATCAAAAAACGACTTTCTTGCCACCCTAATATTAATGTAAATGTTAGTAACTGAAAGCTGTTAGCAATGCACACAAGCAGACCTCTTCGTATTTGCGATCAGCATCCTCAGCAATGACCTTGGCTTCGTCTACTTGAACTTCAAGGATGTTAGCACGCTCTTCGTCCTGTGACGATCTGGTCTCCATCGACTTTCGCTGGCTGAACAACATAAATTTACATAAAACAAGCGACAAGTTTTGCATTTTTGTGTTGTGCGCAATGTTTTTGGCTATTTTACTTTAAATTGTAGTTATCTTTCTTAACGTTTTATCATTCTCCCGCATTTGTTACCTAAATTTCCCAAAAACCTCAAATAGCCATCAACTTTGCACCCAACAAGACATTAACATAGACAAAACAGGACTGGACTAGCAACAAAAACGGACTGATTTACAAAAACTGCTGGACTGAGGCGCTGGTTCTTCACGGTTTCTCGGCTTCAGAAGCCTACCGTTCGGATTCATCACAGTTGGCGGAGGATTCTTCCATCTTCTCGGTGGCGATCTTCAGACGCTCTTCGGCACGCTCCAACTCTTCCTCCAACAGGGTCATGCGACGGTTCAGGGAAGCGACCTCAGCCTCAGCCTAAATTCAGGATTAGAATCTGTAGCGAAGCGAAAAGCGACGCTGTAACCGAGAGTTTCGAGAGTTTGGTTTGAGAGAGACATTTCTTGAGTTTTGGTCGGTTTTTCGATATTATAGTAGAGTTTTTAAAGGTTTTAGGAGTTTTTGATGCTGTTTTTATAGTATTTCAGGTATAAACCATAATGTAAAATACGCTTGGTAATGTCAACGCTTAACTTCTTTTATCAAAAATCCGTGTTAACCTAAAACAACATCATTTCAACCCCGTAAAAACCCCTTTCCCCTACTATAACACCGTTCCAACCCTTATAACCACCATCTTTTACCGTTCAGATTCATCCGCAGCCTTAGAAGCCTCCTCCAACTTTGAGGTAGCAATCTTCAGACGGTCCTCAGTACGCTCCAAATCCTCCTCGACCAGCACGATACGACGATTCAAGGCGGCGACATCAGCTTCAGCGTCTTCACGCTTCTTCCTCTCCTCCTCCAGCTGTCTCTTCACCTCATCGGCCTCGTCCTTGGCCTGCTCGGCTTCCTCGCGGGCTTGCCGCATCTTTTTCTTGAGGACATCGAGCAACGACGTCTGTTGCGAACCTCCCTTTTCCATGCGCGACATGATTGATTATTACCCAAAAAGGTGTCGGATTAGTTTATCAGTGGAGATTAGGTAAGAATCGCGCGGTAATTGGGGTTTATATAGTGTTAATGGCCAAAAAAAAGATATTTTCTTTAGATATTATTATCAGTTTATTTTATTAAAAGCTTTCTTAATTAATGTTGACCTAATTTATATTGTCTATGGCTTCAAATTTCAAAAAAAATTATGATTTCCAAGCCTTTTTCTAAACCAAAATTAAAAAAAATTAAAATTAGAGTCCATAAAAGGTCAAAAAAATTTTGTTTATATCTAAAACCTTTTTTTAAATGATAACATGATAGTCGGCTTAACAGTCTGTTTACAAATATATCAACTATAAAAAGAAATGTCACCACAGAGCCATTTTTTATATTAAAGTCCCCATTTTTATGCAAAAATCAATTTTAAAATCATTAGAAACCCAAAAATGTATAGTATGATAGCCTATATTAACCATTAAAAGCACTAGAATTCGTAAATCATAAGGAACAACTTAAAGATTAAAATCATTACTCATAAATCATCAAGCTCGTGTCGATTCCTCTACTATGTCAATATAAAAAACCAAAGAACGATAGTGAAAAACGGCTGAATCTCACTCCAGAGTAATAATAATATAAGGTAATATCGCTTAAATTGTAATATTAAGTAGTTCAAATAATTCTGTGCCCCCTAAAAAAATTTGCTTTGAGAGAAGGCACGGAATTTTTTAAACAACCTAATATAATATAAGTTACTGTTCTTTCTAATATAAAGTACCTTCCTTAACTCAAAGATAAGGTACTGTTCCTCAATCCAAAGATAAGCCAGCTATCCTGGATCGTAAGATAAGCTAAGTCGCGACTTTAACCCCAAAAACTTTTGTCTAAACTCCGCGATCCGAGGCAGCACGGCCCGCAGAGATCTCTCGGCCGGAACTGACAAAGTCGCGCAGAACAAACAAATCCAGAAGAGCGTGGGATCCACCCTCGTTCTCAAAAACTGCCTGATCCCTCTGGGTGAATAAACTGTCCTGGAAGACTGCCTTATCTCTTGGAGGGACTGTTTTAGCCTTTAGAAGCTATGTTATCTCTCTGAAGATTAAAACCATGTTATTCCTCTGAATCCCTCTAAAATACTGTCTGATCCCTAAGAAAAGCCCTCTCATCTCTTCTTATCTATCACAACAACTACTCCTACATATCACAACTACTCCTTTATCCCTAGCAGAAACTGTTACCCTCTGTCCCAGCAAAACGTTCTAAAACACAGTCTTATCCCTCTAAACAGTCTTATCAAAGACGGCTGATTCAAGCCTCTTTCTGCCCTCGGGGCGTGAAAGTCGAATCATTTTGAATATTTTTCGAAAAATACAAAAAACTAACACATTAGTACAACAAACGGATGAACGTTTTGCTTCTGAATATGATTTGTGGCCAGGAAATGGCTGATGATTACATCGTAAAGCTCAAAATTTTAAAGATTACTGTATTTTTGATTCGAAAAATTGGAAATTTAACCAAATTTTGAAGTTTTTGAGTGCAAAAAGTTAAAAATCGTATTGAAAAATAACTAAAATTTGAATTTTTATAAAGCTAAGGTAATGTTGAGTAAAGTAAAAATTGAAAAATAATCAAAAAATACAGAAATCTACCAAAAAGTTACTGTAAACTACATCAACATTAAAATTTCTGCCATTTAAAACTAAACAACTCACTAACCCTCCAAAATTCATACCTAAAAATCTCCACAAATCAACCCCAACCCCTCAGAAACTCAACAGGAACAGCTTGACACCCGAAAGTAAATGAAAGTAACTCAAGACAAAAGCGATTACAGTCGTATATTAAAGTAAGAGCTAAATGCACTTAATTGGAACCCCTCGAGATATTATTTCCGATGTTCTTCAATCCCCTAATTTCGCACAAAAAACATCGAGGAGGAGAAGATCGACTGGTTTCCCGAGGAATTCAGTGAATCAGTCAATACTAATCCTCCCCACCAAACTCTGCCTCAGGGCAGCCGGAACCTTAAAAGGCCATTCAAAAAAAAGAGGACCCGCCAGCTGAGACCTCCGCTTACTGCGACACAAAACACTTACTTTTTATTGCTTATAATGTAAGAACTCGCCTTTTTTTTTGCTACAAGATGTTTTTTGTCACCTAAAGTTCGAAGACTTTTTTAAAATTTTAATTTTTTTAAAAAATTTAAAAAAATTATTACCTAAAATTTTTGAAATTTAAAAAATCAGGCTTATCTCTTTTTGCTATTTTCTGAAAATTTTGAAAATTATCATTATATGGAAAAAACGTTAAATTTTATGCAAAATTCACGTCTGCCACGGGTCATACAACAAAAACAATTTTTTGAGCATAAAAAGTACATTTTAACTAAATTTAATGTAAAATACGCTCTAAGTATGAGTATAGAAAACCTATTACTACCCCCTCCCTTAACTACAACAAAACCTTTTGATCACTACAAAAGAATGCTGTTATTAGTGGTAAAACCTCCTTTTCAAACATGTTTTATGACAAAACAAAGCTCGCTATTAAGAGCAACTACTACTTAAGACAACGAATGAGGTTTTAAAAGGAAATACCCAACCATTTTAGGTAATAAAAGTGTTCCGACAGATGTTACTATGAAACTCAATGAGTAATATAGCTCTTTTAATAGTTGAAAATTCATTTTTAATCATATTTTAGATTTTAAGGACTGTTTTTTGTTACAAAAGTACAATTGAAAATTCTCAAAATCAGAATTTAAATTTACAAAAACCAAACCCCCCCCTTAATATGAGTTTAGTAAGCCTTCCCAAGCCTGTGATGACATTTGCGAAACAAAGGAGTGACATGACGCAACGTTGCGCAATCAAATTAGCTCCAAGTAAGAGGAGCAAGTATAATATAATGTCTGAACGTTGGAATCAGATGGAATTCCAAATCAGGCCGTTTCGTACAATTTCAGCTGATTCAAATTCGAGTGAATCAGATGCGTCGTCTGTGTGTCGTCTCTTCTTTTTGTGCTGTCTATGCGGTTTTTTCAATAATTTTTTCTTTTTTTTGCATTTTTAGCTTTTGCACTTTTAAAAATGCATTAAATTACCATAGCTATGTAGCCATAAACATTTCCAAACTTATTTTACTTATTGAGCTTTTACTCTATTATATACCTAATGATACCTAAACGTATGTTTATATCTTTTTTTCTTTCGCTGCCTAAATTTCTCTCTCATTTACAGCAACTCTCTCTTTTCTCGGTTACTTTGTCGTTACAATAAAATTATTTTTTAAATGATCGGTACCATTTTTGGTACCATCAACTCATCGGTACCAAACATGTTTGGATACTGGTTAATAAATAAATTGAACAGTACCAAACATACTTTAGTACCATCAATTCATTAATCAGCAACAAACATGTTTTGGTACCATTAACTCATTGAGCAGTACCAAACATACGTTGATACTATCATCAGTACCATAAAACTCATGAAAGACCTACCTCTTGGACCTTCTTCTCCTTGTCCTCGAGCTGGGTGTTGGCGGCGGTCAAGTCTTCTTGGGCCTTGTCGAGGTCGTTCTCAGTCTGCATGTTCTTCTTCTGGGTGTCGCGCAATTCCTCTTCAACGCGCTCCAGCTTCTCCTGAGTTTGGCGGGCCTTCTCTTCGGCGGCATCGGCGCGATCGAGGGCGTTGTCCTGGAATGGTAAAATAGGTTATAAAGTGTTGATCTACATAATGGTCTTTGCTTTTTTAAAAACTAGTGTTAAGATTTTGTCATGGCTATGTAGGAAAAGCTTAATATTGATATATAAACCAATATATCAATGACTTCAAAAAAATGACTTCAAAAATCATCAAAAATGACTTCAAAAATCATCAAAATGTCATATCGACTTTTGATGACTTAAACCAATTTAAATTGCCATAACTTGCTTATAAATGACAATATCCCAAAACTTCAAAAAATACTACGTTACTAAGAATCTAGGCTTATTTTGAAGCGTAAGAAGTACAAGTTGCTATACAAATCTGATAGCTCATCAAAACCATCTGATTTTTCTTAAAATTCAGAAAAAACATCCTTAATCGTCACAAAAAACCATTTTATACCTATATCTTGCTCAATTTTACTAATTTTTACACTCAAAATAAAGCTTTAGATACCCCAAATAATAAAAAAGTTAAAAATTAAACCATTATCCACCCCAAAAAAACATTTACCTTCTCGATCTTCATCGCCTGCATCTTCTTCTTGATGGCGTCCATGGTTGCTGATGTGTTTTGGCCGAAGGCAAGTTATCAGAAAAGACCTGAAATGCCATTTTTAATATTAAATTGTTGTGACATTTTGTTATAAAATACGACTTAGTTTTTTCTACACTATATACTCGCAAAAGTAATAAAATTATGGCTGATGCAAAAAGAATGGCGCTTTGTTAAAAGCCAGTATTTCGCAAAAAGTATGTGATTCATGACGAAACTTTGTAAAAATGAAAACATTTTTTTAAAACCTTGTACTGGGTTGTTCACATAATTCTGTGTCCCTTTCAAAACAAATTTCCGGGGTTAGAAGGCGCAGAATGATAATTCGATCAAATCCAAGGCTCAAGTTTATTTGAACAACCTAATGGTATAACATTAAGAAATGTAAAGCAACGTAGCCAGATGTCAAAAGCCGTATCACAAGAGCTATTAATAATCAGTTAATAGAGAGAAAAAGTAAACAATTCGCTCCGTTTTGAATATGATTAACATATATTGGGGGGGGGGAAACACACTCCCCCCCCGGATACCAAGATACCATTGCAGAGAATTTTACTGTGAAAATATATGGCGTTAATTTTGGGAATCTCTAGGGTTTTATACTATAATGTACAAAAAACTATACTTTTAGACTATATTTATAAGAATTTATGCAATTTTTTATTTAAAATCATATGTTATAAACTGTATACTTGCTATCAAAAATCATAAAATATGACAGATCAAATCAATACGTAAAACAATATAATGTAAAATACGTTCAGAAGATTTTCCTTAACATGATAAGACATAAAATAACGATAAATCTCTAGGAAAATCTTTAAAATCCAAAAAAAAATTAAAATTATATTTTACGAAAAAGTGACGTATTACACTAAAATCAAGGCTAAATTCATTCATTTTAACTCAAATTTATTTATTACCCTTTTTTAAATAAAATCCATAAAACTTAGTCAGCCGATCAATACTGATTCAGAAACATCACAATCAAGATCAATATCCGGCTAAAAATAGCCAGGATTCCAGCTTTTTATTGGCTAAAAGACAGTTTTTACCTAGTATAACATAATATTCAGCTGATCTAGACAAAAGGACCAGTCGTTTGAGTATCATTTCAGCTAAAAATAATAAAAATAAACCTATTATTACACTTTGTCTAAACTTAAAATATAAAGAAGACCTTAGTTGGATCAAAAAAGACCTTATTTTAGTAAAAAAAGTCTGTATTTTAGTCCTACTTCAATATAGTTACCTAAAAATTTAAATACTAAAGCCAAGTAGCCCCACTTCAATCCAGCCAAACCTACATTAACATACGAATACCTTAATTTAGTCCAGCCGAAACTATTGCCCGACCAAACCAATAAAAGCCCCGAGGCATTGATATCGAAACGCCTCCCAATGCACTAAAGTGAATCAAAATAACAACACGAAAATGACCTGCGACGCCTACCCCTCAGGGCCCAGGGCTTCTGAAGGAGAGAAGGGGGGCCCTGATCTCGACATTGCCAAGTGACACACACATCGCATTGCCTCAAGGCTTTCGAGGTGGGTGTTGTGGCACCGCCTCCGCCTGCCGCTTTCTCATCGGCACATCACCTGCCCCGCCGACTTCCAAGAAGTTTGCCCGAGATGTGGGGGTGGGCTGGAGAACATGCACCGCCATTATCTACCCCAAACTCTTGTCCGATATTACAGATGATATAATGTAAGATAAGTTATAGGTATTGCAAACCAAGGTGATCAATTGTAAAATAAATCAATGTTAGGTATTGTAAGAATTATGAAAGGCTTCGTATTTTACAATAAAAAACACAAAAAATTAATTTTCTTTCGAATGCAAAACCTAAATTGCAGATACAACAACCTAAAGGTCCGTTTCACAAAAAGCACTGTAACTCAATATACAGGTAGTATATGTATCCAAAACCATTACAAAAATAAACATATAAATCAACTTTGTCTATCTATAACAACACAACGACCAACCAATACCACAATTTTAAAATACAGCTAAAAACTTATGTTGTAGTACATGATTTGCCATGGATAACATTTTAATCAATATGAAATTTATCATCCGCTCAAAAATATTAAAAATAAGACTAAAAGATATCAAAAATAATACCACTATCATAAAATTATTTATAACAATTATATTTTATAAAATCCCCACCTTACGCTCCAAACAATATTACACTAGACATCAGATCCCGGAAAGGCCCAAAAAAGACGTTCTCAAGACGATTCACGTTTACAATTCGTTCCAAATCTTAATCGCTTTATTTGTTGTCTTTGATGTTGGATTGTTTTAATTCCATCAACTTTTTCAACCGTTTCAAATCGCATATGAACTTCGAACCAGTCGCATAATATTATGTGAAGACGAGCTAATTTTGGGGGAAACATCTTGATTTCGTTACCATTTCACGTTTCACACAGCTTTCCCATCCAACTTGATATTACTTTTTCGAAGCTAATTGTTATTTTATTTTCTTGAATTTATTCGCTTGAAAAACCGACGAAATGTCAATAAAATCGTCGGCGAAGTGTCAAAAATTGAATTTTATGGTTTTTCAGTGGAAAACTTGATGTTATGTTTGATTTCTAAGGCTTTCACTGTATTTTTATAACTTTTTTAATAGTTTACGAGCTGTTCCTTAGGATTATGAGTGTTTTAAAGCATAATTTCCCCAATTGTCGTTAAAATTATCACTCAAACGGCTTCAAAACAGCTCATTATCTTGATTTAAAGGCAATACAGCTCAAGTAATTGCTGATTTCAATTGCCAAAGTAATTATTGGCCATATATATTGGCATCATAAATTTACCGATATACTATTAATTCTAAGAATAAGTGATTTCTATTATTAATCTCCGTTGTCATACTAAACCTGATGTTATAGTAGGCGGTTTTGTTTGGTTTTTGTCCTTTTTCTTTGTGTGCTGTTTAAAAAAGTTTAGGTAACAGTTGTTTTTAGTATTAAACGTTGAGCGATAGGCCTTTGAGACCCGACATTACACACGAAGAGGCCGTGGATATGAAACAAAACATCTATCTGATGTTATCCATACCTATAGCAAGTATAATATAAATCTGAGCTGATATATAAGTCCCACTGATAACAGTTCGATCAGAATACAACTCTGAATACTTTTTATAAACCTTTTATTATTTAAGCGAATGTACAACATATTCAAATTGGCAGCTGTGGCGATTCCTCCGAAGACCCGAGAGAGTGTGTGAGACAGAGAGTGGGGCAGAGAAAGAGACAGGAACAACCTTAAGTAAAGTCCTCTGAGATCCGTTTCCCCACTCGACGTCTGGCTGTGAAGGCTGACATGTTCTGAAATACGATTTGAAACGTTTGGGACTGGTTTTGGTGCACATGGTACTGTTTGGTGAAAAATGGTACTGTTTGTAAAAGAAAGTGGTACTTTTGGTGCGAAATTATAATTGAAAGTGATTGTAAACCACATGAAATTGGTGGGAAAAGTTGTAATTTACAGTGCACTGCAGTGCCATGTGCTGAAAAGAACAGAAAAAGGTAAAGAACATGAAACCTGATATTGTACTAGACAGCTGGGGGTCTAGTACAATATCCTGATACAATAATACTTAAAAGTACAGTACCAATAATCGTTCACAGCATACTGTAAATAAAAAGGATTACATAGGGCAAAGTGACACAAAGTCCTGAGACACTACAGTAATCGTCAACTAAACTACAGTAATCAACATGTATACTACAGTAATAACATATACTGGACAAAGACGTTGTAGTAGACGAGGACGGTGCTATTCGTTTACCTCGATGCACAACACTACCAATTCCCTATCGCATGACACTTCTCGTGGCTCTAACATAATATCCATCGATTCTTGGCCGACGAATGTGGCCATGCCGTAGTCGGAATGTCGCTCCGATCGCCAGCCGTTACAGAACGCGTCCGACACCCGATTGCCTGCGGCGTTCGAACCGTGCCAGATTCCGGTTTCGCGTCTAAAATAATATTGTTAGGTTGTTCACATAATTCTGTGTTCCCTAACTTCGGAAATTTTCTTTGAGAGAGGTACAGAATTATTTGAACATACTAATAAGTATAGTACTGTCATCACTAAGTACCTTAGTATCTAAAGTACAGTTCTCTTGTACCTTGAGTTAGTACGAGGGTTCTTGTATCTTCCTCGCATCAGTGCAATACCCTCGAACAACGAATACGATACAATAATATCTTCAGTACAATAATAAACAATTACTTTTTATAGTACAGTATCATCAAAACGTAAATTCAGTATCTTACGTACTGATTACAGTACCTTTCTGTTTTTCGTGCCTTACATACTGATCACAGTACCTTTGGTTACAGTACCTACATATTGGTATCAGCATCTTATTTACAAACTATTTACTTTACTTCGCATACTGTTATTACAGTACGTTACATACTAGTTGCAGTACCTTATATACCAGTTACAGCACATTCCCTTACCGTCGACTAAAGTGATCGATCCCACTGAAGCTGAGGATGGTAGCTTGAGGCCTTGACAGGCCATTAAAGATGGAGTCGTAGCTACCAAACAATCGTTCTCCTCTCACATTGACTACAGGATGTCGTCGGTCGTCATAGAACACGACCTTGTTCAGATCCTGAACTTTTGATGACAAAAAGGCTCTGAAGGTGGTTTTGAAGCCGGCTCTTCTCGACTGACGATAACACTCGAGATCGGCTCCACGGATTCCACGAATGTCGCCACGGTACAACTCGTTTAGGGCTATCAGATGGACCTGAAGGTAGTGGTAATTAATGAGCATGATATTAAGGAAAATGGTACTATATAGAGCAAGATTTGAAAAAGATGGTACTATACAGAACAAAAAGTTAAAAATAGTACCACACGTACTATATAGCTCTAATTAGTAAAATATTCTTAAAAATGTTTTGAAACGTTTTTTTTAACCTTGATGCAAAAAGAACGGCGCGATTAAAAAACCATTAG